TTTCTTTAGACACCTTGATAAGAGGGGGCGGGCGAGGGGGGGTCCAAAAATCGTTCTCTGGGAAATAACCCATTGTTTTGAGTTGGGTTAGGTTAGGACAATTTATAAATTGAGCTCTGTGGCTGAGATTAAGGCAGACTAGGGGGTCGAGCGCTGCAGCCTAAGAAATTATTTTCAAAGGGACTTGTTAAACATCTCTATTTTGTCTCTATTTCTGGCTGCTCGTCTTATTACAACCTAATCCTTTAAAATTCAACTTCTCCATCTTTAATCAACCATTTCTTTTTAATTCAACCATTTTTTTTCTAATTCAACCCGTTTTTTCCAATCTAGTCTTTACTAATCCAACCAACTCCTTCCTAATCCAACCTACTTTTTAATCTAAGCTTCTCTTTCAACCAACCCACTCTTTAATCTAACCTACTCATTAAACCAACCTACTCTTTAATCCAACCTCATCATTAAACTCATTAATACTCCTACTACCTTCATCTTTCCTTTTTTCCTTTCCTAAATTCAATCTACACGAATGAACCTCTTTACTCCACCCTTCTGCTCTTTCAATTGCATATATTTATTTCTTGAAATCAATTGCATATATTTATTTCTTGAAAAGATCACCCCCTTTTGAATTTTCCCCACGGCATCCTAGTAATGTTTGTTTTAGGGATTAGTAAAGGAAAAAGCCAATCCATGTATGTTTTTTTTCATTCCCTCCCCCATATAATATATTTACGGGGGGGGGGGATTGCCTGTTGCCCCCAAGATCTTCAAGCTCGCTCCTGAAATGTAAAAAGAGGTTAAGTTCCCGTTTAAGCTCCCGAAGGGATTGTTTTTTGTTCATTACGTTTTTTCATCCTTAACTTAAAGAGATATGACGAGCTTCTGAAATAACCCCATGATAAGACTTGGTTCTGCTTGTACAAGCATTATAATGTTGGGTTGAGAATACGAAATGTCAAGGTTTAGAGTTAGAACTTAGTGTACAGCAGAACCTGTATACTACTACCCTCAACCCCTCGGCATTAAAACCTACCCGGATAAATCTAACCACTCCTGTCCTTCATGAAAATAAATCCTCAGCATTTTGCTTTTTCCTTGAAAATTCAAAAAGAAATTTTGAAGGTTCAAAGCGGCAATAATTAACTCCAAGAATCTCAAATATGGAACAAAGCAGAATTGGAGATTTTTTTCTCTAAAAATGCCAAACATATTATTGGATAGCATAAAATTCGGTTTAAAATAAAGATTGAAACCTTTACATATAAATTTTACCCATTCTTGCGTCTTTGAATAACATGATTTCGATTTGCAGCTTTTATTTGTCCCGAGAAACCTTCTAATTGTTGTAATTGGAGAATTATATTAATGAATTTCAATGAAATATGCCTGCAGTTTTGTAAGATGTTAACATTGAAATATTAAGTTTCAAAAACAATTTAAAGAAAAATTTAGAAAATTAAGAGAAGGGGATGAATTCCAATGATTTTTTTCTTCTGATATCAAACAAATCTAAGTTAAAAACGACAATGTTCATTTATTCCAACTAATAAGTTAGGAAATGTTCAGGCTGAGCTTTGTCCCAGAAACTGCAGTACACACAATTTTATTGGCATTTCCTATTTTTTTGTAAACAAAGAAATGGGAGTTGTAAATATGTTCCTCAAACATTGAATAAGTTCTTAACGGGGATTTAAATTGTGTATCCTTTAAAATTTTTCATTGTGTCATGACCGTGGAACAGTTTTAAATCGTATTAATACACTCAAGCCTTTGTCTGCCCATGCAGTACACTAATTTTCAGGTCTAAACTTTCTAGGGGACTAGGAATCTTTATTGACCATTCAGGGGGGGGGGTTAGCTTAGATAATCTTGACGTGGGAGGTATAGAGCGGGGAGAGGGAAGATTTTTTATAAGATAAAAAAATATTAGTGATGGTTAGCTAGCTGAATAGTAGATGAAGGGGGGGGCAAAAGGGGTATAGTTAATAATTTAATTCAGTCGAATTATAAACAGGCCAGTAAGAAGTTGCTGTTACAGAAATGTGTCTTAAACCCGAACAGACTAGACATTTTTATTTTTAATCCGGGTTGGAATACAATGACGGGAAAATTATTAAAAAGAGGAAGAACATTTTTTTTTATCTAGAAAGTAATTTTGTTGAGAATGGATATGAGAGGTATGTAGGAAGAATGATCAAGGTTGTGATGAGAAGGGATTATGAATGATAAGGTTGGATGAGAAGGGATTAAAAATGATTGGGATGAGAAGGGATGAAGAATGATTAGGTTGGATGAGAAGGGATGAAGAGCAGAAGTAATCAGGTTGGGATGAGAAGGGATAAAGAGTAGAAATGAGCAGGTTGTGGTTGGGTTAAAATCTGTCTGGACCTTTAAACTTGACATTGAAGCTGTATAGAGCTGAGACGAGTCTCAAGGTCTCTAGGTATCCCTTCTACTCGGCGCAAAACCCCAACACAGATCTTGAACACTTCCTTACTAGAAACCCTAAACTCAACTGTTTCAGTTTACCGATAACATATGACGTAAAAGAAAAACTGTAAAAATATCTGATGTATATAGAATTATCTCAACTTGTTAACGTCTAGATGTGTTTCTCGGGATGTATGATTGAATTAATATCTAGTTTTTCCTCGTTTGGTTGCTCTGTATATTCCAGATATTTAAGGAAATGTTTTGGTAAAATATGGTTTAGGAATTTTTATTATTGTCATTGAGGTTTATCTTATGTCGTTTTTCTCTACAAATAAATTGTTTGCTCTGAAAAATATGATTATTTGCTCTAGAAAAACCTGGCTTGTTCTTGATATTGGGGTTTGCTTTAGAAATACATGGACGTTTCTAATAACATGGTTTGTTCTATAAATATACTTGTAGTAAACACCAACTCCATAACAAGTTCTCGAACGTATCTATCAAGGTACAATCCGTCCGCTATCAAACTCAAACAGGACTGAATCCCAGGCTCTAAACGCCACAACGGGACACAATCGTAGCTATCAGAATCCAGCTACTAATCCAGTGCTCTAAATGCCCGACGGGACACAAGCCTAGCTATACAACAAGCTATATATATATCGATCCCAAATGATGGGGACAATCCGACCTGGCTATATCAATGCAGGGTTTTAGTGCTATGAATGCCAAACACAAGGACACAAGCCTAGCTATACATCGAACTATATATATTGATCCCAAATGATGGGGGATACGATCCGGTGCTCTAAATGCCACACAGGAATTGTAAATAATGTACAACGTACTGCAGTTTTACAGAATATCATGTTTACACGATATTTGCTACATACTTACTGCTCCAGAAGTACATGGTTTGCACTAGAAATACACGGACTGCTCCATGAATATATTGTTTTCTCTAAAATACATGGTTTGCACTAGAAATATACGGACTCCTCCATGAATATATCGTTTTCTCTAAAATACATGGTTTACTCTAGAAATACAAAACACTGGCTGCTCTTGTTCGAAGTAATATTAATAACACAACACCATCCCCCTCTCCTGAGTTATACTTTCATTGCTCTACAGTAAGTCATTCTTTAATTGCACATTCTTGAGTACAATGATACTCAAGATAAAACTGGACTAGGGCGTTGCCCAACACTGACCCTGATAGTGATACTACAAACCCCCGGAGAAATCCAAGCTTGTAGTAACCAGTAGACTGAAGTAGTTTTCATACTCCTACAGGTTATCTGAATATGAAAATTATTTAACCGGTGTTTTGTGTGGTTCCCTAAATGTTTGCAAGCCGGTATACCGGTAGAACGGTAAATATACTACACTGCTGTCCCCGGGGGCTTAACACAGGTTGAAGGAAGGACCAGGCTCGGCTGGATTAGCCGCAATACATGCAGACTGTCAAATATCTTAAACCTTAGTTTCACGCTTTACTCCGTCCATGACGTACCCGGAGTAAGGACGAAGTGTGTATTTTTAAAAGGACAAACCTGTTTCTCTGTGGGTTAAGAGAGGGTGGAGTAAACCCTCGCATCGTATGAACCTGGAAAGGTCATGGAAGGAGTGAGATTGGTACTTTCGCCGGGTAGTGTGTGAGTTAGTCCTGCTCCAGGTCTACACGTGAACCTGTCAAATACCGGAGCTAGGGATACACAATCCAGAAGAGAAACTTAAACCTTCTCCTTCAGGGACAATCGTCTTTAATATTGGGACAGTATTTATTAAAATATTCTCAAGCACGTGTTAATTTTTCAGATTTAAAAATAAATCTCAATGTGAAGAAATAGTTAAAATCCTAGAGTGAGAACTAGTCCCGGGTTCAGGACGGATACATATTGGGACGGATTTAAAGGATTAATCATGGACGTAGAGGCAGAGGCGGTTTATGTTGATATCCTTAGGAGTCTTCAAACCTCAATTCTGAACAATGTAAGATGTTTTAGTCAAATTTAGTCCTGTAGAAAGGGTTCTGAAGGCCGTATTAAAACCTTTCATCTTTGAGGTCATGAAAAATTGTATATTTTTAGTTTTTGTTCGGTTTAAGCTTTTTTTCTGAATTGTAGAATCTGTAGTTTTTATTCCTTTTAGTTGATTCAGAATAATTACGGAAGTTCTCATGTTTCTGTATTTGTTTGTAACAAGTTAGATTTCAGTTTTGTTTTTAATTTCATAATTCAATATCTCTTTATTCTATCGACACAGTTCAAGAGATAAAAATGAATAATCACAAATTAAATTTGTAGTCTGGACCCGCCTAACCATGATGGGTTGGCAAGGAGAGGTTAAAACAGATTAAGTTAAATACTTTAAAAAAGTTAATTAAACTCTATCCTTTAATATATTTTACTTATAATTTTATTTGGTATTTGTTAAGAATTGTCCAAAGTTATTCGCAACCTTTTTGCTGTTATTATTTTTTTAACATTAATTTAATTTAATTTCACATCGTTGAAAAAATGCATATGTAACTCTGTAACTCAAAAGTTGCAACTTTTAATCTATTGAATATGATTTTTATGAATTCATTTGTTATACAATTTGTTGATAAACAATTTACGATCTACAATTTACCTACATGATGTTGAAATTGAAATCTGTATCAGTGTAAGCCAATGAACTGTCATATGTATCCCACATGACAGGTTGTTGGATGGGGGACATTGGACGGTGGGGTTTGAACGTCAGGTTTCAATTCAATTTAATCCAAATATTCACACGATGTTGGAGGATTTGAACTTCAAATTTAGACTTGTAGGGGTAAAAACACTAAAGATGATTTAATCTAGAAGGATTTTTTTATTACTTTACTACTCCATGTACTGCACTGTACTGTACTGTACTGTACTGTACTGTACTGTACTGCAAATTTAAGGGTTTCAGCAGCTTAGCTTTACTACTTTGTAGTTTACTAGACTATTATTGAAATACCCCTCGGAAAACTACCTTTTAGTATCAAGATGAGGGGGGGGGGGAAACTTGTATAGTTGGAGGAATGTTTAGGAATTTAAAAGATGACCATTTGTTTCACATGAAGTTTTCTGCTGTAAAATGGAGGTATTATCTTTCTTAAGATCTATACAAAATCAAGTAGAATACACATATTCCAATCTCAATACGAGGAATACGTTCATTTTATTTGCAACTTAGAAACTCCTTGTTTCCAGCTCAAGGGAGGGAAAAGTAAACTTTCATAAACATATCTGTTTAAAGAAAGGTTAACCTAACTAGCTATTAATGTAGTAATAAGTAGTTGACGGTTGAACCTAACCAGAGAGGAAAAGATTCTGTGAATATATTTCGACATTTCTTCAATGTCCTCATCAGTCAGTAAGTAAAAGTCAGTAAGTCACTGATCCAATGGTTTGAATGTAGTAACATGGTTGAGGACTGAAATATTTTCTCCGTATCATGGTGAGACTTTTGTACAGATTAAATGACTATTAAGTAATCAAGGACGAATACTATTCATATAGCTCAGGGTACTATTCATAGTACAGCTAGTATTAGAAATATAGCCATGAGCAACTATTCTTTGCGGGGTTTCTTATGTTCTGAGAGGAATGTAAACAAACTTATTTTATCTGCTCCTTTTGTTGTTGTTATCTGCAGTACACCTTTAAACCCTGAGAAATGGAGGTGATTAATGGTTTATGATAAAAAAGTACAAGAATTAGAAATTAAGAGAACTTAGAAATTTAAAGATAATAATTACAAATTGATAAAAATGTAAAAAGAAGAAACATTAAGCCCACGTGTTGTAAAAATCGTAAGAAATATATATTCCTGACGTCAAAAGAAAGATAAAAGTTACGAGAAGATACAACGTTAAATAAACAGTACATTGCACCCGATTTTAATGCAATTATTAGTGTATAAAACCAACAATTTAAATATATTATACTAGCTTTTGGAACTCAGCTCTACCTAGAGTTTTCTTCATAAAAGACGACCCACTCACTTGTAAATGTTTAAACCAAGCTAAGAACATTCCCGTGATTCTACCGAGTTCCCTAATCAAAATTGTAGGAAAATGATATAGAGGGGTTAACAAGTTATGATCGGACATCCAAACTTCCAAACAAACAGAGATTACTACTTTATAAATATAGTTCTTAAATATATAACATTGAAAAGCGGAACCTTGAATCATGCTTCATAGCTTCTGGTTAAAAAATACTAAGAGTAAATAAACCATTTTAATGTTTGTTCGTAGAAGTAAACATCTGAATTAAGAATCTTTATAATTTTCACGTAAAAAGAAGATTACTTTTAATTTTCTTGTGCAAATTCTTGAACGTCCTTGAACAGAGATGTAATTATAAAGAAGAGAGAGGTTAGGGGGAAAGGAAAGATAAGAATTAAGAACAAGATAACACTGACAGCAAATTAAATATTTATTATTCGTATTACAGAAGATTAAAAACAGATTTCACAGGAAATCCGAATAATACTATAAATCTCCTTTTCCCACATCCATAAAAAATATCTTATTTCATTGTAACAATTGTGCACTATGCATTGTGTGATTTTTGACTTGATCAAAATATGTTAAAATAGTATTTTATTTTTTCTAATAAGAAATGCCAAACGATGTTTTTTTGCCGTCTCCCAAATCATCACCTACCCCCCTCTTTACCCATTCCCCGTATAATGCTGAACGTTTGTATCGTGGTCCAGGGGGATAGTTAGACGTGAATGTTTTTAACACTGCATTAAAATTTCCGAATTGTTTTAAATTGATGACAAGATTTTAAAAAATTAGATTTGATTTTTTTGTTTTTATTTAGACAAGTTGGGAGGATGATACAGATGAGTTCTTGCAGTCTATGCTCACCGGATCCGACCTCTCCCCGGATTCTCAGTTCGGCCTCGGCTCCGAAACCATCCTCTCTGATTCGTCCTCTGACTCCGGAGTGTCGGATGGACAGAGGATGTTGATGTCTCCAGGTCTGGAGGATGGACCTCGTCTTATCTCCCCTGGGTTGGAGTCTCCTCTTCCTATGTCTCCGGCCCATAGCTTGGATATCATTGATTATATTAGCAACGGTAGGTCTAACAACATTTTATTTGAATCAAAGACTCCTCCCCCCTGGGCGGTGAAAAGAACCGTCGTTCTGATTTCAATCGACCCTTTATATAAAAATAATAAGGGCATGCCCATTGCTCAATTCACAACGGTACCATTAACAACTTAATCTGGTCAGTAAATTAGAGGATATAAGTCGTTTACTCAGTTCCTAGAAGTGTTAAATAGTCAGATCCATCCTTCAAATGTTTTCTTTTCCAATCCTTAATGAATTCTGAACGCTCATCGGAAGGAACCGACATAAATTTCTCTGTCCTTGTGGGATTAAGATTCGCGAAACCAGTGATTCACTGCTCAGTCAACGTAGAACTGCAAACTCATTCTAGAATCCATGCATCTCAACTAGATAAGGGAATTTTTTTTGGTTGGGTTGAATCGGTAGATTATTTCCATTAGCCCGCGATTTAAAAACTTCGACTCGAGTTGTAAGTCCTTAAACCCGACTTTAAGACCCAATCTTTGACCCAACTCTGTCGAAAGCTTGGGTCACTTGAATTGACAGCTGCAAGATCTTGAGCTCGACTTAAGTAGTTAGGCCTAATGAAAATAAAACAGACCTTGGTTGGTTTTAGTGGAGAATAATGCTCAATGTTGAGTCTTGTTCTCATATAAACTCGGAATGCGCCAATTCCTACCATGAAAATCAGCCAAATAGAATATTAAACCGGTTTTTTAATTCAACATGGTGGAAAATAAGATGCAACTTGAATCCAAAAGCTCAAGTCGTAAATAAGGTCCAACGACAGCTTAGACCCGAGCCGTATTTCCCCGAGTTTTTAAAATCGGGGGCTATTGACTAAGAAGATTTGTTCCCGCGAAATTGGTCGATTTTCCTGCTAAATTGATAGATTCTCCATTTTAATTGTTATTTGGAGAAACCCTGCAAAATTCATTCCCTGACAGTGGAGATATTTTCCAGGAACCGGACACGGATTGACCTACAGCTCTCATCGGCTAGCACCACGCGACCCTGGACCAGGCGCTAAACGCAGACGGGTCAGCGCATCCTCGTCAGATTCAGGTACTAAGCTTATAGTAAGAGAAGGACGGACTCGAACATTGATCTTGTCTTGGGGTTTAATTATGAAATGATAGGGATGGGATTAAATTGAAAGGGATGGTACTGAAAAAAAAGATGTGACTGAAAATAGTTGAAAGAGACTGAAATGATGATAATGGGACTGAAATTAAAGGGATTGGATTGAAATTACAGGGATGGTATTATATTTAAAGGTATTTGACTGACTTGTTGGAAAGGAATGGGACTAAAATGGAAGGGATGGAACTGAAATGAAAGGAATTAAGTTGAATTGAAAGGAATGAAAGTGAATTGAAAGGGACGGGACTGAAATATAATGGATGAGTCTAAATTGAAAGGGGCCAACCTAACTTCAAACGCATTTTATACATTATGAATATCATTTATTGGCGGTTTTGGAATAATAGAAGAAATAAAATCTAAACTTGAAGTCGTTTTAGGAGTAGAAGATAACAAATACCCTCGTCTGGAACTAAATGATGAAGAGCAAAGAATGGCATCTAAAGAAGGAATGAGCTTTCCTAAATATTACCCACTCACTAGGTAATCATCGCTTAAATTAACCATTTTTTTATCAATAAAACAATTGACCTGACACTAGAATAAGTTGATCAATCATTTAGAAATATTTTGGTGAATAATTGAACAATTATTTTAATCATTTGATCGACCATTTCAATCAAATGAGCAATCAATTTTTCAACCTGGAAATCTATTTTATCAAACATCGCAGTGTTTTTATGATAGAATTTCAATCATTTTTCCCTAAAAAGTATGGTCAACCTTTCGTTCTCCTTGTAGCCCCACACCTCCAAATCTATTAGTATGCAGTTCTATTATTTTTAATATTATTCTGTTAGCCCCNAATGGACCATTATCTGGCACCACCTATGCAGTTTGCACTACGCATAGAAAGATATGAAATATCAAGGTTATTTGAGAGGTATTCGCCAGTCATTAAATACGTCCAGCAACCTTTACTACTGCGGAGCTTAAACCCTATCACGTTTTTAGATAAAGAAGTACTTGACCTAAATATATTATTTCCTGTTAATTCTTGTAGAAAATACTAATATTTGTGTGCTTTCCGTAAAAATTTAAGTTTTTGTTGTATGTAGAGAGGAGGAACGAAACCTAAAGAAGATACGCCGGAAGATCCGGAACAAGCTTTCCGCTCAGGATAGCCGGAAAAGGAAACGAGAATACCTTGATAACATGGAGGATAGGGTCAAAATATGCTCAGATGAAAACCAGGAACTTAAGGTAGAAACTCGATTTAAAATATGTTCAGAGGGTTGAACTTTTGTATTCTTAATTTCTCTCGGCGGATTAAGATAATTCCTTTCAGATATTCATAAAGATTTGACGAATTAGAAACCCTCTTCTCTGTAGTCAGCTGTTTTTAACAGAAAAAGCTTAACTAATTTAATTCGAAATAAAACATTAAAAATGCTATAAAATGTCTTTTTAATGAAAACTAATGCGTTTCAGAAATATTTTTTATTAAAAAACAAAAATTAACATTTGTATCGATTAAATGCATGAGCATATGATGTTAACTTATGGTGGGTTATATTTTTAAACATTTTGTTAAAATTTGACTTTAAAATTCTGCTGTTTAAGCACTGCAGTCATGCAGTTTTATGTTTGAAGAATTGACATGTATTTGTCATCAGCATTTTGGACAAAAATATATTTAATATTTAATTAATTTTTGTTGCAGGATAAAATCAAGGCTCTAGAGACACAAAACAAGACGCTTGCCGCCCAGCTGCGCCGTCTCCATCAGATTGTTGTGAATGGTGGAATGCGGCAGGGTCAGACTAGTACCGCGCTCATGGTTCTACTCCTCTCCACAGCTCTCTTCCTCATACCTGGAGTCAGAGATCAGGTGCGGAAACTTGGAAAACTTTTCACAATTTAAACCTTACTTAAGAATATGAATTTTTTTACAATTAAATAAAAAAGGAATTTCTTCAACTTTTAAGTTTCTTGGTCTTAATTTCTTTGGAATGATGGTTAATTGATCATTATTATTATTATTGAATTTTTATATTTTGGAGAAAAAATATCTTGTTGGGGGAAATGATTTAATATACAAGAAAAACGTGGAAATGCCATTTAAAATTTTTTCCTCATCATAATTAAAATAGTTTTTGGAAAGTTTTTTTAAATTTTTTAACGTAAAAAGTTTCTTAACCAAAAAGATGAAAATGTATATTTTTTGCTAATTTAGAATGAGGGCAAGGCTGAGATAGATATCCAAGCAGCGGTAAAGATGCCTCCGATGCCGGGACAGTCTAGATCCCTCCTACAGTTCCCCGACCCCATGGACAGAAACAACGACATTGCCGACTTGGCGGACTTCGAGGTATTGCCAATTTTTTTTATATAGGACATAAATTTATACACAATAAAATCTTAATGTTACTGAAGGAAAGATTGTATGCGTTTAAAAAAAATCATGAATTATTTAAGAAACTTGAAAGTTAAAGGAGAACTAATAATTCCCCACTTTTTGTCACCTAAATACATTAAGGATTGACAATCTCTGATCTAAAAAAAAGAATAAACCCATTACCACCCCTACTCTTTACCTCCCACCCTCCTCTCTCTCTCTCTTTCTCTCTCTTTAATTTAACGTTATAATTGGTTCATATCAAATTTTAACATTGCTGTTCAGTTTTAAAAATTTGAGTTTATAAAATTGTTAAATAATTAGGAGGAGGTAAAGTCTGAGCCTGGGATGGATGGAGGAAAGGAGATGAACTCCAGAATGCACACGGATCACGACTACACGGCTCTCTACCCGGGAATGAAAACTGAACCTGGTAGAGCCTGGATTGATGAGGATGCTCCGCCATTGGTAAAAATTATTTAAAATTTTATTTTGCACATTTTTTCACTTTTCGTTGACCAAATCGTCATTATTTAAAATAACAACAACATATCCTCTGATCTTTCTCCCTCTTGCTTCTGGTCCTAGTGAACAATAAATTCCCGTGACATTTCCTGCATTGCTCGTTGATGCATATATGCATTATATACATTATAATGTATTTCAAACAAGATTCAGGAATTTTCGGCGCGTTTTACGCAAATGCAATTAGATCGTGTGAACAGTAGCATAAAATAATTAATTTATTCGCTAAATGTGATAAAATGTAGAACCCATTTTTATTTCTTGAGATAATTTTTTTATCTGAAAGTAAAAAAAAATGAAATGCTTTTTCAGCAAATTTGTTTAAAATGCAACGAATTCATTGTGTACTCTACACGTGGAATAGACCAGGGCAATGCATTTACACGGAGCCTTGCAAATTCACAAGAATGGATCAATCCAACACTTAGTCATTTTTGTATTATATCTTCCCAATATGGATTGATATTGAATTGTAAAGAATATCCAGAGATAGGAAATAATTCTTTTATGCAATAAACCACAATGTTTTATAAATACTACCTTATAGGAATTAGATAAACGTTATCTTGTTGGAATCAAAAACGTTATTCCATATTGCAATTTTATGGGAATTAAATGATATAATTAGAATTAAGTTGTTGTTACATTCATCATGCATTTCTACCGAATGACATTTTAAATTTTGGTCTGACATTTGAAAGGTTATCACGTTTATAGTTAGTTTTGTTTCCTTTGTGTTCGACCATAACATTGATTGAAACAGGTCACATACTCCTTTGTGTTTCAACTTGCAGGGTGTATATTTATATTTATATTTAGTGGAAAAATCATCCCCCGGCCTATCTTTCCCTATCTTCTTTTCCTTTCAATTCTATGATTTAAAAAACTAGAACATTTTGAAATTATACGTACTTAATTAAATATTCACGAACTTGATCTGGATCCGTGTTTGAATCCTGATTTTTACAGAACGTTTCCTCTTGAAACATGTAATGTTAATTTTCTCCTGAACTTGTGTTAGGAAATCTTTGATTTGAACTAGTTTCGTGTGTAGGGGTACGGTAGTGCGTTGAAACTTGAGGAGGATGAGGATGATGACGAGGTGGTGGTGGACCGGCACATGAACGTCAACGTGAGCAGCTCGGGACAAGGAACTAGAACGGTTGTTCTTCAGATACCCAAGGTGTGATCAATAATTAACAATAATTTTATTTTTATTATGTTAGAAGTTCTTACGGAATCTTTGGANCCCCCCCCCCCCCCCGGGTCTTCAAAACTTCTCCACATATTCCTTTATTGTTTCAATAGCATAAATCCAGTCACTTTTGAAAAGAAACCATAATTAATAAAATCAATATTTTAAGTGAAAAACTATGATACCTAATTCATTCCTAATCAAAGATTTATTGGTACCTATGTGCATTGGACTTTTCACTCTATATGTGGAGGGTATCTTGAAATAACATATTGTTGTCTCTTTAAGCAACGACGATATTTCTCATTTTTTCTGTCTTAGATCCTAACAAAATTTTCTCATTTCAGGATATAAAATAGAGTTTGTTTGTTTTCCTCTGGAGGTGGTGGTTTGAAGATACCTTTACTGTACTGTACTGCATACAGCCAGGAACATCATTGTTTGTTACATAAATTCGCTGTACATACACTCTTCTCAAATCTGTCTGTTTGAAGCCCTTCGGGGATTTTTGCTGCAAGTGACACCGAAATTTTGCTCTAGTTATGGAAGGCCCGCTGTAATTTACTGTACAAATAAATCAATGTACTTATTGTACTGTTGTTCAACGTTTGTTGTGAACACACAATTGTCTTCAAGAGTAAAAATAAAAACAAGAAAACACCGGGCTCGCATTTCAAGTTTGCCGATGCAAACTTATATATATATATATATATATATATTAACACCTTTATATAGATATTTAAATATATTTACGAATTGTAAATACACAGCTTTTCCTAGATGTGTGGTAAATAATAAACTTTTCCCAGTGATACATCATCAAACTTTTTATCATCTTGAGGATAATTTTTTCACCTAACTGGGAAGGGTTTATGAAAAATATTTATAGATATAAGAATTTAAATCAACTCAGATGTAGTTTTTTTACTGCACTTTGTTCAAATTGTTAATATTGAACATAATTTAAGATTTCTGAACAGCTGAAGGTCGTGAACATATGTTCAAAGTTGTCCCACTGCACTGTTCATGAATGATGTAACCTGTTCCTGAAGTTCGTTAAATAATATTTTGATTTAATATTTATTTATTGTTAAAAAGCTGTGATAAAGCTGAGCTACTAGACCTACCGCTTCGTCTGGTGATTTATTTAAATTTTTGCTTTTTTAAAATATTAAATGTAAATAAATGGTTTCTATGTTTAAATTAAGTTTATTATCACTTTAAGCTTCGAATCCGGAGCCTAACCATTTTATTAGAGGATGAGACTCCAATTTTGTTAGACATGAAAGATTTTTTTGATCGATGATTAAAGACAAAGCGTAAAGAAATTCAAAATTGAACAAATATATTTTTTCCGTGATTTTTATCTTAATTTTTAGTTTGTTTGAGGTTAAAATTCAAGCCTTTAAATACCGAACGTATTGAGGGATATACAGCACTTAATGACTTGAATTTTATTCTCAACTAAAATAAGTAAAAATCCCGGCAAAAATGTCCCGTATCATAACTCACTAGGTTTTTTGGGCGCTTTAAGCCCATCTTTTATTTCAATTTTGAACATTTTCTCTTTATATAACATTGTAAAACAAAAACAAAAAAAGTTCGTGGATTTCATAAAAAAAAAATTGTGTATTTTGAAAAATTATTGGAGGCAAATTTTTGAAATTTTGATCATTCATCAACCTTCCCTGGGGCCACGCGAGGTTCACACAAAATTTGGACCTGATCGGTTGAGCCGTTTATTGGATACAAACTAACAGAAAAACAAACAGACAGACAGACCAGCTAAATTTATTTATAGAAGGCAGTTGCTTAATTAGATATTTTCACGTTTGGGTTAAACGAGTTAAACCCCTGTCAGGAGGTTTATCCAAAAATATTTCAGCCCTCAGGAGTCAGGAATTCCCATTGTTTCAGTGCCTTTTTAAACATATACATACAAAATATGGTTCTTCAAAATTCTGAATAGAATTCAAACATTTAAACAATCTCTAGATCACAGATTTGATATACTTCTCTCAAAAAACTGCCAAGTAGGGTTTCCGAACATATATGCTTTTATACCTGAATGGTGTAGTTTGTTGACAATAATAAGAGAGTTTATATTCTTTGTTTATGTTCATTGGATCTTACTCTTTGTTCACCATGCAGATGAAAACTGTAACCTTGGATATCATGAACTCATTCGAAGACGATCCCCTGGGCCTTCTGGTTTCTCCACCTCGAGTTCAGATTCTCCACCCATCCTAATGTTTCTCTTCCTTAGTCACAGGTTTCTCCGTCCAATCTCAGATTTTCCCGTCCCAACCTCAGGATTCTTCATATATCCCACTTTTTTGCTGGTTCTCAGTCCAGTCTCAGATTTTCCCGTCCCTACCTCAGGATTCTTTATATATCTCACTTCTTGCAGTTTCTCCGTCCCGACCTCAGAATTCTCCGTATATTCCACTTCTTGCAGGTTTCTCCGTCCCATTCCAGGTTTTGACCACCCCAACCTCAGGATTCTCCTTATATCCCACTTCTTTCAGGTTGCTCCGTCCAGTTCCCAGATTTTCTGCCCCAACCAAGGATTCTTTATATATATATATATATATATATATAGGCAACTTATTGAAGCTTTATCCGTCCAACCTCAGGATTCTACGTAAATCCCATTTCTTGCAGGTTTCTCCGTCCAACTTCAGATTTTCCATGTATCCCACTTCTTGCAGGTTTCTCCGTTCCTACCTCAGGGTTCTCAATTTATCCCATTTCTTGCAGGTTTATCCGTCCAACCTAGGGTTTCCAGCGAACGAAATGTTTCGCCAAATAATGCGAAAATTTTCGTTCGTATTTCGCATTTTTTTTCGCGAATATGAATGAATCGAAAAATGCAAAAACGAGAAATATGCGTCTTATATTCTTAAAATTTTGTCTTTGGCATGTTTTTTAGTCTCCGTATATTTTCGCGAAATTTACACATTATTTTGTTCAAGAAATTTGCGCATTTTTTTGCGAAATTTGCGCATTTCTTATTTTTCGAAAATTTCGCATTTTTTTTCGCGAAACAGAATGAAGCAAAATTTCGCGAAATAAGCGAAAATTTTCTCATTTTTGGTGAAAGAACGAAAAAGTAAAGGTGAGGAAAATCTTAGGAAAGAGTCAACTATTTTAAGATGAGAAAGATAAACAATGAAGAAAAAGGATGAAAAAGATAAACGATTCAGAAAAGGAAAAAGAAGAATGATAAATAAAGAAAAAGGATGAAAAAAGAAGTATATAATAAACGATAAAGAACAAGGGTGGAAATTAGAGAAGGATTAAGAAAAAGGATGGGAAAAAAGAAGGATAAAAGAAAAGTGCTAAGAACGAAAATTGAGATTGAAGGAAAAGAGTAAGGTGAAGAAAAGCTTAGAAAAGAATGTGAATGTATTGTATTTTTTTGTCAGTCTTTAACAGAAAGATGGAAAAAAGGAACAAGAAAATGAAATGAATGTCGTCTTCTTCAAAACACTAGTGTGGAAGGAAGTGTGGAAAGTGAGAAAGATGAAAGATATATAGTTTAAGAAAAGAAATGTCTTTGTAAGAATACAATTAAAGGGACTATCGACGTAATTATAAGTGACCCGTGGCCGAATTTAAAGAATTTGAGCGGCGGTTTAAATTTGAGCCGCGGCTTAAATATGGTTGGTTCCACTTAAAATTGTGTCAAATGCTTCAAGATTTAAGATTTAATTTAAACCGGGGTTTGGCATATTTAAACCGCGGCTCAAATTCTTTAAATTCCATCTCAGGTCTAAATAAAGAATATGTGCCCGATTCACAACCGTATCCTTTAAACCTTAAAGTCACGTGGATTTACCGGTTCTGTCAATATTCCAGAAAGCTGTGACTTTCGATCACAATTTGACCCATTAAACACAATTTGTTAGCCTTTCTTCTTAAATACTTTTTTGTTGGCATATGCATTTTGAATGAAAATGTATTCAATAAACAAATCCGTAAAGTAAATGATTATTGAATTAAAGACCAAAACACGTTTGATTTCAAATAGAAGAAACCGAATGCTGTTCACTCTGGTCAGTCCGGTGTGAAGTCTGAGCAAAAACTTCACTGATGTTCTTAAGCTTCTATTTTAAAAATTCAATTATTTCCAACTGTGGTTTCTCTATAAAGTGACAGGGGAGAGTCATTTTTACATTCGAGGTCAAGAAGAAAATCGTCTGGAAAAAATCACACACTTTTCTTAGTTAAAGGTTGAATAATGTATAAATTGAAAAAAATCTTATTTGTTTAATAATTCATGGACGAGTTAACGTTAAATCTCACAACAAGTTGTTAATTGTTAACAGATATTAATTTATGTAAGTCAACTTAGATTAAAGTTAAATTTTCATTTAAACATTCGCTATGAGGAGACTTTTCATTAATCGATCATCCACTACTTGCCTGGAAACTGAACTAAAAATTCCTATTAAAGACTCCTTCCAAAATCATTAATCCTGGTTCTGATCCGTTCAATCTTCGCGTCTCTTCAACCATCTCCTGATCCGTCTCTTCAACCTTCTCCTGATCCGTCTCTTCAACCTACTCCTGGTCTGATCTATCCATTCATCCTTCTCCTGATCTGATCAATCCATTAAACCCTCTCCTGATCCGTCCCTTCAACATTATCCTGATCCGTCTCTTCAACATTCTTCAGATCTGTCTCTTCAACCTTCTCCTGATCGAATCCATCTCTTCAACCTTCTCCTTATCCGTCTCTTAAAACTTCTCCTTTTCTAATCCGTCTCTTCAACCTTCTCCTGATTTCAACCTACTCATGATCCGTTCCTTCAACCTTCTCCCGATCCGCCACTTCAACCTTCTCCCGATCCGCCACTTCAACCTTCTCCTAATCCGTCTCTTTAACCTTCTCCTGATCCACCTCTTCAACCTTGATCCCTTCTCCTGATCCGTCTACTAAACCTTCTCTTGATCTAATCCATCTCATCAACCTTCTCCTGATCCGTCTCTTTAACCTTCTCCTTATACCCGTCTCTTCAACCCTCTCATAATCAGTCTTTTCAACCTTCTCCTGATCTAATACGTCTATTCAACCTTCTCTTGATCTAATCCGTCTCTTCAACCATCTCCTGATCTAATCTACCCAATCATCCTTCTCCAGATCCGTCTCTTTAACCTTCTCCTGATACGTCTATTCAACCTTCTCCTGATCTAATCTGTCTCTTCAAGCTTCTCCTGATCCGTTTCTTCAACCTTCACCTGATTCGTCTTTTCAACCTTCTCCTGATTTGTCTCTACAACCTTCTTCTGATCCGTTCTTTCAACCTTCTCCTCATCCCATCTATCCTTCTACCTTTTCCATATCTAATCTATCATTCAACCTTCTCCTGCTCTCATCTATCCTTCTACCTTCTCAAGATCTCATCTATCCCTTCAACCTTCTCCTGATCTCATCTGTCCCTTCAACCTTCTCCTGATCTCATCTATTCTTCAACCTTCTCCTAATCCCTACTATTCTTAACCCTTCTCCTGATCCCATCTATCCTTCAACCTTCTTCGGATCAAATCTATTCATTCAACCCTCTCCTGATCCGTCTCTCCAAACTTCTCCTAATCCCTCTTTAACCTTCTTCTGATCCGTCTCTTCTACCCTCTCCTTATCCGTCCATTCAACGTTATCCAGATCCGTCTCTTCAACATTCTCCAGATCCGTCTCTTCAACCCTCTCCAGATCCGTCTCTTCAACCTTCTCCAGACCCGTCTCCTCAACCTTCTCATGATCTAATCCCTTTCTTCGACCTTCTCTTGAGCTATCTCTTCAACCTTCTCTTCGACATTTTACTAATCTAATCCGTCTCTTAACCTTTCTCCTGATCCGTCTCTTCAGCCTTCTCCTGATCTGATCTATCCATTTATCCTTCTCCTGATCTGATCTACCCATTTAACCCTCTCTGGATCCGTCCCTTCAACGTTATCCTGATCCGTCTCTTCCAGCTTTCCCTGATCTGCAGGGTGGCCAAAACTTTTTTTAAAAAATCCGTACATTTTCAGAAAAAATCCGTACAATTTTCGAAAAAAAATCCGTACAATCCGTACAATTTTCGAAAAAAAATCCGTACAATCCGTACATTTTTTGAAAAAATCCGTACATTTTTTTTTAAATCCGTACAATCTGTACAATTTTCCAAAAAAATCCCTACAATCCGTACATATGATATTCTAAGCCGGGTCTGCTACACCATATTTTAAACTGGGTCAGCAAAACCATATTCTAAGCTGGGTCTGCACACTATATTCTAAACTGGGTCTGCAGAACCATATTCTAAACTGGGTCTGCTACACCATATTCTAAGCCGGGTCTGCTACACCATATTTTAAACTGGGTCTGCAAAACCATATTCTAAGCTGGGTCTTCCACACTATATTCTAAACTGGGTCTGCTACACTACAGTCTAGACTGGGTCTGCCACACTATATTCTTAATTGGGTCTGCTACACTATAGTCTAAACTGGGTCTGCTACACTTTATTATAAACTGGATCTGTTACAACAATATTCTAAACTGGGTCTGCAAAACCATATTCTAAACTGGGTCTGCCACACTATATTCAATATTCTAAACTGGGTCTGCTATACCATATTCTAAAGTGGGTCTGCCACACTATATTTTGTATTTCACACTATATTCTTAATTGGGTCTGCCACACTTTATTCTAAACTGGATTTGCTACCTATATTCTAAACTTGGTCTGCCATACTATATTCTTAACTGGGTTTTCCACACTATTCTAAACTGGATCTGCCACACTATATTCTTAATGGGTCTGCCACACTATATTCAAAACTGGGTCTGCTACACCATATTCTAAACTGGGTCTGCCACACTATATTATTAACTGGGTCTGCTACACCATATTCTAAACTGGGTCTGCAAAACCATATTCTAAGCTGGGTCTTCCACACTAATATTCTAAACTGGGCCTGCTCAAATGAACACTTCTGGGACAATTCTCGAAAACTATGAATGAATTTTTATTGTCAGTTGAAACATTAATCAATCTAGTATTATTTAGAATGCAGAAAATAAGTTAAATTAACTTCATTTTGACGAGATTTTTTTTGAAATCTATATGAAAAATTTGCTAAAATGAGTGAAAATTCAAAAATAACGGTGTATTTCCTTGATAAAAATCCGTATAATCCGTACAATTTTAGGGTTACAAATAAAAAAATCCGTACATTTTGGCCACCCTGGATCTGTCATTTCAACCTTATCCTGATCAGTCTCTATCACCTTCTCGCGATCCCATCTATTCCCTTAACCTTATCCTCTAGTTTTCTATGGGGTAAGTAATCGTTTTAGTTAATTTTTTCTTAAACTTCTAATTAAACTTCCAACAGTTAAAAATTGTTTTCTGTTTAGGTTTGCCTTAATTAAACTTTGGAAGAAAAAACTAACCAAAAAAAAACAATCTTTTTGGGGCTCAGTAACATTATGCCTAGTTCGTAATGCCTAGAAAACATTATGCCTAGATTTCATGCCTAGTCACCCAATGCCTAGATAATATTAGACTGAATTGAATGCCTATAGACATTGTCAAGCAATAAATAAATGATACTAATATGTTTATATTATTTATTCACAACATAGTTAAAGTTGTATTTGTCCCTAAATCCATCACCTTCCTTTCTCCGTCCGAGTTGCACTTATAGAGAGCAGCCATTGCTGCGTGTCAAACTTCAACTGAAGTTGCACATTTTCAGAAAGTTGTTTGCGGATTTTTGTAAAAATGTTACCGGTGACCGAATTTAATGAATTTAAGCCGCGTCTTCAATCCGCCAAAAACCGGTTTCAATCGAGCGCCGGCTTAAATCTTGAAACATTTTAAGTGAAACCAACCATATTTGAGCGGTGGCTTAAATTTAAACTGTCGCTCAAATTCTTTAAATTCGGTCTCTGATTGTATGTTTTTTTCTCTCTTTAATATTTTTATTTCTCTTTGAAATACACTGTCTAGGCATTCAATGCACTCTTATGTTATCTAGGCATAATGTTATCCAGGCATTTATGAATCTAGGCATTGTGTTCTCTAGGCATTATTATCGTTGTATTATACATTAAACATAGAGAATGGAAATAATGTTAGGTAATTGTTTATTTACAGGTAACCGGTTCTTTATTTTGCAAAACAGCTCAGTACAGTACATATACATAAATATGTGAATAGTACAGTGCATACATACGTTAACAGTGCAGTACATTAAACCATACGAAAGTTTACTAGTCCAAATGTATAACGTAAGAAGAGGTATTATTTAACGACTTATCAGCGGTCACATGCGAAATGATAGTTGTTAAAATATTTTGAGCAAACTGTTAGATCATGTTGCAATTTTTTTTTAAACCCCTGACATCTGACTGTTTTATTGGTGCAAAGAATAGTTTCTTTTTATCTTACTTAGAAATTTAGATAATTCGGGATAATTTGAGTTAATCCAAGAAAGGAATAAATCTTGTTCAGTGTAAAAAAAATATCTAATTATTTTCTATTTCCTCTCATTTGGTGTTGGCGGAAAATTAGATTATTTGAACAGAAAACTCATGAATATTCATATTGATGAACACACCAACAGAATAAAAGTTAAAATTCAATATTTTAAAATACTACCAATTCGACGTACTTCAATTCATCTATATTTTGTTTGGATCATATTTGATCAAATATCAACATGTTAGTTATATGCTGTTGTTACATTATACATTTTACGTAATTAAGATTGAATTAATTAAATTTACGCAATGCAATAAAATATTACATAATGCCACAACTATTTTTCATGGTTAAACGTTTTGATTTGGACCTTTTTTATACCTTCATACAATAATATTACATGATTTAACACTTTTTCGTGAAAGAAAGCCCCTAAGCTGGGAACATTTAAATGAACAGAATAAGTTTAAGTTCTTTTCTTCTCGTAAAGGATCTGTAGGATTTCATGTAGCTCTTCATGCAAAAATGGCAAATTGCAATGTCTGATTCACAACTGTACCCTTTAACCTTTGCTTGACCAGTTATGAATAAAATGTCAATGTTTATAATTTGGAAAATTAGTTATTATGAATTGTGTTTTCTGAACAAAAGTGACATGCGCATTTCTATGGCAGGAATCCAAATAGGAGTTATCACTAGAATACAACAATATCTTGGACATCATTGAACTGAAAAACGGGTTCAAGGGTACTGTTGTGAATCGAGCATCGTCATTCATCCGAATTTTGACCATTTGACCTATGAAATGCCGTTTAATCCCCCGCGAGAAAAATTTAACTCATTACGTTCATTTAAAAGTTTCTGCTTCTGAACAAATTATCAATAATATTAAAAATGAATTGCCTTCAAAGTGTGGATAGAAAATGTTTAAGTAAAGGTTTGTTAAATTATAACATTTGCTTGAATATAAATTATGTTATGGACATTGTTATCAAAAATATCTGGAGACAATTTAAAACTATTAATTTAATCATAATCATTGACAAAATGTTCAATTTGATTTTAAAAAGAGGCCTTAGAACAACTTGAGATCACAGTTGCTGAGGTTGGAACAGTATCACTAATCTAATTTAAAACCAGTTCAAACTAGTTTTACCTTGGTTTTACTCTAGATAAAACTAGTTTAAACCTGGTTTTGATCTAGTTAAACCAGTTAAAACCTGAAATCTGATTTTATCTATTTTAAACTAGTTTTTAACCCCGGTTTTAATCTAGTTAAATCTGGTTTAAACCTGGTTTTAATCTAGTTAAACCAGTTAAAACCTGAAATCTGATTTTATCTATTTTAAACTAGTTTTTAACCCCGGTTTTAACCTAGTTAAATCTGGTTTAAACCTGGTTTTAATCTAGTTAAACCAGTTATAACCTGAAATCTGATTTTATCTATTTTAAACTAGTTTTTAACCCGGTTTTAATCTAGTTGAATCTAGTTTAAACCTGGTTTTAATCTAGTTAAACCAATTAAAACCTGAAATCTGATTTTATCTACTTTTAACTAGCTTTTAACCCCGGTTTTAATCTAGTTAAAACAAGTATAAACATTACACTAAACTCTGAATTTACAGGTAACATTAACATCTATAGACAACAATAATATCACACTCATCAACAATATAATAGGTCGAAAATACAACATTTAAATTTTCTTTTATCACTTTTTGATTTAAATTTTTTGTTTGTTCAAGAAAAAAAGGAAGTGCCGTAAACTGAAAGCAAGTGATATACTTAATTAAAATATTTCCACTAGCTGGAGGTCGGGATTGTGACAAAATGCAAAAAGGGGGTGAATTGTAAAATATATTCAGATTTTTTTAATAAAAAAACGCAAATTTTTGAACATTATTTGCATCGAGATATTATGCATTGATAAATATCTTTAAATGATTAACATATTATATCTCACAGTTAAGGAATTTTGATTAAGAAAAATATCTCCAAGATATGATCGAGGTTCAGGGTTTTATTTATATCTCCAGAACTGGTATTCAGTCCTCTAGTGTAGACTGGTCTAGCTTTTCTCTTTCAGATTGTTCATTCCTGTAAACCAGCTCATTTTTAATAAATGTTTTATCATTTCTTAAAAGATTGTGCCAAAACTTTAGTTTGTTATTAAATAAAAATGTTCTTTTCTAATTCTATAAAGAATTAAAGTAAAAGATTAACATAGGATTTGATTTCTTACTTTATATATTACATATATTATCCTTATAAGTATTTATGCAGTAATTTAATTTGAAACCTAAAATGGCTGAAGGAAGTGGTAGAATTGATTTATATTATGCGGATTTTAACAGCTTAGTAATTAGGTGGGGGTTAAAAAAGATAAGAAAACAAAGCTGATGTTTGTTGTAAGTAAAACTAGTTTCACAGCTGTTTAAAATATTTCACATTAGCAACTTGGCAAGTAAACTCCAGTCTAGTTAGTTCTAACTTCTAACGTCTTGAAGGGAGTGACTGGCTAGATATGGTAGTTAAACTAAGAGTACAGTATTATAAAATAAAATATTAGGATTTGTTTATTACAGTAAAAACATTTTGACCATCTATAAACAGAGAAAACTCTTTCTTAATGAATCACGAGACTGGATAATTCACCGTTTAAGTAATGTACAAGATAAGCCTTCTGACCCCATGGATAACAAAAAAGTGAATTTTAAGTTTAAACTGTACAATGAATTATAAACACCATACAGTATACCATATCAGATAATCTCCAAGCTTAGCGACAAAATAAACACATAATTCGCATATTCTGCAAGAATTTTTTATGTAAGTCTTGTGTAAATTTACAAAATGATTCAATCTTCTTTTATTTTCTGATTAGTCCTGAAAATCGTAATTTAGATTAATTGACGATCTAATATGATATGGGACACCCTGTATTTACGGCCTGAGCTAGGAACTTTTGTATTGGATACTCATAATCCCGATCCACAGATCTAGATATTCAAAGTGGGCACTTTTAATTTGAGGATCAATGCTTCATCTGTTCATTTCAGCTGACTGGGTACGATATTGATAACCATGCGGGATATCGAATAAAATTATCAGTATATATATCCACAATACCGAGAGTAGCTATAAAAAGAGTAGCATCAAAATGGAGAACTACATGATAAATGTATAATTGTTCTATTAAAGATGAACTGTATTTTCCTAGAATAGTTTGTATTTCCTCCTGCATAAACGCCCAGGGTACAGTAGAACCAGCTAGAGGACATTTATCACCACTAGGACAGAACGCCTAAAATAGGACATAATTTTAGAACATTTATTGACTAAAAAGGACGTAGAGATAAGACGTTTACCACCGCTATGGTTCTAGAAAAGAATGCGATTCAAGGACGATCACTAGGACAGGACGCATAAAAAACGTAATTTTAGAGGACATTTTTTACAGATCGGACGTAAACTTGAACAAGACGCCATAGGCAAACCACCTAAATATTCTACAAAATAAATGCTGTCAATCCCTGCTATCTAGCATAGATCGCAATTTTTAGGACTAAATCAGAACGTCTCAAAATTTAGGCAGGACCGAGTGAAACTTGGCGGAGGGTTGCAGGGGGCAGATAATTATTAAAATCATCACAACTGAAAAATTTAACATGAATTCGATGTTAATTATAAAATAATATAAAAATGACAAAATTAATGTTTACTTTGGTAGATAGAAAGTTTTCATAATTTTGTTATTACAACTTACTAAGTGGCCAACATTTTTGAGAAAAATCCGTACAAAAATCCGTCCATTTTCAGAAAAAAAGTTCGTAGAATCCGTACAAATAAGAATAAAAATATTTTTTATAAGAAAAGTATCCAAAATTAACCTCTGTACAATGTACATATAACGGTACACTGTGCAGTGTACATATGATAAAGATGATTAAGTAGGTTAAAAAAAATCACGATAAAATAAAAAATACAATTTAAAAATCTGCTTACTTTTTATGTTTGTACTATTGAGGAAGCTTTCTTTTTATTTTCTAAATTCCTTATTTGTCTAAGCTTAAAATTCATTATTTAGCAATAAATAAGATTAATTAAGAAATCCTTGACCTTAAAATTTTTTAAAATCTAAAGTTAGGATGATTTTTAGAAATCTTTTGCATTTTATCTGCACTCGACAGTCTACAGAGTGTTCCCAATAAACGTGAACATGGGAATTGAACTTGAACAAGACGCCATAGAAAAACCGCCAAAATATTCTACAAAATAAATGATAATAATCCCTGCTATCTAGCATATATCGTAATTATTAGGACTAAATCAGAACGTGGGTCTGTCCTAGTGAACGATTTTTGGGCCCCCCCCCCCCCTCCTATCGATTTTGTACATGTCCATTTATTTTTCAGCAAATTTATTATTAATTATTTTTTGTTATTTAGTGTTAGGTTAGGTTAAGATACTTTCTGGGCCGAGCGCTGCGGCTAGGATGGGCTAGGGGGCCGAGCGCTGCAGCCACGGGTTAGGTTAGTTAAGACACTTTCTGGGCCGAGCGCTGCGGCTAGGATGGGCTAGGGGGCCGAGCGCTGCTGAGAAAAATCCGTACAATCCGTACAAATAAAAATATTCTTAATATAAAAACATCCAAAATTAAAAAAAACATCAAAACTAAAAAAATGCATTCCTCATTTCTATTAATATGAATTTTTCTTTGTGTTTGTATGTGAGCAAAGGCTGACCTTTTTATGTTTGTACTATCATGTCAGCTATTCTTTTAATTGTCTGAATTGGGATGGGTTTCATTATTTGTCCAAGCTTAAACTCATTATTTAGCAATAATGAATAGTTCTCTGTTTTAATTAAGAAATCCTTAACCTTAAAATTTTATAAGATTTAAAGTTAGGATGATTTTTGTGAGATCTTTTGCATTTTATCTACTTTCGACAGTCTACAGAGTGTTCCCAATAAACGTTAACATGGGAATTAAGTGATGACTTTAAGAAAGTCTTTGATTTTCAGTAAAGATTCAACACACACCACATTTCGGAATGTTTACATGTACATTGTTATTGTAAACGTAAATGATGACGACTTCATAATTCCCATGTTTATTGGGACGTGTATAACATGACAAGAAAACCAGCATTGGTTGGTTTTCACTTTTTAACTCTTTGTACTTTTTTTCGGGTAATTTATCAATTTCAGATAATCTGAATTTTGAATGAAAAAAGAAATTTTATATTTAGGAATTAACTGCATTTAAAAAAGGAAGACGACAAAAATAAGGGAATCCCTAATCCCATTCCGTTCATAATGGACCATAATTAATAGAATACCATTCTTTATGGGCCTCGCACTTTTTATATTACAATAACTTTTGAGTATAAGAGATTTCCCGGTGTTTTCCAAGTTTTTAATTTTTCACTTTCTATTTTTCACTTGTTCTTTAATTATAAAAAAGTGCAGGATTTTCTTAAATAATAAAAGTTAACTAATAATTTGAGGTTTCTTCTTAAGCTAAAATTTTGGATGATCGATAATTATTTTTAGAGCTAGAGCAATCTAAAAATAAAATTGTCATTTTTACAAATAAATAAAAGAAAGCAATGGTACCGACATATTTCATGCTAACTTTGCCCAGCCGAAAAAATTAGCTATTTTTTATCAATTTTCATAAAAAGAAAAAATTTACACCTAGAAATAACTGAAGTTTTTAACATTCTAAGACACCTTGATTGTGAAAATTAAGCCAAAAGTGTTCCCTCAGTACCAAATACCCCTACTGCAAAGTTTTTTTTTGTGGGACATCATGTATTTCTGGAGAATATTCTCAAATGAACACATTTGGAACATATTCTCGAAAAGATGAAATTGTCAATTGAAACAACAATCAACCTAATATAATTAGGAATGAAAAAAAAGCTGAACTTCATTTTGACGAGACATTTTTGAGAAAATTTTTTATGCCAAAATTAGCTTTTGTTGAGTCAAAATCCTGAAAATCCGTACTATTTCAGACATTATCAGAACATTCCGTACAATCCGTACAATGTTTTGGTTAAAATAAAAAAACCTTACAATCCGTACATTTTGGCCACACTGTAATTATTTTCGTTTAAATTTAAAGTTAGTGCGTACAAAATGTTAAAATACAAGCCTCTTTTAAATCAATTCGTATTGCCCAGCTATGTTTATAGTTAACTATGTACTCTGAAGTGTGTAGTGTGTATGATTGAAATATTGAACCTTGAGCAAATAATAGTTTCTGCAAAAGAAAGCATTTAATTTTTAAACATACAAGAACTTAAATGCATGTACAATGTACATACATCATTTGTAAAAGAAAAACTAACTTATCGGAACAGAGGTTGGATTTAATGAATATAGAGAGGTAATTAATTACGTAAGGGAAGTTCATATGCTTCTCCACTGCATGGACGGAAGTGCTCTTGAGAAGTACGTACTTGTACTTTAACCTCACTGACCTGGCTTAATTTGACATAAGGTCCCGCAGGACTGATATTGTTCAAGAATGTTTTTATTTGGTTGGTTTGTACTGAGGACTTAATATCTAATCGTATGCAAACATTAATAGTCTCCAAAACACATTATCAAAGGCAACAGTTTGATATTCAAACTTTTCAAGTTGAATTACGTTTAGCGACTCTTTTTTCCTGTTTAGGAATTTAGAAAACTTCTTTTTTTTTGATGAAACTCAAATTATCTAATTTTAAAGTCAAAATAAATAGGAATGTAAAAATATTTCTGTAATTTTAACGTCAAAATAAATAGGAATGTAAAAACATTTATGTACTTTTAACGTCAAAATAATTAGGAATGTAAAAACATTCATGTACTTTTAACGTAGAAACAATTAGGAATGTAAAAATATTAATGTAATTTTAACGTCAAAATAATTAGGAATGTAAAAATATTTCTGTAATTTTAACGTCAAAATAATTAGGAATGTAAAAATATGTCTGTAATTTTAACGTCAAAATAAATAGGAATGTAAAAATATGTCTGTAATTTTCTATAAATAGAACAGACTGAGTAATAGGTACTTAACTTAGTATTCCATTATTGATTTTCTGTCAACTGAATTATTAATCTAACTTAAACTAGTATTTTCTACAGCTTTTTATTGCTGAGATTTAAAGCATAGCATAAAATACAAGAGGACCCTCCTACAACGCCCTTTAGTAACAAAGGTTTCCAACAACCAGTTTTTTGAAAATAAAAATAAATAAAAATATTTTACAATTAAAATAGGTTTCCTTTAAAAAAATTCTATTTATTTTTCAAAGCTTTTTTTTCTTCTCTAAGTCGATTTTAATTACTTTCTAATACGTCTTTTCTAGTCGCAGCACTTGACGAAACAATGATTTTAACTAATGTTATCGGAAATATTTGAAAACATAAAATTGTTCAATAGTAGCATTCTTTCTGATATTTAACCAAAATAAAACTAGAGTTCGACGTAAAAAAACTTGCATCATTATTATATATTAAAGTTGGTAATCAAAACCCTTGTGTACTTTAATACTTGCAATAAAAAAAAGATGCAACCCACGTGCCATGGCGCAAAACATTAAATTACGATACTAAAATGCAATAAAACACAATTTGCTTTTTTATCAAAATGCTGAAAGAAAATATTAAATTACATAACATTAACAAGATATTCTTGTATCAATAATAAACAATTTGATTTCCAGATTGATCTAGTTTAATTTTTATGTAAATAAATAGTTCGTTATATTAAATATCATTAGGCGGTATTACATTGTATTTATAATTACGGTATTACATTGTATTTATAATTAGAGGATTTAAGATAAGCCCCCTTAACAATATTTTTCCATTTCCAACTCTCCAACTCTCCCAATGCGATGTATGAAGATAACAACTCCCCCCCCCCCTCCGGCCTCCCTCGCCTGTAAACTCAATCTTTACCCGTTTTAATGAATTAAGTCAATTTAGATTGTTAACATTATGTCTAAATAAACCAGAAAGGGGGTGGGTGGTGGGCCCAATATTGTCATATCCCATCAGTGCAGAGTTCTCTAAGATATGAGTAGGAGTAAAACTATTTGAAAACTAAAAATTAATCCTCGTAACCATTCACCAAATCAATGTAAAGGATCTCTTTAACATTTTTTCACCGTCCCTTTCATTTGTAAAATATAGTTATTACTTAACAACTCTTAAGACTGATGTTGGCACTAATGTATATATAAATTAGTTTCCCATCATACTTTATGGTCGGAAGAATAGCCCCCCCCCCCCCTCTCAGTCACTTAAAATCACTGCAGCAGTAGATATCATTCAATTTCTATTATGCGTCCGATTCAGTTTTCAGACCCTGGTCCGAAGTTGGTCTCAGAATTTATAGTGGAGATTAAGTCTAGATCAAAACTGAGTCGGGATTTAATACTTGTGCATTGGTTTATTGAATTTCAATGAAAAAATCTAGGGTTTAAAAAGATCGGAATATTTCAATCTGAATTTTTGCGATAATATCATGTTGATTTCACTTCAATTTCATTTAATCATTATTATATTTGTCCAAATTGGAGACATTTTTCTTCTGTTTCAAATGATTGTTTTGTAAATCTATTTGATATGAGTAAAATGTCAGTTGAGACGCAATAGCAATATTTTTATGTCCCGTTAGCGTTTGCATGGGAAGTTCCAATTCTACAAAAACTCGCTAATCTTTTTTTTCCCACCCTGTATTATGTATGATATATATTAAAAAGAAAATTCAAAGCAAATTCAAAATGCACATGTTAATGATTTATGATTATATTATGATGAATCATGTGATATGAATGAATTTATTTTTCTTTTTTTTCCCTTTTACTTTACCTCATTTCCTTGTTTAATGATGGAGTCCCTGCAGCATGAGAAGCAGAACTTGTGTGTCTGATTGCTGGGACACTGAACAAAGTGTGTATCCTCTAGTTTACCAGCACAGTTGGTGCACTTGAGTATAGGGTTCCCATCAGCACCCACCTCACCTTCACGAACCTGTCCGTTACTAGACGAGGAAACCTGAACATCAAATTTAGGATTAGAAGAACCGAGATGGAATTTAAAGAATTTGAGCCGTGGTTTAAATCCGCCAAAATCCGCCAAAACCCGGTTTAAATTTAGCGGCGGCTTAAATCTTGAATTTGATACAATTTTAAGTGGAACCAACCATATTTAAGCCGCGGCTTACATTTTAACCGCCGCTCAAATTCTTTAAATTCGGCCACTGAAGACATAATTCCAAGTGTAAAAAAGCACCCTGTTAACAACAATAAAAACTAAGCAACTTTCAGTTACAGTTACTATAAATTTTATGAATATCAGGGCTTAAAGGAGTCTTAGAATAGTGAGAATTTACAAGCTGTTAGAATTAAATAAATGAACATTCAACTGTAAGCACGAAATTCCGTTGTACCAAACAGGGTTTCTCACAAAAGATGAAACTCTAGAAAGGTCCGTTCTCTTCAGCTGTTAACTTTTTTGCAAGTCATTTAAGATATCACGAATTGAGTATCAAGTACTCAAATACTCAAATTCTATCTTAAAAAGAACCGAATATAAGAGTTATGGTCGTCATTGCAGTCTCATCCTTTGTGGATTATCCCGTATTTGTTAGCGATCTTGTATTATTCACACAAACTGCTTAGTTGGGATCAATCTGATCCATCATCGCCCAAGGCAACTATCCGCCCCTGGAGCAAACATTGTGGATATAGAACCGCCTAGCTATACAAGATTAATAATCTGGTTTTTTATCAATTAGTATTCCTCCACATACCGGACCATATGATACAAATCAGAATTACGCAAGTCATGGTTTATGGAATACGCGCTATTACATAATGATAAATTTCTTAAAAATTATGGAAATGAAAACTAACTTGTAGAGAATAAAATTTGAATATATTATTTAAAACAACGTATTTTCAAGTGAATTTGAAGAGTGCCAAGTCCGATTCACAACTGCAGTAGCCTTTCAGCTTTGGTCTTATAAAGAACTAGCTGAAGGGTCGGGGCGTTGCCCGTGGAAAAAAGATTTTTTTTTTATTTTGATTTTTTTGCTTAAAACACCCCCGGCCACTCATGAGTGTCCACTAAAGATTTCAGCCCAATCGGTCCTGCCGTTTAGCCAGCTTTACGCAACATATATATGACTGTCTTGTTTTATTATTTAGATGAAGGAGATATCCTTATTTTTCTAGCTGAAAATCTTCCTGTACACTCCAAGCACTAATTTATCACCTAAAACTTATCAAGTTACTCCGTCATCGATAATCAGACAAAAGTTACTGCTGTGAATCAGACATTCCACTCATAAATGGATCGTCACTTGAAATTACTTCTACAGTCCCTTAAGATACCATTTTGACTTCTATATCTGCATTTGATCTACAAAATCATATAAGCATGCACGACCTTTTCAATTTATAAATATTTTTATTTCTTCTGAACTTTTAGCATGATGAGAACTTTAAGTTTAAATATCAATATTTGTAATATTATATTTTAAAAGCGTATCTTAAAATATTAAGTTTCTAAGAAATAACATCTTGAAAGAAATAATGTATTCATGTATGCATCTATCTATATAATAAAACAAGACACTGCTGAACCGAATAGGCAAAAAAAAATTGTGGACACTTATGAGTAGTCTGGGGTAACATAGACTAAAACAATTGAAATTTTATTTTATTTAAAAATTCGCGTTTCTTAAATTTTATTTTTTTTTCCTACTAGTATTATATAATATATATATAAAATTCATCCTTCCCAAGCAAAAAAAGAAAAGAGAAAAATGAATAATGAATTTCTAAGTAATCCCCCAAAACCTTCAATCAAAATATTGTTCAAGGAGACTTTCAGGAAACCTTTTAAAAAATTGGAATTTTCATCTTTTCTTTAAAATTGAAAAATTAAGAAACTACTGAGTTCAATTCTATTTTTACCTACTTAAAATACGATATAAATATATTTTCGGAGTTTTCTTAACTATAAAATAAATTGTTTAAAATTTTTTTATGGAAACTTATGTTCCTGAAAATGATCAACATCATAATTTGATAAGAATACGTTTTTAACCTGGTCTGGGCGGGACTGTGTGGAGGGAGGCCCATTCGAGAGGGGGCGGGACAATGGTGGCCCACCCACTTTATTCTTATTTTCTGGTCCCTTCATCTTATCTGTGTAGCCCGGGCCCATCCCGTTCGTAGTTAGTGGACCACCAGGACCAAAAGTCTAAAAAAATCTTTATTAAATAAAAGATCTGATAATAATCTCACGTCAGAACTATTGTTTTGTAAATCTCAAGATCATCATATGTAGAAATCCGGGAAAGTTCTTAGTTTAAAAATACTAAATTGACTGGGTTAACTTTTATAGACAAAGTTAAATAACCAGAAAAGGGAAAAATAATAAAAAAAGCATTCACAAGAATTAATAAAACTTCATCTATAAAAGCATCTGATTCAGTATTTGACAGTAATAATCCAGGATCTGCAACAGAAGGATTAGATCGGGATAATTTATAGAGCCAAAGAGAAAAGAATATATATCAGAGGGGAATTTACTAGACAAAAGTGTAAAACGGCCATTTTGTTGTACTGTTTCCATACTGCAGGTGCACTTCCCATATTTATGCTATATAACCTTTTGGGCCCTGGAATATCATTTTATAGAAAATCTAAAATTAAGAAGAAAGCCAAATTATGAAATAGGCTGTTTTCATAATTGACCAATGATCATTTCACATAAACTCTTGCCATTCACTTTAACAACGATGATTTTCCGTTATAACTATAAATCAAATGATGTCTTTTATTCACCTAATTCATTATATTAAAGTTTATTGAACAGCTTTAAAAGATTCGAAATAGAAATAGATAGTCTAGGGAACATACTGTATTAATGTACTCTACTGCATATAATTTGTGAACATTTACATGATATGTACACTTTGGACTCCCTTTCAGGCTGAAAGGGACTGAAAAAATTCATACCGAGAGATTCTCTAAATTCCACTCTAATATAAATTCTATTCTCTATGTATAGAGCTTTTGCAGTCTGATGTATTTGTTATGTTGCAGGGCATTGTTTTGGTTTTAAGTAGTTCAATAAATATATCAATGCATTTTCTCCAGTAATTAGTCAGCAGATAATTTGATAAGTTTAAAAAGTAAGATAACAACACTAAGCAACTTTAATGTGTTTGCAAATTACCAAGTTAAATTCTTTCAACCTTCATGATTCGAACAACAGGTTTTATGTTCGTGCATAAAACCTACGGTATCTAAATACACAATATACACTTCATACTTTCCAATCTTTATCTTTATCCGTATACTGGACAGGTTCATACTAAGGAAGTTTAATATACTTTTATTCATTTTTCTGATCAAAACATCAAGCAAAGACGTTCTCATGCTTTAAATGATTAGGTGGTGTTGATTCTCAGGCCTCCTATTTTAATTATTTGAATTTTTAAAAATCAGAAGTAACAAAACACTAGTAAAATAATTGTTGCTATAAATGTTACTTTCAATCGTTTATTTCTTAACATGTGACATTTTTTAGAATAAATCTGTTACTACAACCGCAAATTAAAAATCTTCAGCAAAATTTCAAAATAAAGTATTCTGCTAACACTAAGAAAAATTAACCGATGCACAGTAGTGATATGGCTACGGAAATGAGGATCTGTTGCATTCTTAATATCACTGTCTCTCGTAGTGATATACAGACGCAACGTAGTGATAAACTTAGGCAAATACTATATCAATACGAGAGATAGTGAAATTGTGAATACAACATATCTTCATTTTCCGTAGCGATATCAATATTGTGCTTTAATTTTTTATTTTGAAGTTCTGGAACACGATAAAATTTCGGATTAATCGGAAGGTTTGGCAAAAAAACATACACTCATGCGCCTGTTTAAAATCACTACTTGCTCTGAGTGGGGAAAAATTTAATTTAATAATACATTATAAAATCTAATGTTTTGTTTCAAGTAAATCTTCATTTAATAAGTGCAATGTTCGAAACACAAGTATTTAATTTTAACACAACTGTCTCCTTTTCTTCAGTTGCATACATCCACAAATATTTTTTTTAGAGAAAATTGAAATTTATCAAATTTAGCTATATACACAAGGAGAGCTCATATATCTTTGATTATAATGTTTCAAGGGTACTTAAGTTAATCGCACGTACGACTCAGTACATGGAGGACAGTTTTTGGCAGAATATATTGAGAAGAAATTGACATAATTCTATTATGAGAGAAGGGTTAAGATTTGTTGACTAACAGTCGAGAAATATTTTATGAAATAATAGTTGGGATACCTAGCTTTCTCTAAAAGTCAACCCATTCAATTTAAAATGTTTAAACCAAGCTAAGAACATTCCAGTCATTCTACCAAAATCTGAGGAAATTTGGTTAAGGAGTTCAGACAAACGGTTATCACTACTTTATAAAATTACTAGCTTGGAAACCCAGCTTTGCCTGCACACTAACTTTACCTTTAAAAGTCTTACCTTGATTCTTTTATCCAAGCTAAGAACATTCCCCAATCAAAATTTGAGGCAAATCAGTCAAGGGGTTCATAAGTTATGATCAGACAAACAAACAGAGATTACTACTTTATACATATAGATAAGATCAAAGATGTCCAACCTGAGCATGAGGATTACTAGGTTGTCTCCGTTGAAACCCTTGCTCTAGTCCATGTAATTGAGGTGCTCCAAGGGGACTAGTATACATGGGGATACCTCCTCCTCCGACCTCAACAGGTTGCTGGAAGCTCAGAGGTCGCTGTGCTCCCGGATACGGAGCAGATTCTCGTTTAATCTGCTGAACTTCCTGCATGCCGTAACTACCACGCATCCTCCGGGCAGAGGCGAGGATAGCCTCGATTCTGTCCGGACCTTGGAGGCAAACAAATGTCAAAATTCAGAAAAATAATCGAATTAGAAGTTGGTCAGAAGTTCAATAAGGGATGTCGCGTATAGACATGGGACCATTAAACCTATATGCTGTAGGGGAAGCAAGGAAATAGAAAAAAAACTTGCGACGACTTCAGCTGATTTGCAAAATATTTCAAACGAGATATCAAGGGGAGTGGGATTTTAAACAAAGCTTTCGGTCAGTGTACTGCAGTGATCTGCAGTGCACGCACATAACAGGAATAACAGACTCAAAGAGTTTTAAGCCATTAAGAAGGTCTGAAATGAGGGGAACGTCCTAGTGAACGTTTTTTGGTAAGTACAAAATTGGTCTCGGGGGGGTTCCTGAAAATGAGTCCCCCCCCCCCCCAATCTCTTTTAAATTTTATACACGACCAGCTCAGTAACCATTTATCATCAAAATTAATAATAATTATTTTGTATTAATTTAGGATTAGATCAGATTCAGACAATTTCTGGGCCGAGCACTGTGGCTATAGAACAAGCTAGTGAGCCGAGCGCTGCGGCAACATGTCCAACTTTGACCATATGAAAAATTGATAGGAGGGAAGAGGGGGGTTCAAAAATCTTTCTCTAGGAAATAACCAGGGGGCGGGGGTCCAAAAAAGCTTTCAGGAAATTACGGAGCTGCCTTGCAATTATAATGAAATATATAACTTCGGAATAATTTCACTGAATTTTCTGAATTTTGCACACCCCTGGACCTTCATAATTTACACAGCTCCGACAAACTATCTCCGTAAAATCATGTAGAACTGCCCACGGTGACCGGGGCATTTCACACAAATAACAGGTTTGTTTCCTATACAAAGGATTCGACATTTTATTTGCTCACTTATATCTGAAATATAAAGTACTGAGTCGGGTATAACGTTCACTAGTATTCACGCATCTGTTGCTAAGCCTGTGGTCTGAACTGTACTGAATAAACCCCTGGCCCTAGCTGCTAGTATGGCTAGCCTACTCTACTACTAGTCCAATGATCCGATACAACGTGTAGCTTAATACAGTTTTATTGCACTTGCTGCGCTGTTCTGTGAATACGCACTCGTATACAATAAAACCGGTTTTTTACATATCTATTAACTCTGAACGAAGAGTACACAGTACACACAGTGCAAGGTGAACATGACCCGTGTACCCTTGACAGAGCACTGTGATTCAGCTGTTTTCAATCCTCGTTTAAAGCCTCGAGACTACCGTTACATCTTCACAAGACAACCTCCAGTATTCTGTATTATATTATACAAATACACTTTTCCAACACGGGGGTTTAAGGGAGGTAAGGGGAGAAGCAACAGCTTCGAGCGGCCTCCCTTTCCAAGCTACCAGAGGGGGGGGGGGGTAACGTACCCCATTTACAGGATTGAGGTGGAATTTCCACTTACCAATTTAACATTGAGAATCAGATAGTGCACGAAGCATTTAATTTATTCTTCTCCCTGCCCCATGAAGTCCTGGAGAGATCGGACAAAATGCCCCCCACCCCTCCCGCTGCAGATTAAAATTGAAATAAGGGCTTTTTTATCTTTTTTTCTTCAAAAACTCCCAGTTACGTGCCTGGAAACATTTAATTCCTAAAAGAAAAAATGATTTGAACTTCTTCAGGGGCTTCACCCATTCCTTTTAGCTAGGTATCTATTATAGTTGTAGCAATGCCCATTGCCCCCCCTTTTTCTTTCTTGTTCTCGGCCTTCACTATAGTTTATGATATTTAACACCATGATATAAAGCTGATGAGATAGAAACAAACTGGGATCATATTGAAATAAAAAAGATCTAAACATCGTGCAGTAACTGAATCTAATGAAAACTGAGTAGTGAGTATAGAAGAAATTGCTTATTAAGATGCCGTTTTACCGAAGAATCGCATTTTCTGAAAACTACTCAAAATTGTCAATACGTTTTTCATTTTTATTTTTATAAACAGTTATTTTTTCTAAAGACACTTCCCTTTATATATAGTTAGTCTGAGAGTTAGACATAATGAATCGAGTTCTTACCACAAACCCTATATCTTTGCAACCTGTTGGTATTAATCCTTGATTGAACGTTATAGACTCTTACAGAATTCATAGTTTGAAAAGTCAAAAGGTCTATTACACCGGATTGCAAAGATATAGTGGTTGAAACTCAAAGTTTTTGGAAAGAACTTATACGTTCCTTCATCATATTTCAAATTAATGTAGATCAAACATAAATTTTGATATTTACAAGTTCATTTTTAAAAATATTTTCTGTAAGTTTCACAATTGTTATTACGACTATTAAGGAAAATGATTTCCGTCTTTTACAATAAATACAAAGTAGATTTAAATACACCTTCATAATAATAAACCTTCAGATTTATTATAATTACGCACATCAAATGTATTTTTATGGAACTGCACTTTATTATGCAACAGATTGCATTAAGCAAACAAAAAAATAAGTTTTCTATCGTCATCCATGACTTGTATAGAAAATCTGTAATCTGTATCCAAGTGTGGGTGTGTGTCTGTCTAATCGTACTCAGTATTGTTGTTTTATATGTTCTGTATCCTGTATCCTTCCCCTTGTAGTTTTTTATCCTAGTACACGTGGTTCTGTATCCTAGTATTTGTAGTACTGTTTCATAGTTATTTGTTCTCTATTCTAGTAACCATGGTTCTGTATCCTAGTATTCGTAGTTCTGTATCCTAGTATTTGTAGTACTGTAACCTAGTATTCGTAATTCTGTATCCTAGTTATTCGTAATTCTGTATCCTAGTTATTCGTGGTTCTCGTATCCTAGTGGCTTGTGGTTCTGTATCCTAGTATTCGTAGTGCTGTATCCAGTTATTCGTGGTTCTGTATTCTAGTGCTCGTGGTTATGTATCTTAATATTCGTAATTCTGTATCCCAGTATTCGTGGTTCTCTATTTTAGTGCTCATAGTTCTGTATCCTAGTATTCGTAATTCTGTATCCTAGTATTCGTAATTCTGTATCCCAGTATTCGTGGTTCTCTATTCTAGTGCTCATAGTTCTGTATCCTAGTATTCGTAGTTATGTATCCTAGTTATTCGTAATTCTGTATCCCAGTATTCGTGGTTCTCTATTCTAGTGCTCATAGTTCTGTATCCTAGTTATTCGTAATTCTGTATCCCAGTATTCGTGGTTCTCTTTTCTAGTGCTCGTAGTTCTGTATCCTAGTATTCGTGTTTCTCTGTTCTAGAACTCGTAGTTTAGTCTCTTTGTTCTTTTGGTTCTCACCCTAAACTAAGATTTCGATGTGTACTGCAGTGATTTGCAGTACACTGGCCGAAGAAATCGTGGGGTTTAGTGGAGGGTGTTTTGTATCCTAGTTTTGAAGTTCTGTATCAGGTTCTGAAGGTTCTGAATTATATTGCTCAAGGTAATGAAAGCTCTGTATCCTGTATAAAGGTTCTTCTCATGAAGGTTCTGTATCCTGTATCCTTTTTCTTAAGGTCCAGAAAGTTTTGTATTCTGTGTCCTAGTTCTTTAGGTCCCGAAGATTCTGTATCCTGTATCTTATTTTTCCAGGTTATGAAGGTTCTGTATCTTAGTGCTCTGAGTCCTGAAGTTTTTGTTTCCGTATCCTAGTTCTGCAGGTCCTGAAGGTTCTGTATCCTTGTACTCTAGGTTATGCATCCTGTATCTCTAGGTTCTGAAGGTTCTGTAACCTGTATCCTATTTCTCCAGGGTTATGAAGGTTTTGTATCCTGTATCCTAATTCTTCAGGGCCTGAAGGTTTTGTATCCTGTATCCTAGTTCTCCAGGCCCTGAAGGTTCTGTATCCTGTATCCTAGTTCTCTAGGTTCTGAAGGTTCTGTATCCTGTATCCTAGTTCTCCAGGTCCTAAAGGTTCTCTAGGTTCTGTATTCTAGTTCTCCTGGCTCTGAAGGTGCTGTAACCTTGACTGTTCTGCTTTGAATACAAGAAGATGAGAAGCTAGGCTTTCCTGCGCCCCGGATTTGATCTCTTCTGGGTTGCTTGAAACCACTGCCTGCAAATAAACAACTCTCTCATCATGCATATCTAAACTTAACTCCTTGATTTTACACTTAGCAGGTTGGGTGTACGGGTAGCTTTTAGATACGGAATAGAAAGTTGTCTTTATTGTATACTATCAAAGGTTCAAAGCGTTTTCATGATTGGTTATTGGTTGATGGTTTTCTACCTGTTTAAAAACATTTGTTGTTCTTATACACTATTTTAAATTTGGACATGAATAGAAGAAAAATGCAAAAATTAAACCAAAAACGATTTAAAAACTATGCAAAAACGTAGCGATCGTTTTCGGATTGCTTTTCATTTGTTTTTAGGATAAAGATATATTGCAAAGTTTGATAAAATCTTGAAACCTTTGAAGTTTTATCTTAAAAAAAACGATCCAAAACGATTAACAACACTACAGTAACGATTATTATACCTTGATAACGGAGTCAACTAGGAAGTAATCAGCTCCTCCATGTCCCCTTGTTTTACAGGGTGGAGCAACCAGGTCCGGGTATACAATCTTCACGCAGATAATCCAGGTTTATCATCAATATTCAATACATTGAAACACCCCGTACACCTTGTAGGATAAAAATGAAACAATGAATTTAAAAATTACAATGTTTTAACACGATTTTTGTTTTGAACCCAAAATTTATTTTCGAGGAATTAAAAATAACTGTCACGTTTATCAATAATTTTTGAAAAGCTTTGATAACTTCTTTTGAGATTTATCTCCTAAATATTTAACCCTGATCATTCACCAATGGTTAATAAGAAATTTTTAGTTTAAAAAAAACTAAGTTTGATATTTGAAGAATAAAAAAGCTGGAGTATCTTCTTGCCTCAGTTTCACCAGACCTGAAAATTATTAAAAAGTTTGAGCAAAGGAATTGAGTTTTTTCCAAAAACTCTAATTCTTTCATTCTTATATCTTTGCCAGCCGCGATGTCGTAGACCTTTAATATTTCTTACTGTGAATTCTGTTAGATCAAATATCAAAATATCAAAGATTTAAACCACCAGAGTCTAAAACTAAAGAACGAAAAGTTTTGACTTAAAGTTTAAGTTCATGGTTAAATGCCACTTCTGACTTAATTTAAACCCGAACTTTAACCGTGAGGTTAAATATTTAAACCTGTGGTTAAATATTTAACTCGCCGAAGTCGACGAGTTAAAATTAAACACATGGTTAAAATCTTGAAATCCCGCAATCCCTCAATGTCTATCATCATGCAGCGATAAGCGGCGCGCATTCAACTAATAACGATATATTTAATAGTAAAACCCTTGATTTAATAAATTTCACTTTTTAAATTAATTAATGTTTGCACCAGAACCCAAAATACAGTTGTAACTGGAAATATGTTTTGTTTTCGGTTACGTAAATATTAAAAAGTTAACTTAAACAGCTGATTAGCGATGGCTATGTAATATTCTCCGTAAATTCTCTGATTGGGTGAAATTTTTCCCGGGAAATTCAAATTTAAAATTGAGAGAGTTTAATATTTAAGTAGCTATTCATTATTTTACAGAACTTTTAACCTCGAACTTAAAATTCGCGCATTCTTTAGTTTTAGACTCAGGTTGTTAAGATAATTTAAGTTCGGCAAAAGCTCAATTCTTTTAATTAAATTTATATTATGAGGTTATATTGGATTTAACAAAGAGCTCGTTATTCATGGATAACTATGTGTGTTGACGCTGTGAGTGTGCCCATCAATTTCTTGAATATGTATATTTTCTTAAATATGTAATTACCTAATTCTTTATAATAAAGCTCTTTGCTCATATATATTTGTTTGTATGTTAGCCATAGCTGTCCAAACGGCTGGACCGATTGGGCTGAATTTTTTTATGGGAACCCTTGATTACCTTGGGGTTTACATAGGCAAAATTTTTTCATATATCGCTTTTTTCTTTCCTGCAAAAATCATTTATTTTTTCAAAAATCAACTTTTTTTAAAATTTTTTGCTACTACGGGCAAAGTCGGGCACTTCAGCTAGTGGTAATAAATAAAAAGATATTTTCTTACACTTTTCATCTAATAGAAATCAAGCTCTTTATCTAATCCGACACGGTAGACAGAAATAGAAGGCCTTTACTTTACTTTACTTTACTTTACTTTACTTTACTTTACTTTACTTTACTTTACTTTACTTTACTTTACTTTACTTTACTTTACTTTACTTTACTTTACTTTACTTTACTTTACTTTACTTTACTTTACTTTACTTTACTTTACTTTACTTTACTTTACTTGTACAACTTCGAGACCTCGTAGCCCCTCTAGTTTTTTTCTTCCGTATATGTATCACGTCAAACTAAAGCAATTCCACGTTGCATTAAATATCTAATATGTTTTCAATCATAACTCCTCTTATTGAAGAAGAGAAATATTTTTAATATCTTATATGATATAAACCGGATATATTTGCTTTTCTCATACATGTTCGTAGAATCAAAACTAGAGAAGCTACGAGGTCACAAAGTCGTTCAAGTAATGTCAAAAAGTGAATTTGACCTTCTTCTGTCTGGTTCAGGGTGATATATCTGATATTCAAAACATCTTAGTTTTCTCAATAAGAGGAGTTGAAAACATTTCAGTTTCCAATTATCCTACAATTTACTTTAGTTTGACGTGAAGGGTTTATTTGTATAGAATGTGCCCGTTTGCTTTAATATACAGGGTGTCTCAAAAAAAAACTGTGCAGTAGGGGTATTAGTAACTGAGGAAACAATTTTCGTTCAATTTTTACGATCAAGGTGTCATTTGAAAGCTCTATATTTCAGTTATTTCATGATGTGAAATTTTTCTTTCTAGACCTCATACTTTTTTTGTTACAACCAATTATTTAAGCGTAAGACGAAAATCGATTTCCCGGATTTTTCAATTTTTCGATTTTTCACGTCTCATTTTCATTCGTTCATAAAGTGTGGAAAAATTTATAGATTTTCGAAAAAAAATTTAAAAATCATAAGCTGTTAGTCTTAGGTTTCATTTTTAACTAAAATTTTGGATCAGCGATTATTACTTTTGGAGCTAAAGCAATCTAAAAAAAAATAATATGCATTGAAAAAAAGGGAAAAGAGAGCTACGGGTACCTCCGTACGAACCTTGCCCAGACCGCAAAAATAATTTTTTTTAAATTTTCTTTTTGAAATTAGTTGGTACAATCCACAGCTCGCTATTTCAATCAAATTTTTTTTATCTAACCCACCAGGGTACAAAAATAAAACATTTTTTGTGAATCTGAAATTACAAAAAAAAAAAACTTTAAAAAAGTCATCACTTTAATTAATAATACTTTTACTTTAGAAATGATGTTCACGCTTTCATTTGTTATTAGTCCATTAATATGATAGGTTCAAGGTATTAGGGTAGTCAAATAGGCCAAAAATGTTGTAATTTTCTTTCATGGGTCCTTCATTGCTAAAGTAAAAATATTTTTCATTAAAGTGATGATTTTTTAAAAGTTTTTTTTTGTAATTTCAGATTCACAAAAACTATTTTATTTTTGTGCCCTGGTGGGATAGATAAAAAATTTGATTGAAATAGCGAGCTGTGGATTGTACCAACTGATTTCAAAAAGAAAATTTAAAAAAAATTATTTTTGTGGTCTGGGCAAGGTTCGTACGGAGGTACCCGTAGCTCTCTTTTCGTTTTTTTTAATGCATATTTTATTTTTAGATTGCTCTAGCTCCAAAAGTAATAATCGCTAATCCAAAATTTTAGTTAAAAATGAAACCTAAGACTAACAGCTTATGATTTAAAAAATTTTTTTGAAAATCTTTAAATTTTTCTTTACTTTATAAACAAATGAAAATGAGACGTGAAAAATCAAAATTTGAAAAATCCGTGAAATAGATTTTTAACTTACCTTCAAATATTTGGTTGTAACAAAAAAGTATGAGGCCTAGAAGGAAAAAATTTACATCATGAAATAACTTAAATATAGAGCTTTTGAATGACACCTTGATCGTAAAAATTGAATGAAAATTGTTTCCTCAGTTACTAATACACCTACTGCACAGTTTTTTTTGAGACACCCTGTATTTCCGAAAAATTGAGAAAGTTTAATGACAAAATCGCTTGATTATTTACCCTCCCCCCCAAAAAAAAGGGATACTTTTTGAGAATATGAACCGCAACCATTATGTACAATACTCTGTACACTGGACTCTAAACCATAGACAGTAGTAGTGTACAGTTTACACTACATTGTACACTGTACAGTACTGATTGCATACCTTACAATAGTAGTAGTGTACAGTTTACACTACATTGTACACTGTACAGTACTGATTGTATACCTTACAATAGTAGTAGTGTACAGTTTACACTACATTGTACACTGTACAGTACTACTTGTATACCTTATAATAGTAGTAGTGTACAGTTTACACTACATTGTACATTGTACAGTACTGATTGTATACCTGAAACAATGAATTGTGATTGGACCGTTCTCTCCACCTTGCCACAAGATCTCTCCTAAACTTCCGGTTATCCTGGTATACCGGGCACAGATCTAAACCAATATTTATATGTTTATTTATTCAGTTATATATCAATTCTTATTTACTTATTTGTAAATGTATTTTTAAGAAGAAAACCTCCATTTTTTAAATTAAAACTACAATTTTTACAAGAGAAACATTTTACAAAATTCTCATTTATTCCACAATAATCCTTTCTTATTTTCATCAAGACCCCCCTTCCCCCCTCCCTCCAATCCCTGATAATGACCTCCTTGCTGAATGCTGTCATAGTGAGGTTAGCGACGGTTCCCCCCTCGAACATCAGGTTTACCATCTGGGAGTCACACACATCGTTATCACACTCATACACACACCTTCCATACCTAGCATACAAGCAGAACAAATAAACATGGAAAATTACTTTTATAATCTATAATCAGAGATCATCGTAAATCGAGGACGTTTGAAAAGAAGGCAGCACAGTAGTTAAGCAATATCATTGGTGGAACGTAACTTAGATTTCCTGACCCATTATTGATTCTTGAGGCAACTACTAGTGGATTAATCATTGGATTACAAACTAGAGGATATATGTCTAATGATTGGATTACCTACTAGTGGATATATGATTGGATTACCTACTAGTGGATATATGATTGGATTACCCACTAGTGGATATATGATTGGATTACCTACTAGTGGATAAGGCAGATTTCAAAGCTCCAGGATATTTTGTTGGATCGTCTTCTATATCACAAACCACAGACATCGGCCATCTTAACAATTTAATTCTTTTAGATTTTATTTCATGTTTTCTGAAAATAATCAATTACTAATTTGAACTTAGTTTAATCCCATGGCACTTCTGATTGTTTGATTATTACTTTCTCTAAATTTTTCAACTTTTTCAATAGTTTCCTCTTTCTTTCTTGAATGATTAATCTCTTCAAACTCTAATTTTCTAATCTTCATATCTATTGAACCTGATATCATACACCTTTTTGGTACTTTTTTCCTACAGTGGAAACCATAAAACTGCGGAATAAGAAGACGAGATTTAAGCAATCTTATATGTACTTGTTGTTGTCATAAACAAATGGTTTTAAAAACCAACTTAGCAAAATGGGTCAATGTGTACACTGCTCAATGCATCTTCCTTGAGCTATTTGAAATAAAAACTTGAGACTAGCAGTCGTCTTACTACTCCATATATTTACGGGTCCCACTGTAAAAGCTAGTCCAGGTACCTTCTGACCGGATTCTCCAAGTATATTCTGGTAGCAGAGTAGGGACAGGTCTTATTCAGAGGACATGTCAGGCAGGTATCCGTAGCACCTTCAGGTTTATTCTCCTTCCTAGATAGGTAAACTTAGTTTATTTTCCTTCCTAGACAGGTTTACTTAGTTTATTCTCCTTTCTAGGTAGATTTACTTAGTTTAATCTTCTTCCTAGATAGGTTTACTTAGTTTATTCTCCTTCCTAAATGGGTAAACTTAGTTTATTCTTCTTCCTAGATAGGTTTACTTAGTTCATTCTCCTTCCTAGACAGGTTTACTTAGTTTATTCTTCTTCCTAGATAGGTTTACTTAGTATATTCTTCTTCCTATATAGGTTTACTTCGCACCTCCAGGCTTACTTTTCATTATAGATAGGTTTATAGTATCGTTAGGTTTATATTATATTATATTATTAGTTTTACTTAATACCTTGAGATCTATTCTCTTTTCTAGATAGTTTTACTTAATACCTTGAGATCTATTCTCTTTTCTAGATAGTTTTACTTAATACCTTGAGATCTATTCTCTTTTCTAGATAGTTTTACTTAATACCTTGAGATCTATTCTCTTTTCTAGATAGTTTTACTTAATACCTTGAGATCTATTCTCTTTTCTAGATAGTTTTACTTAATACCTTGAGATCTATTCTCTTTTCTAGATAGTTTTACTTAATACCTTGAGATCTATTCTCTTTTCTAGATAGTTTTACTTAATACCTTTAGGTTTATCCTATTTTCTAAATAGGTTTACTGAATACCTTTAGGTTTATCCTATTTCCTAAATAGGTTTACTTAATACCTTTAGGTTTATCCTATTTTCTAAATAGGGTTACTTATCCTATAAATAGGATTATTAACAAATTTCAGGTTTACTTGCTTTAGAATTAAGGTTACATAATATAAGTATGTAAGTTTTAACCCAAGAGTTACGTTTAACAGGATTCAATTGGATGATGCAAGAGTTTCAATATTTATCCAATACTAGAAATTCAAGGCGCTTCGCGCCCTTCTTTCTAGCCTTAGAGGGCGCTTCGCGACCATCTTCTAAATTAATTGTAAACATGTTCTCTTTGTGTACATCGTAAAACTAAACAAAAATAATTTGCGGATTTTTACAAAAAATTTCGCGGATTTTCAAAATTTTAAAAAATTTAATGACGATCGAATTTTGATAGAGACAAATATTTGAAATTTTGATGATTCATAAACCTTCCCTGGGCTCCCTAGATGTCCCACAAAAAATTTGGGCCCGATCGGTTCAGCTGTTTTGACGTTTATTGGATACAAACAAACAAACAGACAAACAAACAAACAGACAAGCCAAATTTATATATAGATTGCAGTAAACTATTTGATGAAATGTCTAATGAAAAAACTTTCAGTTAAAATAATTTCATTCCGTCCGTCCTACCCTTTATTCTCAGCCCTCCATTCTTAAAATCAGAAAAACGTTTATTATATGCTGAATTACAGGTGTGACTATGCGACCTTAATACATCGCAAGTTTTTTTTAACCTTTTTTTTTGCTATCGATATCCCTTCAGAACAAAGGAGAGAATTGTGTCAAAATAAAAATTTTAACTAAAATTATCTTAATTTTGATTTTGATCTGGGAGGAAGAGTGTTCTAGAAGAAAAGTAAACTGTGAATTAATGTAAAAAGAAATTAAGTCTTTGCCACAAACTCTGATTTTCTAATCCCTATGTCTTTGTAACCTAATGTCGTAGACCTTAGCAATTTCAAACCATGCATTCTGCTAAATAAGATAATCTAAGTTTGAAATATCAAAGGTGTGCACAATATGGTTGCAAAGATCAATGGTTTAAAATTTAAGATTATGGGCTGTGGTAAAGACTCAATTCCATTACTTGAAATGCTGATTACTCCCAACAGACTGGATTGCAGTTGCTTTTCTGAAATTATATTTTAGTTTTAGTTTTGTTGAAACTTGAAATCTTGAAACTGAAAATCTAATCATTTTTTTTTTATTCTAATTCATAATTATGGCAAAGTTTATATTTTATCTTTTGTGGTTTTTATCATTTATCATTTTATCATTTTATGAGAGGAAATAAAGGAAACACAAAATATTTGAATTAACTGAAAGAATTACAAGAAACAGACAGTTTAGTAACTGTTAACCACCAATTAAAATGTATTGTACAGTGCATGCGTATTGTGTACAATACAATACTACTCCATCTGAGTATGCAGGTTGTCCCAAAAAACATATTATTGAAATTAAGTGAGGAAACTACAAAAGAATATCTTATGCGAAGTATATCTAGAGTTTGTTTGTTTATGTTTTGATTGCATACGCGGTTGTACTAGTTATAATATAAAAATTCCTGTATATGAACAAAGTACACAGTTTTAGGTCTTTTATGTACATCAATTGCAGAAACATCACAGACAAATCATTTCCGGTTTCATAAAATAAATACTTGCAAACATAATTACAAATTATATTATGTCTTTTGAAATTAGGTATTACAATGCTAAACCTTAACAAAGACGATTTCAAATTCATAACGATCAATTCCCATATGTTTATTGATACACCCTGTATTTGTGGCCGATTTTTAGTCACACTATGGTTACGCTTTACCAGAGCAGTGTAGATAGATAGATACGACTCTTATAGTTTTACCTATATTAACATGAATAAGAAATTGGCCACTAATTGTTTTCATTAAAACTGATTTGATAATATTCAAGTAAGAATAGATAAACTGTGTTATATATTGATAGTAAAAAGTACGATAAACCGTGGTTTGAGCAAAGTTAAAAATGAATATTTTATTTTAAAATAGAATAGATTTTCTAACCTTGACCCAAGCCAGTAATATATAAGATCCATATCGTGACAACACTTGGCCATCAGGGAGAACGTACTCTCCTCCTGGTTTCTCCAGTTCCCGCGCACAAAACTGTGCGCAAAGTGCCAGTAACCGACATTCTCAGTATGGTTGATCGTCATCACTTGTCCTGCAGAATAAAAATTTTTGACCATCAAATATAGATATTAAGATATTAAAATATCACAAACAATATAAAAATAGCATGATTTTCATTTATTATAGACATATCCGTGTTACAATGTTCTTTTCTTAGACATTTATTGTTTTTGCTTCATAAAGAACTATACATCATAAAGATACCACTGCTTTAGCAAGATATACATCTAGGATAGTACAATGAACTGTTTTTGGTCAACTATGAAATAAAACTTGGAGTTTGCAGTTTATAATTAACAAACAATCTAAGCAATCCAAAAACGAAAATTATGATATTCCATCAAAAATCTGAATTGATCCAAATGTCCCTACATTTTGTCTTGTAAACAATGACTTTCTTCCATTCTGTTGGCTGCATTGCTCATTCTTAGGATGAGCCAATCTCCCCTCACTTAATTATTTGTGATTTTCATGCCTTTTTCATTAAATTATAAGTTTTTAAAAAAAGTTTACCTATTTTACCGCTGTCAATGAATTCCTTTATTTTCACGCATGGTGGGAAATATCTCATCACGTGACATACAGCTAACATAACGTTATTCTTCTCACATGCCTAGATATTAGACAATAATAGAAATAGCTAAGATAAAATTAACTTATCTTTTAAAGAAACAGCACTAATTCAATATGATACCAGAGTAATCCTAGTTATATACCTGAGTAATCCTAGTTCTATACCTGGGTAATCCTAGTTCTATACCTGAGTAATCCTAGTTTTATACCTGAGTAATCCTAGTTCTATACCTGAGTAATCCTAGTTCTATACCTAGGTAATCCTAGTTCTATACCTGGGTAATCCTAGTTCTATACCAGAGTAATCCTAGTTTTATACCTGAGTAATCCTATTTCTATACCTAGGTAATCCTAGTTCTATATCTGAGTAATCCTAGTTCTATATCTGAGTAATCCTAGTTTTATACCTGAGTAATCCTAGCTCTATACCAGAGTAATCCTAGTTTTATACCAGGGTAATCCTAGTTCTATACCTGGGTAATCCTAGTTTTATACCTGGGTAATCCTAGTTCTATGCCTAGGTAATCCTAGTTCTATACCAAGGTAATCCTAGTTCTATACCTGGGTAATCTTAGTTTTATACCAGGGTAATCCTAGTTTTATACTAGGGAATTCCTAGTTCTATACCTGGGTAATCCTAATTCTATACCAGGGTAATCCTAGTTTTATACCTGGGTAATATTAGTTCTATACCTGGGTAATCCTAGTGCTTTACCTGAGTAATCCAAGTTCTATACCAGGGTAATCCTAGTTCTTTATTTGAGTAATCCAAGTTCTATACCAGGGTAATCCTAGTTCTATACCAGGGTAATCCTAGTTCTATACCAGGGTAATCCTAGTTCTATATCTGAGTAATCCTAGTTCTACACCAAGTTAATCCTAGTTCTATACCTGGGTAATCCTAGTTTTATACCAAGTTAATCCTAGTTCTATACCTGGGTAATCCTAGTTTTATAGCAGGGTAATCCTAGTTTTATACCAGGGTATTCCTAGTTCTATACCTGGGAAATCCTAGTTCTATACCTGGGTAATCCTAGTTCTATACCTGGGTAATCCTAGTACTTTACCAAGGTAATCCTAGTTCTACACCTGAGTAATCCTAGTTCTATACCTGGGTAATCCTAGTTCTATACCTGGGTAATCCTAGTTCTATACCTGAGTAATCCTAGTTCTATGCCAGGGTAATCCTAGTTTTATACCTGAGTAATCCTAGTACTTTAGCAGGGTAAACCTAGTTCTATACCTGAGTAATCCTAGTTCTATACCTGTGTAATCCTAGTTCTATACCTGGGTAATCCTAGTTCTATATCAGAGTAATCCTAGTTCTATACCAAGTTAATCCTAGTTCTTTACCAGGGTTATCCTAGTTCTATGCCAGGGTAATCCTAGTTCTATATCTGAGTAATCCTAGTTCTATACCAAGTTAATCCTAGTTCTATACCTGGGAAATCCTAGTTCTATACCTGGGTAATCCTAGTTATATATCTGAGTAATCCTAGTTTTATACCAAGTTAATCCTAGTTCTATACCTGGGTAATCCTAGTTTTATACCAAGTTAATCCTAGTTCTATACCTGGGTAATCCTAGTTTTATAGCAGGGTAATCCTAGTTTTATACCAGGGTATTCCTAGTTCTATACCTGGGAAATCCTAGTTCTATACCTGGGTAATCCTAGTTCTATACCTGGGTAATCCTAGTACTTCTATACCTGGGTAATCCTAGTTCTATACCTGAGTAATCCTAGTTCTATACCTGGGTAATCCTAGTTCTATACCTGGGTAATCTTTAAACAATCCTCCTCTGTTACCGCCATTGGTTTCTCCAGAACAATATGGTATCCTAGGCTTGCCATCAAAACTAAATAAATAATTATGAACAATGGCAAAGACATCATTTTATCATGAACAATAAAATTGTAAACATCGATTAAGAAAAGAATATATATATTTACAGTGATAACCAGAAAACTATAGAAAAGAAAGAAGACATTTAAGCAATACTGAAGTGCATTTGATGACGTTAGAAAGCAAATAGCCTTACTAGTAATAGCTAACTGTTAACATTGTACAATTGCTGTGTTTTATGTTCATTGGACTATTCAAATTCATCACACGAGTCTTAAAGTCGACTTCCTATTCCAGATATTTCTGGTTCTCTAGGTAAGATATTTTTGCAAAAAAATGAGTCTTTTTGTCTTGAAAATTAAAACTAGATAATTGATATACAATCTACAAACTATCTTCTGATTATTGTAGTTTTGATAAAATGTTTTTGATTAAATAATATTTAAACCTGCCGGACCACAATGATCCTTATCCTGAGTACAAATAAACACTAAATCCGCAAACTATAAACAATTAGATTTAAAAGCTTATACTTCTTTATTGATTTGAGGTAAATTTGACTTTTACGTTACAAATAGTAAATGGCCTATTATCGTGTCGTGTCTGTGTCTGTATATCCAATGAGATTTTTTTATATTGAAAGGTTTAAGGATTTTAATAAACCAATGAACAGTATATATAATGATATTCTTTTCAGTGCAATTAGGTTATTTCCTACGATAGATTTTTTACATTTAAATTCCTGAATATTATTTCTTCTAGTTTTTAAACCCCGTTCTTAAAACCCTAATCAGTTCATCAGTACAATTAACATTCAGAGCAGGATTCATCATTCCAAATCCGAAAATTAAGCTCTAGAAGAAAAACAAAGTAACACCTATTATATCCGTCTTGTAAAAACTGATTTCTGGATCCTGCTTTTGTGAACATTTCTTCAAGTTTTGTTAGGTTCTTCTATCAACAATACAGGAGTTTAGTCTTTACCCTAAATTCCAATTGTCTAACCTTTATGTCTTTGCAACCTGATGGTGTGAACCTTTTATATCTGAAACTAAGAGTATTTAATCCAACATCATTTTTAGTTTGAAATAGGTTGCAAAGATAAATGTATGAAAAAATCTTCGAGTTTTTCAAAGTTTTCTTCTTCTTTTTTCTCTAATTTTTATGTGAAAACTTGATTTACCATTGAATGAAAGGTTTTTAATGATAGTTAACTAGATGAAACTTAAATCTGTTCGATGGTTTGATTTTCATTTTGCATGTTTTGCGGATTCGGATCAAGAGAACTAAAACGTTTTAATATCCGTGCATTGCAAAAAAAAACTTAGTTTTTAGTATTTAAATCCAATTTTCCTTTTCTCTTGTCTGTAGCTGAGTCCAGTCTGTAAACTGGTTCTCCTAATGCGAAGAATATATTTTTGTTTTAATTCTACAGGGTTACCCACAAAGGATGAGACTGTAAAGACGACCTGAAACTCCTTAAATCTAATGATATCAAGGTTAAATCAAGTTTTAGCCTCACATATGATCTATTTATGGCAAACAGAGAAACAACTTTACAGTTCCTGTGAGACACTATTATAAGGGAACAGATAGTATACATTCTGTACAGTCGTCTCTGAAGTATCATCATTTCTGGGTAACCCTGTACAGTGTACATGAGTTACAGGTAGTCCCACGAAACATGATAGTTTTAATTGTATGTGAACAATTTAAACCTTAATTATCCTGTTATGGCAAAATCATATTAAAATAATAACAAAGTAAAATACCAATTAACAGGCAGAAAAAAGCGAGAAAAAACATTTATAATTCATAAATGACAAAACTGAGTTAATACGCTGGGTTAAATTGTAATTAACAAACTGAAGTTCTTCTTCTGCCTGAGAAACAGCGTGCTGGTCACCCAAAAGTCTACGCCTGTGGAGAAGTGGATCTACCACTCCGACCACCTTAACATATTTCAATACAGTGGTTTATATTAAACTGTGGAATAAGAAGACGACTGTCAACGAAAGTTTTTATTTTGAATATTCCAAAACAAACATGAAACTGTGCAGTGTACAAATACCTATTCCACTAAATAAATTGCTTTTAAAGCTGCTTGTAAAACGAAAAAAGGGTTAAATGTCGTCTTCCTCTTGTCTGTACTTGGAATAACAAAAATGTTGCCATGAATAAATATATATCATGCAAACGAATCAGACTTTTATTATTAAATAAAATCTTTTATCTAATTCTATGATAAATAAATGTTGCAGCAATAAATAAGTCTGAATAAAATCGTGACGTCATAACAATCCTTTAAGTTGGCATCCTTTTGCAAAAGTTATCCTTAACAATCTTGACAGCCTTTGAGGAAAATTTTTAATCTAAATATTGATTTCATCTTACCTTTAGCCTAGTTGGAAAATCAAGAGCAAATCCAGCATAGTTCTGCCCTCTTTGTCCACAACCTGTTTGAATAAGATAGTGACTTAACTCAATAGTCTAATCTAGTTCAACATGATGACTTTAATATTAGTCTAATCTAATTCAAGATTGTGACTTAACTCAATATTAGTCTAATCTAATTCAAGATTGTGACTTAACTCAATATTAGTCTAATCTAATTCAAGATGATGACTTTCATATTAGTCTAATTTTAGCTGATGAATTGGACACTAATCTAATTTGATTATGAATTAAACTTTATTAACCTAGTCTAATTCAAGATGATGACTTTAATATTGGTCTCATTTAAGATAAGGACTTTAATATCGGTCTCATTTTAGATGAAAACTTTAGTCTAACTTAAGATTATGACTTTAAAATTGGCCTCATTTAAGATGATGACTTAGATATTAGTCTAATTTAAGATGATGACTTTGATATAGTCTCGTTTTTTAAGATGATGATTTTGGATATTGGTCTTATATTTGAGATGATAACTATAATATTACATAATACTCTAATTCTAGGTGATGACTTTAATTTTAGTCTAATTCAAGAGATGACTTTAATTTAGTCTAATTCAAGATGATGACTTTAATTCAGTCTAATTAAAGATATTTACCGATTATAATCGCAGTTACTGTTTTTTGTTCTTCCATTTTCTCTATAAGAAATATTAAATATAAAAAGATGTCTCATTATACTTACGTATTGTATTTCATTTATAAACCAAAAATCAATCACTCTTTAAATATGTAAATCATTGAAGTTTGTAATTTTTAAAAGATGTAAATACAGGCCTAATGTTTTGATCGGAGTTTATTTTATGAAAGCAGGAAATGGCTGTAAAGATGTGTCTATAATGTCTCCGCAAGATGAACAGTGAATATGGACAGGTTTACTCTGTTTGTATACTGTAATTTTCTTGTTTTACTAAGTACAACCGGTTGCAGTCAAAACATAAACAAACAAAATGTAAACATAGCAGACGAAACTCTTACAGATTACAGCTTTCTCAGTAGGTATCACTATACTAAATCAAAGAATTATTCATAAAGACGATATCGAATTCGTTACTGAATTCCCATTTTTTTGGGACACCCTGTAAGTAAAGAAGTCAATTATAAGTTGCTAATAAATTTTAAAGAAATTTAATGAAAATGTCGTTTTTCTATCTTATCTCCGTTTCTAATAGATCACATCATCACTATGAGACGAAGTGCAAGAAGATGAATTCCATGAACCAAAGTAGAGCATTAGAAGCTCGTTCTTAAGAATTATAGAAATTTAAGTTCTAAAAAAACGTGCAGTTTGGGTATTCATAAGACTCTATATTTGTTTTGTATTTATATCTTTTACTTTTGAATAGTTAGACCAGGTGATCAGGGGGATGAAATACCTATGAATATACTGAGCCCGTTAATAGTCTAATATGATAGGGGACACCCTGTAGATTTGAAATATTATAATCACATGTTGCTCCACATTATATACATACTAGCTCTACTACTCCTACACTGCTAGGACTGGATCTATTGACAATTCTTTACACATATCATAAGCTTAGTAAAATATCAGCTGACTCGCTAAATCATTCATATGAATATTAGGAGTAAGTAGTCGATAAAGGGCTGGGTTGTATTTGGAATATAGATATATGTTCAAATTCTCTTCCAACCTGCATAGTTTTTAACAGAATTTTGTACGAACCCCACAGAAAGTGTTGTTAATTGTTTCGCTTAGTTTTTTTTACAACTTTTAATAAAACTTTAAACCTGCAGTTGAAGGTTGCTTTAATTTAACTTTTTAAATTTTCCTCTAAAAGAAAAAATACAAAAACCACCAGAAAACATATTTACTGGCAGGGTCCAAATCTGGCAGTGTTTAAAAAGCCAATGTATGGAATTAACAATTTTGAAAACATTTGCTCTTCTTACATTACAAATTTTAACCAAGCTTCCCTCCCTTGAACTAATCTCAGATATCGGATTTTACAAACAAACAAAATGCATTCAAACCATCTTAAAAAATCTAAATCTGAAACTAGATAATTACAAGTAGGGAGGCTTTTTTCATTCTCACTAAAATTTTCTTTATAGGGTAAAATATTGTATTCTGTAAATTTCTTCTCCCCCCCCCCCCTCGAAAAAGTCTTGCCTATCGCTGAATATAAACTTTTGGAAACAAAAATAATTATTAAGCGAATTAAATAAGTTCTATGGGAATAAGTATGAAATAAAAAAAATATCGTTTTAAGCCTAGGGTCAGGCCAATTGTTAATTGTTTCAAGCCCAGGGTCAGGCCAGTTGTTTAATTGTTTCAAGCCCAGGGTCAGGCCAGTTGTTTGTTTCAAGCCCAGGGCCAGCCCAGTTGTTTAATTGTTTCAAGCCCAGGGCCAGGCCAATTGTTTAATTGTTTCAAGCCCAGGGCCAGTTGTTTAATTGTTTCAAGCCCAGGGTCAGGCCAGTTGTTTAATTGTTTCAAGCCCAGGGCTAGGCCAGTTGTTTAATTGTTTCAAGCCCAGGGTCAGGCCAGTTGTTAATTGTTTCAAGCCCAGGGTCAGGCCAGTTGTTTAATTGTTTCAAGCCCAGGGCCAGGCCAGTTGTTTAATTGTTTCAAGCCCAGGGTCAGGCCAGTTGTTTATTGTTTCAAGCCCAGGGTCAGGCCAGTTGTTTAATTGTTTCAAGCCCAGGGCCAGGCCAATTGTTTAATTGTTTCAAGCCCAGGGCCAGGCCATCTGTTTAATTGTTTCAAGCCCAGGGTCAGGCCAGTTGTTTAATTGTTTCAAGCCCAGGGTCAGGCCAGTTGTTGAATTGTTTCAAGCCCAGGGCCAGGCCAATTGTTTAATTGTTTCAAGCCCAGGGCCAGTTGTTTAATTGCAATTAAACAAATACGAGTATCGTTCAACAAAACTCCCAACTTCCTTTTTCAAAAATAGAAAATAAACACGAGAAAATAAATGAAAATATATTTTTGACAACAATATTGAAATTTGTGAAAACCGGTTTCTTACCCCTTTCAAGACATGAAGTTTGTGCTCAGAGATGAAATTTATTCTACGCTAAAGCCTGAGCCCAAAACTTATCGAATACAGTGAGGTTTAACCCGTTCAAGACATAAAGTTTGGGCTCTGACATGAAATTAATTATATGCTAAAGAGAGGTTCAACCTGAGTTCAAAATGTAAAAAATCAAAATCCGGAACCGAAGGCATCCTGAGAAAATCCATATTTAAGGTTTGGAGAAATTCAGGTTTCAGTTCTGATTTCACAGATACTACTTGAAAGTTCAATATGATCACACACGACTATTTTAGGACAAACCTATATGAGTACGACCCTTATTAACTTTGCCGTATTTGGGTCCTTGAACGGGTTAAACTTCACTGTGTTCGATAAGTTTTGGGCTCTGGCTTTTATTACAATCAATAGAGAAACATAAAGTAATAACATTTATTAAAAAATACAACAATATACTGACTGCATGTATGGGANTGCTCAGTAATACAGAACAGTAGTGATAATAAAAATGATTTATGAATGGACCAAGTCAATTCATTGATGAAATAAACTAGACATGATAAATTTAATTGTACAGTATACATTGCACTGTTCAGTCTAAAGGGAGATTAAGTGCAGATTAGGATGGACATTTTAAAATTCTTTTTATAATCTAAGATTATTTTAAATTGAAAGTTAGCAATGTAAAAAGCAGTTTTATTTCAAGTTCTTATTATTCTCTTTTTTATATTTCCCATTGACCAAGCACTAATGCATCTACAGATAGTTTCAGGGATGGACAAAAAAGTTTCAAGTTTTTCTTCAATAAAAAATCTGAGACACATAGAACTGTGGAAAAGGAAGACGACATTTAAGCAAGTATTTGATGCTGTTATATAGCAAATAGTTTTATCAGCAGCTTTAAAAACAACTTGTTAAGTGAACTAGGTCTATGAACATTGTACGTTGTATGTTACTGTATTACATGTTTTTTGAACGTCATAACTTGAGTCTAAAAGTAGTCTTCCAATTCCAAAGTTTAATGAGTCTCACTGTACATCTGAAACAGGAGAGTTTTTTAAGTACTGCAGATTCTCAATTTTTAGAAAAAAAATATCTACAACTTCAATGCTGAGGTTTAAGGTTTAATCAAAGCAAAACTTGTGGGTCTGTTAAAATAAGTTAACAGTTCTTTTAAGAATGATTGATTATGAAAGCTCAATATCATCTGTTGTACAGAAAAGGTCGTCGTCGTACTCCTGCAGTGTTCTCTCCACCCTCTCTACACTGTTGGGAGGAGGGCCAGGTTCCTGATCACATACTAACCTACACAATATTAACTCATCAAAATCCAGGGAAATTTGTTTCCATTAAAAATCAACCCCCCCCCCTGATTTTTAATGAAAAACTAAATATGTGCAAATTTCCTTTGACAGGTTGTTGGCAAAAAATTTGCTTTTTTTTCGCAAAACTTATGCAATCCGTTTCCTTATGTCATAGGCTTTCCAAAAAGCTAAATTTTATCAAAATCTGACAAGTGAAAGTGGGTCAAAACAAAGATTTGGTTTGTTAGAGGCAAAAGCAGTCATTCAGGCAGTGTGCCTGAGGACTCAGGCAGTTAGTATTAAAGCCCGGTTTTAGGCCTAAAGGGAGGGCTTTGGGTATGTAGGAAAAGTCAGAAAATTTCAACAGCCTCAGACCAATACTTTTTGAGTTATGTAAAAAAACTACAGGGGGGGGTCCCCCCCCCCCAGCAGGAATAGGGTTAATATTATATCTAACCTTTCTTTCTGTGCATTTTTGGAAGCAAGGGATCCAATTATTTTAGCGAAAGGATTATTTCCAATCTCGACTAGTTCTTCTATCTCCTCCTCCTTCTCCTCCATTTCTGTTTTCTCCTCTCCTCCATCTTCTTCCATTTCCTGCACTTTCTTCTCCGCTATATTCTGCCTTAGGATTAGGAAATCCTTCATTTCTTTATTAAAATCCTTTTTCTTTTTACGCTTCCTAGCCTCTAATATTCTCCTGTCCTCCTTCTTCTTAGAGTCTGCGAGGAATACACGAACAGCTTCGTGATCAATACCGAGGGAGGGATCAGTCTTCAGTAGGAACAGGTATACTCCACCGGACGTACGACGACGTGCTCCGTTCTGAAAAGCGAAAAAATTTGATTAGAAAACAAATATTTGTCAAGATGAAACTGTTCTTCATATAAAAAACTGCAAAAGGGACAAAATACTAAATGGTTAAAAATGCGTTAAAGTAAATTGGCCCAACTCGAACCCCAAAATCTTTCAAAATTACTTTAAATCTTTAGTTTTTAAACTGTTGATGGGGAAATTAAAAATTCGTTAGTAAAAAAAAGATCTTTATCCATTGAAAAAATACCGAAGTAAAATTTATAAATTTTCAATTAATTGTTAAAAGTTTTCTCAAGATATAAACCAACAAAATTAATATTATAGTTGTGTTTTTAGAAAAAGAATAATACTTACATTTATTTCGAGGCCGCCGGCAGCCTCGGTCTTTTGGGTTAATTTGTAAAGTTTATGTGCCAAGGTTTTTCCAAACTTAAATACCAGACCCTCCAGTAGTTCTGGTTTCTCCTCCCCTAGCCTAGATTAGAATATAGATAAGTAAATACCAGACCCTCCAGCAGTTCTGGTTTCTCCTCTCCTAACCTAGATCAGAATATAGATAAGTAACTACCAGAACCTCCAGTAGTTCTGGTTTCTCCTCCCCTAGCCTAGATTAGAATATAGATAAGTAAATACCAGACCCTCCAGCAGTTCTGGTTTCTCCTCTCCTAACCTAGATCAGAATATAGATAAGTAACTACCAGAACCTCCAGTAGTTCTGGTTACTCCTCCCCTAGCCTAGGTTAGAAAAAAGATAATTAACTACCAGACCCTCCAGTAGTTCTGGTTACTCCTCCCCTAGCCTAGGTTAGAAAGAAGATAATTAACTACCAGACCCTCCAGTAGTTCTGGTTTCTCCTCTCCTAACCTAGATTAGAATATAGATAAAAATCTACCAGACCCTCCAGTAGTTCTGGTTTCTCCTCTCCTAACCTAGATTAGAATATAGATTAGAATATAGATAAAAATCTACCAGACCCTCCAGTAGTTCTGGTTTCTCCTTTCCTAACCTAGATCAGAATAGTTCAATAACTACCAGACCCTCCACTAGTTCTGGTTTCGACTCCCCTAGCCTAGATTAGATTATAGATAAGTAACTACCAGACCCTCCAGTAGTTCTGGTTTCTCCTCTCCTAACCTAGATCAGAATATAGTTCAATAACTACCAGACCCTCCAGTAAATCTGGTTTCGACTCCGCTAGCCTAGATCAGAATATAGTTAAATAACTTTCACAACCTGCAGAAGATATGGTTTCTCCTTCCCTAATCTAGATCAGAAAATAGTTTAATTACTAGCACACCCTACAGTAGTTCTGGTTTCGACTCCCCTAGCCTAGATCAGAATAAAGATAAGTAACTACCAGACCCTCCAGTAGTTCTGGTTTCTCCTTTCCTAACCTAGATCAGAATAGTTCAATAACTACCAGACCCTCCACTAGTTCTGGTTTCGACTCCCCTATCCTAAATCAGAATATAGATAAGTAACTACCGGAACCTCCAGTAGATCTGGTTTCTCCTCACCTAACCTAGATCAGAATATAGTTTTAAAAAAACGACCAAACTCACTTGAATTTTACATCTACGCCCCATTTGAAGGGAAACAGTTATATAAGGTTTAAAAAACTTTGTAAATTGGTTGCACTTCAAATAGTGACAATCCCAATAATATCAGTTTTCACCCTGCACCCTGCTACCTGTCTGCTAGAAGCTGGGCGAACTCCTTATCTGAGTTCTCTAGAAGATCTTCTTCTCCGATATCAATTAAATGCTTAGCATCTCCAGGTGCTGCTAATCTCTCTCCGTTATATCTAGCCGTAGAGATAAAATTAGCAAACTTAGGGTACATAATTTTAAATATGATGCGCCTCCCTACATGAATAATGCCTTAATTAAGCCATAATATTAACGGCCTTTTACCCAGAAGTTGGCGCATTTCTGATAGACAATTATCAAATTTTAAAATTCAAAGAAAATATTATACTCGGAATTTAACTAAAACACAAAATATCGTCTTTAACAAATTCTTAGTATTTTTTTCGAAATCTTTTCCCTTTAAATGAATTTAAGTAAAAACTGACCTGTCAATTGGTACTCTCCTCTTACCCAACCTCTCCTTCGCACTTCTCTTTGTTCCCCTCTTTTCCTCTCCCTTTCCCTCCTCTATTTCCCCTCCCTCCTCCTTCTCCCCAACCTCCTCAGAACCCTCATCAGGTTTCACAGGTTGAGATTCCGTCTCCTCCATTGTATCTCCAGGTCCCCCAGACCCCCAGTAGTTATCCATCTCCTCCTCCAGTTTATTGTCCTTCTTCCTCGCCTCCTTCTGCCTCTGTCTCTCCTTTGCTTTCTCTTCCAGCGGAATAGTGAAATCATAAGTTTCTGCTCCGCGGTCGGATCCAAGATCTTTCAGAGATCTAGAAATTTAAATTCATTAAAAAGATGATGTTAATAACAATATTGAAATTAATAACTTCTTCTTTCTTCAAATAATAACTTCTTCTTTCTTTCTTTTAATAAGAAATTCTACCAAAAATTTTCGAATTTGTGATTTAATGTCTTTAAAAATATACACACCGCTACACTCTACAGTTGAACAGCTAATAATTACAGAATTCTAGGATGTCTGTCTACTTACAGAAAAAGTGAAAATGTAAATCAGTCCACTTAATAGTGGGCGACACTGAACCAAGCTACCTGTTCACTCCGAACCCCGAGAGGGTTGAATTTAATGATTCCTCCTGTATAATAGTTCCCCAAATATTATTCTTTTTCTTAGATTTCCGGTCTGCTTGGAAAGCGGCGGCCATCATCTTGAAGGTTTCATTTCCAGTCGGTTCCGGCACCAGTGCATCCCTGAACAGATATGAATTTCTCATAAAAATTCAACACAATGTAATTTATAACTGCGTGATCTTGTGGCCGACATGTTACCCTTCCCAAGAACTGAAATACAAAAAGAAAAAAATATTTTTTTAACGTCGATGAATATAAATTTACCGATTTGAGTTTTGAGATTACAAGATCCGGATACGCAGTAAACCAACATAGATCTTAAACGCATTTCTTGTAAGGTTTAGCAATTCTAACCTTCGACCCCAGAGGCCAGTTTTATTCATACGTTTAGCAGCTGGACGATCCTCGTCGGAGTCCGAATCATCTTGATGAGCCCTTGATTCATCCTCGTCATCATCATCAGTGTCATCAAGGATATCTAATATATATATTTATATTTCAGTTTTTAAACTTCACATTTTGTTAAAAAAAAAGAATTATACTAATTTACTAAACATAATGTTTCACGTCTCATCACGATCCTCAGTAATCAAAATTCTTTGAACAACTTATATTTATAATAAATGTTTTTTGAACTTCACATTTTCTTTTAGTATGATTCTGTTTTGAAACTTTTTTCAGTTTAAACATACATTTTAGATGTTTAAATATATATTTTTTCCAAGACAAAATGTTTCATGGGGTTAACCCAATCATCAGTTGGAACAATATATAGAGTTATATATATATATAAACAACTGATACAGATGTACAACTGATACAGATATACAACTGATACAGATATACAATGGATACAGATATACAACTGATACAGATATACAACTGATACAGATATACATTTATCAATGTATTTTATCTGTAAAAGAATCTCGTCCTACAAGCTATAGAGAATGTTTAACGAAAGGATAAGTAAATGCAGGTTTAAAAAAGGTTTAATACAGATTTCATGAAAGGTTTATTGCAAGGTTGAGAAAAGGTTTATTAAAGGTTTGGCGATGGGTTGTAACAGGTTTCAGAAAGGGTTTATTACAGGTTTTAGAAAAGGTTTAATACATGTTTCATGAAAGATTCATTGCAAGGTTGAGAGAAGGTTTATTACAGGTTTAAGTTTGGTAATTTCCTAGAGAGCGATTATTGGACCCCCCCCCCGCCCCCCCCCTTTTAATTTTGTACATGGATCTTAGATGTAAGACATGTGGCCGCAGCGCTCGGCCCCCTAGCCAGTCCTAGCCGCAGCGCTCGGCCCAGAAAGTGTCTTAACTTAACCTAACCCGTGGCCGCAGCGCTCGGCCCCGTAGCCTGTCCTAGCCGCAGCGCTCCGCCCAGAAAGCGTCTTAACCTAACCTAACCCTAAATAATAAAATAATAAATAATAATAAATTTGCTGAAAAATAAGTGGTCTTATACAAATTGATAGGAAATTGAAAAGGATTTAGAAAGGGTTTATTACTGGTTTATTAGAAGGTATTTCACAGGTTTCAAATCTTATTACCTGCAGGTTTAAAAGAAGGTTTAGCATCTGTAGGACGCTCTATAGGTGTATATCCAGCAATACTATCCCCATCACTACTACATTCACCATCTTCTATATCCTCCATTCTTTATGAAAGATTATCATCTATTTTAGGAAAAAATTGTTCACAAGTAAATGTGTATATTTTTTTAACAGTTCATTTATATAAACCGCTTGAAATTTTTCAGCAAAAACAAAAAACAGCTGAGTCCGGCAAGCTGTATAGTGTATAGGATTTGGGGGGTTCATCGTCTTTGCTTCCACAGAGCTCAATCAATCAATAAGTAATCCTTTGGAGCTATGACAACTGACCTACTTAGAAACGTAAAAATGTAGTCTAACAACTATGGTTATGCTCTTCCTGACCACATTAGACAGATATTTAAAACTTTAAAACTCGTAGTATACTGAGAAAATGGGCAAATGTATTCCATCTTGTCATTATTAATTAGTTATTGACTAATTTCTTACATATTTCAATCATCTGTATCATTGTGCAATTGTGAAAATTGCAATTATCTACATACAAAAAGAAACAGTTATGGAAATTGCATGTTTGATCATTCTTAAAATACAACAAATACTAAAAAGGTTTAAGTATTTTGGTCACCCAGCCACCAAAACCTAACTGCTCCTGGAGTTTCTGATAACAGGGTGTCCCAATAAACATGGGGATGGAGAGTCGTCTTAGATTTTGATATTTAATGCATTGCAAAGGAAGTATAAATATGAGGCTATATGTCTGACGAGCTTTTCAGAATCTTCAGAAAGTGGTCTACCTTTCTCGCGTCTTAAACTCGACGATCGTGTTAGATAATTTGAGAAATTTTAATTTATTAAATAAATTGAAATTTTGAAGATACAAAAATGGTAACCCTCATTTTGAAAATCTTTAGACCAGGCGTTTTTTGACATTAGATGTGTAAACTTTAAATACTGAAACTATTGTGTTCATGAAAAAATGCCACATAGATCGAAGACGATATAAAAGTCGCCACTTAATTCCCATTTTCATTTAAAACTTGAAGAACAAGAAGTTTCAATTCCTGTCAACTCGAAGAACTGAAGTTTCAATTTCTGACATGTGTATGCATCTTATACATTCATTCCACATTCAGAACATAAACACATTTTCAAATCATGTCACATCAAGATACAGGCAGATTTCCCAAGGCATCTTTTCTACAGGATCAAAGTTTCGAAATTTAAACATTTCATTCATAACTTTCACAACTTTATTCCTTTCAAATAATAGAATCTTATATTTTTTCAGGTCGATAAAAATAAAATAAATATATTTTTTATTAATTAATTTCACAAACAAGAGGAAAGAAGGCAAAACAAACGTTCAAAATACTTCTTTTAAAACTAGAATTTAAATATTGACACTGATACCCGTCCTGCAACGGCGAGATATTTAGCTGCTTTCGACAAAGAATTACAAAAATATTATTGCTTGGCATCTATTAATTTGTAGGGATTGATGAAAAAGAACTTAAAATTATAATTTTACAATATTTACAGATTTAAAAATTGTGAAAAACCAGATTTTCTTCATTAAAAAATGAAATATTTGTATTCATATTTTAGACTAGTTGATTCTTTAACGGCGTAGTTTCTTAGCTCTGATTCTCTCTAGATTTGTGATATATTCCCATACAGTCCCACACACCTCAGCGCACATACTGGGTCCCATTTCACAGGATCGAATTATCTAAAATCGTAATATTATTGTTTATCATATACTATCATAAGACCAATTATTAATAACAATAATAATAGAAACACAATTTGACAACAACATTCAAATATTAATTGTAAATCAAATCATACTTTTACGTCCAACTTTGACGCTCCTTTTAGAAGAGACTATACTTTATCAAAAATGCTTGCTTTAGGCTTGTATTTTATAAAAAGTTTGTTCTTAAATCTAGAAAAATACCCACTGAGAAGTAGTTAAGGTAACATTCAACCAACCTTTTTCACGGGATCTAATTCAAAATTGTTCCCAAGGTTTGGCTCGATGCTCAGGGTTCTCATAGAGCTTGCAATTCCATCCTGATAGTTCAGTTTCAACCGGAAACTACATTCAAGGATAGGAGATGCAAAATCTAAGAAAATAATATACTAATATAGAATCTAACAACATATTAAATGAAATAAGGTAATAATGAGAATAATGGATGAAAACAAGCTAATAGGATAAATTGAACAGGATAAATTGAATAGGATAAATTGAACAGGATAAATTGAACAGGATGAATTGAACAGGATGAATTGATTAGGATAAATTGAACAAGATAAATTGAACAGGATGAATTGAACACGATAACTTGAACAGGATGAATTGAACAGGACAAATTAAACAGAATGAATTGAACAGGATGAATTAAAACTGATAAATTGAACAGGATGAATTGAACAATTTGAATTGAACAGGATGAATTGAACAGGATGAATTGAACAGGATAAATTGATCAGGATCAATTGATCAGGATGAATTGAACAGGATAAATTTAACAGAATGAATTGAATAGGATAAATTGAACAGGATGATTTGAACAGGATAAATTGAACAGGATGAATTGAACAGGATGAATTGAACAGGATGAATTGATCAGGATGAATTAAACAGACTGAATTGAAAAGGATGAATTAATTAAATATTAGTGAGCCCACTAACCAACATGTACTGTGTATCCAGTGAAGGTAGTAAGGTTGAATCTCTGTATCTGGTTGAGTGCGGAGTAGAGTAAGAGCGCGGGAGGAACTAGATCTGATATCCCGGAGAGAAGAGCGCGCAAACTATGAGTGTTCGGACATTTGTTCATCAGTTGATCTGCAGGGAAGTGGCGTAGGATCGTGTGGATAGCTGAATACAGAAACAATGCAAACAATCAAAACAATACTGCTAGGATAGCTGAGTACATAAATAATGCAAACAATGAAAACAATACTGCTACGATAGCTGATTACAGAAATAATGCAAACAATGAAAACAATACTGCTACGATAGCTGAGTACATAAATAATGAAAACAATGAAAACAATACTGCTACGATAGCTGAATACAGAAACAATGCAAACAATGAAAACAATAATGCTATGATAGCTGAGTACAGAAATAATGCAAACAATGAAAACAATACTGCTATGATAGCTGAATACATAAATAATTATAACAATCAAAACAATAATGCTACGATAGCTGAATACAAAAACAATGCAAACAATAAAACAATACTGCAACGATAGCTGAATACAAAAACAATCAAAACAATCCTGCTACGATAGCTGATTACATAAATAATGCAAACAATCAAAACAATACTGCAACGATAGCTGAATACAGAAATAATTCTAACAATCAAAACAATACTGCTAGGATAGCTGAATACATAAATAATGAAAACAATCAGAACAATACTACTATCCTAGTAAATAATTTTAACAATCAAAACAATACTATTACGATAGCTGATTAAAGAAATAATTATTACAATCAAAACAATACTATTACGATAGCTGATTACAGAAATAATTATAACAATCAAAAATACTGCAACGATAGCTGAATACAGAAACAATGCAAACAATCAAAAATACTGCAACGATAGCGGAATACAGAAACAATGCAAACAATCAAAAATACTGCAACGATAGCAGAATACAGAAACAATGCAAATAATCAAAAATACTGCTACGATAGCTGAATACAGAAATAATGCAAACAATCAAAAATACTGCAACGATAGCTGTATACAAAAACAATCAAAACAATACTGCTACGATAGCTTAATACATAAATAATTATAACAATCAAAACAATACTGCTAGGATAGCTGATTACAGAAATAATGAAAACAATCAAAACAATACTACTATCCTAGTAAATAATTTTAAAAATCAAAACAATACTATTACGATAGCTGATTAAAGAAATAATTATTACAATCAAAACAATACTATTAGGATAGCTGATTACAGAAATAATTATAAAAATCAAAACAATACTGCTAGGATAGCTGATTACAGAAATAATGCAAACAATCAAAACAATCCTGCTCCGATCGATAAATTTGTTCTACTTTTGACTAAAAAAAACATATATTTACCTATATCTAAAGCAGGGTCCTCAAAACTGGATCGGATATTACAGAGTTCAAGACTTTTAATCGTATAGTGGGTCACAAGGCAGCCCTCACTTCGACGGGAGCTAGGGATAATTTATTAAAGCTTTAAATATTCATTAATTCTCCCTCTCTTGATTTTTATGAATTTAAGAAATCTTTAACCCTATTCCTGCTGGGGGGGGGGGGGTCAATTTGACCCCCCCTGTAGTTTTTTTACATAACTCAAAAAGTATTGGTCTGAGGCTGTTGAAATTTTCTGACTTTTCCTACATACCCAAAGCCCTCCCTTTAGGCCTAAAACCAGGCTTTAATACTAACTGCCTGAGTCCTCAGGCACACTGCTTGAATGACTGCTTTTTCCTGTAACAAACTAAATCTTTGTTTTGACCTACTTCCACTTGTCAGATTTTGAAAAAATTTAGCTTTTTGGAAAGCCTTTCACATGAAACGAATTGCACAAGTTTTGCGAAAAAATTGCAATTTTTTTGCAAACAACCTGTCAACGGAAATTTGCACATTTTTAGTTTTTCTTGATTGAAAATCAGGTTAATTAAAATTTTGCAAATTTTTTTGCATATTTGAATGGCATGGTCCAGGGATTTTCAAAAATGTATAATTTTTCATTTTTTGGACAAATTTTTTTTGCAAACATTTTTACTTTATAACTGGATTTTGCGATAAAAAATTCAATTTTTGCAAATTTGCAATTTTTTTTTACAGATTCTAAAAGTATCGCACAAGAGCTTTCCAATGATGTATCATTTGTCATATTTGGACATCAAACATGGGATTTAGAGGGGGGGGGGTCAAATTGACCCCCTCCCCAGCATATCCTGGTTTTCAAGTACCCCAGCAGAGATAGGGTTAAGAACCGTTCGTTCAATTAAAGTTTCATAAACGATATTAAGAATACCATTAAAACCGTTCTAAAAAATGACGTAAAACTGGTTTTTAAAATCTGGAAAATGCGAATCCTTTTAAATTTCTTGCTCTACTGTGAATTTTGAATTCTACTAAATCTACGGCCCCAGGTTGTCAATGTTAATTGGTTAAGCTGTAAAACAACGTTGTTTAAAAGTTATCCATGGTAAAAATTAATGGTTCCCTTTTTCCTATTTTTTATTAATACTTAGTACGTACCTTTTGGGAACCAGCTTTGTGTCGAGTATAACAACCAATGCAAGAGCTTTATGCATCCAACTAAAAACAAATTAAAATTTTTTTTTTTTAAGCCAAACTTGAATATATTTCTAAATGCCAAACATTTACAACTTCTTACCCATTTACACATGTTGGACATTTGAGTTTTTATTAAAATGCGCAAATCAAAATATTTAAAAATTGCGCATATTTATTATATTTTAAAATTTCCAGAGACTATTAAAATGACAAGAGCTGAAAACTTTAGAATGTGATATCCTTAATCCCGATCTGTTAATTAATATGGAGATTAAATTCATGAGGAAAACAAGCAATATTTAATCTGGAGATTTAGAAAAAGAGTGGATCAAGCATTAATCCTGATATCCACCATTCTAAAGTTGACTTAATACTAAGTACAATTTTCGATCAATGCATAAAAATTCCTCGAGTTCTTATATAAGGATTATAATCCAACAGGCTTAATAGATAACGTATTAATTGATACGTCTCTGCGTCCCTAAAAACCCTAAGAACAGTAAATACATTAAAATAAAAATACCTGAATACACCATATTTGAGGGACTCATCAAATTCCTCTAAACTCCAGGTTCCTTTCTCATCTCTTCTGGAATTTCTTAGGATTAACTCATCAAACACTCCAATAATCTTAACTTGGAGTACTTCCGTTCTCCTTTTCACTGTCTTGACAGGTACAATCTCAGATTGGACAGGATTCGGAACAGGTTTTAGAATCTCATCTGTATTTATTACAGCTCCAGTCTTCAAATAATCAGCAGCAAAAGGTTTGTGAACAGGATCTATGATTTTAGCTGTACCAAGTTCAGTTTCGGTATTGACATCTTCATTAGCGGCAGGATTGTGATCAGCTTCAGTGATCACGTCAGCCTTCAGTCTACTTTCATCATTGATAAATTCATTAGCGGTAGGATTGTGATCAGCTTCAGTGATCACGTCAGCCTTCAGTCTACTTCTATCATTGATACCATCTTTAGCATAAGATGTGTGATCAGGTTCAGTGACCACTTCGGTTTTATGTCCAGTCCCATTTTTAAGGTCCTCATTAGCAGAAGCTTGGTCGACTTTAATACTTGTATCCTCGTCTGTATGTTTGTGCTGTGTAGATTCCTGAATAGTTTCTAAGTCTTGAATACATTCTTGATTTTCGGGTGTGTTGTTATTTTCCATTGGTTGTTCACTAACCTTAGGTGATTCAGGAATATTATCATTGTTTTCAGTGTTGTCTTCAGGGATATTAGATTTTACCATATCAAGAACTTTAAGATGGGAATAATGATTTTTATCTACAGCTTCAACACGTATTCTGTCTGTGTTTAGTCCTTGTTGTCTAGTTTCTGTATTCATCTCGATAACATCATGTACTAGTTCTTCGCTCAGTTGGGCAGTTGTATGTACATGATGGGACACCATAGGCTCAGGGTTGTACACACTGTCTCCGTCCTCTCTCTCAGACAACGAAGGAGCAATATGGTTTTGAGTCTGGAGTTCAAGATTCTGTTTCTTACTCGGAGAAAGATATTCAGGAAGATCAATCTTTCTTTTCCCTGGAGAGCTGGTCAAGTTCTGTAGATCTTCTAGTTCAGGCCGGGGATGCATACTCTCATGGATAACTTGAGATTTAGGTTCACCTTGGAGTAATGATTCTTCCATATTCTGGTTGACAGAAGAAATCTTCAGGGATGGGATGGGAAAGTTTATCTTTCTAGTACTCTCTACTGCTGGAGCAAAACTAGTGACATCTCCGTTAAAGTACTTGGTGGGACTTCCTTGATTAGACCTATCATTATCTGCAGATCTGTTAACAGATCTAACCGGAGAAATGTCTGGAGGAGGAATAAGAAAATCTATTTTCCTTGTGCTCTCTATACATGGAGCAAAACTTGTAACGTCCTGAGGATACGGACTCAAGCTTGCAACTTGGGGTTTCTCCGGCATAGGAATCCTGAAGTCGATCCTTTTAGTACTTTGGATGCTAGGAGCAAAGCTGGTTATGTCCAAGGGAGAAGAGTTTAAACCTTGAACTGGAGACAGATCAGGAACAGAAACCTTGAAATTAATCATTCTTGTACTTTCTCCCTTAGGTGCGAAACTTGTCAATTCATCATTGAAATTGATAGATTTGTTAAACCTCGGCATCATTCCCAGGATTGCAGTGGGTTCAGGGGACCCTACAGGAGACGGAAACTGTTCTCGAAGTAATTTGTCCATCTCAATTTTACTCAGAGATCTCTCAGGAGCTAGGTGTTGATTCTTATTATTCTCATACGGTTGGGCATTGATAATATTGCTTGTAGCTCCATACCTAGTTAGCTCCAACTCTAATGGTTGAGCAATAGTTCTATTGCTAGTAGCTCTGGTGAGATCCATATCTGATGGTTGAGCAATAGTTCTATTGCTTGTAGCTCTGGTGAGATCCATATCTGATGGTTGAACAATAGTTCTATTGCTAGTAGCTCTGGTGAGATCCATATCTGATGGTTGAGCAATAGTTCTATTGCTTGTAGCTCTGGTTAGATCCATATCTGATGGTTGAGCAATAGTTCTGTTGCTTGTAGCTCTAGTTAGATCCATATCTGATGGTTGAGCAATAGTTCTATTGCTTGTAGCTCTAGTTAGATCCATATCTGATGGTTGAGCAATAGTTCTGTTGCTTGTAGCTCTAGTTAGATCCATATCTGATGGTTGAGCAATAGTTCTATTGCTTGTAGCTCTGGTTAGATCCATATCTGATGGTTGAGCAATAGTTCTATTGCTTGTAGCTCTCGATAGATCCATATCTGAAGGGCTATCAGCAGATCTGTTTAGGGGTCGAGAAATTGGTTCCAACGGATTATAATTAATCATCTGAACAGGGACAGAAGGCATGTTCTCCTCATCCTCCTGGGATTCTCTATGAGGGAGAAGAAGAGTATTGTTCGCCAAGGCTAATGCGCTAAACTTTACAGTTGCCGTTGCTCCGCCGTCAAACGATGAGCTGCCAGATCCTAAACCGTCTTCGCCGAATTGATCTTTGACGGGGGGTTCCGAAAAAACGGTATCGCGAGTCCAGTTAATATCTTCGGATTCTACGAGGTCTAAAGAGGAAAAGTTTGAAAGAGGTTTCCCTTCTGGTATCCTAAAACAAATAGGCAAAATCGTTATCTATTATCAACCTTCTCAGCATTTAACATACAACAGGTAGTTTTTAATAACTTAGAAAATTGTTAATTAAACAGAAACCTAATTGTTTGTAATTGTAATTGTAATTGTCATGTAATAAACAGAAGTTCTGAAGAAATTGTTCACCCCCCCCCCCTGTCCCTTCCCGCTTACCTATTACAATCTCCTGTCTGGCAGGTTAAATGCATATCCTTTGTCTTATCTATCCTGCAGGTTACATCCATACTAGTCACTCCACCCCGAGTTTGAGCACACGTAATCTCCATCCTTACTTCATCGTCTTCATCCTCGTCCTTCTCCTCTGTAGGACCAGTCAAACCAAGCTTACAGGTCATATCCATTTTATGGGTGACGTCCACTTTACAGGTCATATCCATCTTGTTGGTGGCATCCATTTTACATGTCATATCCATATGACATGTTAGATTATTTCCCTTCGGTTCAGTTTTCCATCCAGACAAAAACCCTGAAAATATATGAATAATGAATGACAAGAAAATCTTGGAAGTATAACGATCTTAAGGTTTACTTAGATATTTAGCTGAGAATAAAGTCTAGAATCGGTAAAGTTTGCAATTTGGCCATGAAGAACCAAACATCCAGCGCTAGTAAAAACCTAAATTAAATCCGTACAATTATTGTTTTGGGAACAAATATTTAATAAAAATATCTATCAAAAGAATCATAGTCAATAGGCATAAGAAAACAGTTTTTTGAATGTAGCTCTATTTGGAACCCCTTCACTGTCACTGTATATAATATCTATTATATCATATCTGTTCGGTTCCATAGTAGTAAACCTATCGTGTAAGAATTCCCATTATTACACGGTTCAGGAGGAACAATTTTATATTGTTCGCTTCCTTGCGTTTAAGAATGCTTATTCTTACACTGTAGGTGCAGAATTTTCATTCTATAACGCTCAGACCGTGTAAGAATGTATATTCTTACACGCTCCGAGCATTAAAGAATGGAAATTATTACACTTGTTGAAGAATATTCATTCTTACACGCTCCTTATATTAATCTTTTCAATAAATCAATATTGATATTAACTTAATTATTTTGTATTGACAACATGCACAGGGCAAACTCACCTTTTTCTTTTATATTAATACATGCAAACTTACCTTTTTACACTAAAAAATAACATGCTCACTTACCTTTATCTTTAATATTAAAACATGCAAACTTACCTTTTTTTTAGTTTAGTAAAACATGCTCACTTACCTTTTCATGCTCACTTACCTTTTTCGTTTTTTGAAGTATTGATATATCTCAATTCAGGAATTTCCATTTAAATCTTAACCTTAGTCCTGACAGAAGAGTGGAACCCCCTGTGATTAATTAACATTTTCTGACCTTTCAAAAAAAATTAACCATGAACTTTAAACTTTAAGTCTTCCATTGGACATTTTCATTAAACTACAGAGTCTCAAAGCATACTGCCTACTTTATTCAATTTTATTTTAGTTTTTCTTCATTCCAAACCAAGTTTGGTGAGATTTTACAAATTTCTGCATATTTGTAATTACAGTACGGTCAGAGCTTTTCAAAAATGGAAAGGTTTGTCATGTCTTCACAATTTCAATTAATTTTTTTAAAGGTTAAAAGTACCTCAGCCTGAGTCAGCAGTCACAATATCTCGCATAGCTCGAGATGATAAAGTGAAACCACAATCAAAACCAGAAAAAGTTAGTTTATAAAAACTTATCATTGAAATACTAGTGTCACAAAAACTTTTAATGGAGTCTTAGCACTCCATAGCAATGAAAACAAACTAGTAAATCTTGATTCATGAATAAAAGATCTTTATCAGTTCATGTCGAACTGATTCTTACTAGATAACCTGCTTTAATCTCCTCTTCTTGGAAGAATTAGGATCTAATATCCTGGAAATGATTTCTTCTTTAAATGATTTCAAGATTTTGTTCAGTAGATTAAGACAACCCACTACAATGCCTTCTCCCCATCTAAAAATACTCAGGGCACATTCAACATGATGTATTTAAATGTATTATCAACTTGAAAAACAAGCAATTTCATTATAAATTGGTAAACAAACAAACTAAACAAAGGAAACAATCACACCACATGCATTACTTTCAAATTAAGAACCAATTTTTACTTATAAAATGGTTTTTAACATGTTAACATTAGAAAAATAAAAAAACAGTGATAGTCAGAACAAGAGCATAAAACTGATTTGCAACCTTTCATAATGTTAACTATTCCACCTTGAAATAGTCGGATTTCACCAGAACAATTTTTTAGTACGATTTCTTGGGTATGTGCCCATGGAACCTCACAAATATGATATAATAATAATCTTATGAGGATAAAAATGTAATAATGGAATTCTTAAACTCGATGAAATAATCTTGATGCATTCTTTAACTCAGGCCTGCGGCCTTCGTTAAAGAATACATCAAGATTATTTCATCTCGTTTAAGAATTTCCATTATTACATTTTTTTCCTCATAAGATTATCATATTATAAAAAATAGTTTACCCATTGCATCAATTTTGTCATCATCATTTTCAGTAGTTTCAAGGTCTGATGCATTCATCGTTCTAGTAAAAATTAAACATTTCAATTTTTTATTAAATGCGACTTTTTATCTCCAGGGCAGGATTCTTTAAAGTTGAAGTAAGATATTTGTTCAGAATAATGTAAATATTCATGAAATTGTGCCGCGTCTCTTTTGGTTTTGCTCAAAATGATTTGTTAAAATGTTTTTCCTGCACATTGTAACTTCATCCCGGCAGGTCCTATCCATATCAATAAAACTCTGGGCATAGAATTCCTCAGGTTCATCTCCAGCTCCTTCAACACCTCCAGCTCCTCCTCCGAGACTCTGGAGGAAGTCGGAGGTATCAAGTTTAGGATCGGAGGGGAGAAACTTGTTAGGACTGTTCGCATCAGGAATATTAATGTGGAGTGGAACCGAACCTGACAAATTCAGCAATTTTAAACAGATTATTGAAAAATAAACATAGCTTTAAAAAAATCATTACACATGCTAACACTATTTTGGGAATGAGGAAAACAACTGATCTTTCGCAACCCTCAAAGATCTCTTATAATTTTTCCAGTAAAAAAAAGAAGTGTTTTAGGATCCATTCATCTCTAATGATGAGCGTTTGAACTTTGCGCAGTTCACTTGATCTTTTCTTATTGATTGACGAAAACAAGTTTAATGCTCCTGGACAGTGCACATATATATAATTGAAAGTATATTTGACAATTTTACTTTTATATTCTCAACGTTATCTTTGAGGTTCAATTGGGTTTTGTTATCATTTTTAGATCTCGAAATCAAATCAAATCAAATCAAATCAAATAGCTATGGATGAATTGCCGAAGAAATTTTCCTTATCCCCAAAATTTAGGAAAATTTGAAATAATTATGTTTTTGATTGACTGTTAAATGATAAATAGGATCTACCTTGTAATTGTGATCCTGTGATATTGGTAACTGAAGAACCGTTCCCATGATCCTCTTCGTAGGTATTGTTCCAGATTGTTAATGTCTGGGAACCTACTTGGAACTCCTTAACCTAATAATGTAACAAGGATTAAGACTAGCGCTTGGAAATCAAGCCTTACCTGTAAACTTAACTTTCTCTATTCAAGCCAACCCATTCAGCTTAAAATGTTTAAACCATACATTCCCGTGGTTCTAACGAATTCCCCAATCAGAATTTTAGACAAATCGGTCTAGGGGTTCCTGGGTTATAATCGGATACCCAAACAGACAGACAAACAGAGATTACTACTTTAAATACTTTTCTTCATTTATCACATTTCAGGATTGCTAATTGCTTCTCCTTCGCAAAAATGAGTAATTCAAAATGTGTAACTGAAATATGAGCTTTCATTGGGTTAGGGGGAAAAAATGAAGAAGGAAAGGGGAAAGGAAAAAAGAAAAGGGAAAAATAGGAAGAGGGAAGAAGAAAGGGGCAAAAGGGAAGAGAAAAGGGACAAGAGAAAAGGGACAAGAGGGAAGGGAAAAGGGGGAAGGGAAGAGAAAAGGGGGAAGAGGGAAGGAATAAAACCACTCCAAAAAAAGTAACAGAAATGCTTTAAAAAACCTTGAAGTTCACCTTTTTAAGGCACCAAAACGTTCCATTTAACTACCAAAATCCAAACTTTTCTTTGCAAGGGTGGCTAGGGGCTATGCCCCCTGAACCTCCCGCCGCAGCAAACTTCTTCGAAGTTTGCGCGGGCTTCAGAAACCTGTGAAATATACCTGTTTTTAAAGTTGAGGATTTGGGGAAAAATATGATTCTAAAAGGGGGGGGGGGGGGAATATGAGTCTCACAACTAATATACAACCCTTGAAAAAAATACACTAAAAAAATGGACGCCCAATTTGTTTTTTAAAATCTGGTACCTGCTGGGTTCTGGAAAAACTGACACGCCTAGATTTAGGCTTTGTCCCGCCCACTCCGGGTCCTATTGCCTCAGTCGTCACAATATTTGTCTGAATATCCTGCAAACAGATGAAATCAGATCAGATTAGGTTGAAACTCTTATATTGGATACCCCTAATCCTGATTAATAAATCTCTGTATCCACTGTGGACACTTTTGATTTTTGCTTAATCCGCTCTTTTAATCTCTTTTTGGATTGATCCGATTATTAAGAGTTCTTTCATTTATTGCGCGCCAAAGGTCAGGCAGATCAGATTTCGAATGACACGATTAAATTTGGCGAAGAAGAAAATAGTGAAATTAAGTTATTAAGGACGAAATAATTTTCTTCAAAAACGAATAAATTAGCTGGGGATGATTTAATTTTGTAAGTGACGACTTAGTTTTGTGAAAGACAGATCTGGATACCTGTAAAATCGCCCTGTTATTGGTCGGCATCTTGAGTATAGACGATCTTCTCTTACTCCGGCCCGTCCTGGCATTTTTAGCTCCGGGTTGCGGATTAGGATCCATTGGATCCATTTCTGGAATAATCTGGTAATTAATTTCTAAACATAAGAAATGTTTACTAACAAACGCACAACATGTTTTAATATGTATGTAGTCAATATTGAAAACATTATTTTATAGGAATACTTTAAGTAAATTTCATAATTCATAAATATTTCATGTTTAAAAGGCCTGGACGGATTTATTTCCCATTTTTGAGTTTTACTTTTGCAAATTCTTGACTGAGAATTGACATAACATCCTTGTGATTAACTCCTGGTTTCTTGTGAACCTTGTAGTTTTCCTTGACAAACAGAGCAAAGGCATTGGGGGTCTTCGGTGGACCAGGGGTAGGCCTAAAATCAATTTCAAAACCTTTAATTAAAATGTCAAAGCCGATTCCCAACAGCATTTTTAAAAACTATCTGATAATCCATAACGTTAAAAGAAAAGCGTTTCTTTCTGGTCAGAAATCTAAGAGTTAATCTATATAAATACTTTGCTTGTCTGTCTGTATCCAATACAAGTCAAACAGCTGAACCGATCGGGCCCAAATTTTTTGTGGGGCCCCGTGTGACCCAAGGGAAGGTTTATAGATGATCAAATTTCAAAAATTTGCTTCTAACAAAATTCGGTTTTTGAAAATGCACGATTTATTTTTGTTTTACAATGTATACAAAGAGAACGTGTCACAATTGAGATAGAAGATGGGCGCGAAGCACCCTAATAACCTAGTATTTCAAATTGCTGCTGATGCAAGTTTTCAATTTGTAAGGGACTGAAAACGTAATTTCAAGTGACCCTTTGAGGAAAAAGAGTTGACCGTCACAACTGTACCCTTAAAAGCTTAGTGTGATCAATTGTGAATTAGATATCCATACTTTTGTTTTTGAAAACTGTTTAATTTATGAGTTCTTTTGCATAAAAAAAATCGTTTTTATGCTTAGAATTAAAGATTTTTCAAGCCAGAAAAACGACGTTATCTTCCACATTATTGAGTAGATTAAGGTTTCAAGGGTGAATCGGAAATGGAGAGTCATTTAAAATTACAGACCTACCCTTTACCAACAAAATACGTGCATATGGATAATTACAGACCTACCCTTTACCAACAAAATACGTGCATATGGATAATTACAGACCTACCCTTTACCAACAAAATACGTGCATATGGATAATTACAGACCTAACCTTTACCAACAAAATACGTGCATATGGATAATTTGGCATTTCATGCACATCCATTTTTGCAGTAGACTTTACAATTTAATGAAATAAATCACTTTTAAAAACTTTCTTTAGGGTTTTGAAAATCCCTATTAAGATCTAATATTGACTACTCGAGTGGGCATGAAGTGCATAAGGAAGAAGGATATGTTTTAACCCTTGTAATATTCTTAATAATAGGAACCAAAACTTATCCCACCAACCTTTATTGATCCACCCAATATGTATTTACATTAAAGATGTTGACCTGGAGCTCTCCTTGTTTGATGTATTCACGAGAAGCCGGAACTTCCCGTGACAGTGACCACATACCTTCCTCTCAGTGTCCAGGGACTTGCTGTGTCGATCTAATAGTAATCATATCTTGTTTATAGTGCTTAGGATCCAGATCCACAACAAGTTGTGTCCCCGGATACAGATCCGGATCCACAAAAACCGGATCCCGGAAGTTAGTTTCAGTTAAAAAAATTATCAAAGAAAATGTCGGAAATAAAATTTAATAAAAAGAAATATGGTTAAGTATAGTGAGACCTATAAAACTGTTAATATTAAGACGACATTTAAATAGTTTTACCTTTCGCGGTGTAATTCACTTATCTAGTGATATGGGTCTGTGTACCCTGCACAGTGCACAATTACTGTGCTTCATGTTCATTGAAGTATTTTAAATAGTAACTTAAGTCAAACTAACCCACAGTTTAATTGGTCTAACTGAATTGATATGCTGAAATGTTTTTTTAATTCAGCCCCCTCCCCCCCCCCTCTTGAATACAAGTATAAATGTTACCTATCTGATATCCACACTTCTCACAGACATATGAATACTTGGTTCTGATCTGGTAACTGTGACAGCGATCTATAACTGGGAGTTCAGGGAACCTACTCATTGCTTTCTCAGCCCAGGTTCTCCACAGAGGTCCGTGACCATCTCTAAATAAAAATATTTTAATTCTAAACCATTGAAAAATGCATTAGTATTCAGACAACGACGACTTTAAATTTCAAGTTTAAAAATGTGATTTTAATTACTCCAATGCACAAGAGACAGTTAGACATAGCAATTGTGCAAGAACATTTTCCTTAAATTAATTTTATTTTCAAGATCTAAGTAAAACTGTTTACTTTATAACAATAAATGCACCTGGGGTGTCTCAAATGTCCTTTTCCTCTATACATTATAATATCTCAATATGTAACCAACCAAGTTTATGTATCAAGGACGCAAAGTATTTCTGATAACCCCGCATTAAATGAACTTGGGTTAATGTTTAGAACTTTAAAATTGAAGTATAATACATTTTAAGTCAATGCGAAGGCAAAAAAAGTGTTAGATGTTAAAAAACATTTAGTGTTCAGTAGCTTAGATTTTACTGGATTAAAGAGGAGGCCACTACCCAACAAGATCAGGTATGTTATTAAATATCTATGGGTTGACACCTGTATCCTGAGATAATCCAGGACGCTGCGTGGCACATCTCATGTATCAAAGTATCACGTAACCTGTCCCCACTATCCAGAACCTAAAAATATTTGGATTAGTGCGCAACATATACAATGATTCCAGGTGACATACAAAGAAGTGAAATTACTAAACCAAGGTGCATAGATTAGATAAAATAGATAGATTAGATATATCAGATAGATTAGATAGATTAGGTAGATTAGGTAGATTAGGTAGATTAGATAGATTAGATAGATTAGATAGATTAGATAGATTAGATAGATTAGATAGATTAGATAAATTAGATAAATTAGATAAATTAGATAAATTAGATAAATTAGATAAATTAGATAAATTAGATAAATTAGATAAATTAGATAGATTAGATAGATTAGATAGATTAGATACGATTAGATACGATTAGATAGGATTAGGTAGATTAGATAGATTAGATAGATTAGATAGAATAGATATAATAGATAGAATAGATAGATTAGATACGATAAGGTAGATTAGATAGATTAGGTAGATTAGATAGATTCTAAGGGTTATGTCAACCCTCAGTGTTGAAATGCAAACTCTAACTTGATGAACTTAAGTGGAAGTTGATTCAGGAAAACATTTCGATTTTTGTTAAAGATAATGGGACAATTCAACACTTTGTAACATCAAATTTTGTACGGGCTGCATTTGGTTCTAAAAATTAAGAAAAATGCTTATTTTGGGCCACTTTACCCAAAAGCTTTTTTTATCCCATTTGTGTGTCACCCACTATACATAAATTTGTTTAAATTTAAACAGAATTTCTATATTTATTTTTTTAAATTTACAAATTCATAAGCAAATTTACTGATTTGAAATATTTTCATCAAAGAAATAAATAATTCTTAATGGAAGTTCAAGTTCTATGGTAAAAAATTTATTTAAATCTTAATTTATTTTAATCAATTGTAATAATAACAATAATGATGATTGATATGCGACTTAGGGGAGACCATCATCAGAAATTTTATCAATAAATACTATAAAACTAATCACCTTAACGGAGAGTTCAATTCTGCTTGATCTTGCTTCAATATTAAACTTGTTCCTATATCTTTTAGAGTAGCACAGTCCGGCAGTTTTCGTCAGTCTTACGTTCCACGTAATCTCCATATCAGCAGGCAAACATCCATCAAATATTTCTTTGTTATACAGATGATATAAACGTTTGGAAAGTTCTTCCTTCTTCTTTTTAAAATCAGAAATATACTTGAGAGCGTCCGGGTGACATCTATGACGCGGAGTATCAATGGTTAGGGAAGAGAGGAAGGTTAAAGTTTTGGGAGTTCCTAGCACCTCAGCTCCTTGCAGCTGTAGTTTTTTCGTGGATTTTTTAGGTTTGGGAGTATGCAAATCTTCCGGGTTCACAGGTTTGTCTTTGGGTTCCCCCACTGAGATTGAGGTTGTCTTTTTAATTGGTTTCTTGCTCTTAATTGGAGTCGGAGAAACGGATCTTTCCGAGTCGGAAGATACGGTTATACTAGACTCAGAATCCGACACTATAACGTTCTTCTTTCGGGCGCTTTTCTTGGTTTTGATTCGGACCAGGGAGTCGGAATCAGAATCATCTGAGTCTATCAAGGGTTTTTTGGTTTTGGTTTTAACTGGCTCAGGAGATGGGAGTTCACCGCTAGAATTGGGAGAATAATTGGGAGCAGGTTTAGTTTTTGATTTCTTTTTTTCGGCAGTTTTCTTTTTAGTTTTCGGTTCTTCAATACCATCCTTCCTTCTCCTGATCCTATCCATTAGACTGAGCCCCGGGGTTCCAGGATCACTGGAATCCAGCTCATCATCTGGAACTATAAACTCATCATCACTCACAACCTTCTTCTTAGCAGTTCTTGATATCTTGAGATTGTTGAGAAATCCTTCTAGATCGTCCTCGCTCGATGATTCTGCTTGCATTTCCTTCCGTTCTGAGATTACAGAGGATACTTGGGTGGTCTCCACCTGGGTCCAGGATCTCACAGCGTTCACGGAGTTGTCTATCGTCATATTTGTCCGTATAGTCGACTCACCCAACACCGGAGGTTTGTTCTTGTTTTTCTTCTGAAAAAAAGGATTCTCAATGGTTTGATTGAACTCCACACTATCATTACCATACACGATTTTTCCTTTAACAGATCCATTAGGACTCCGTGACACGGAGTGATATGTGAGAGGAACAAATCTATCCGAATCACTAAAGCTTCTGGATTGGTTGTTAGAACTTACATGGTTTCCTTGACTATTAGATTTATTTCTATTTCCATTGTATAAGGGGCCGTTAATCAAGCTTCTGTTAGTTTTACTGGTTCCGTGACTTTGGGAGACATTGTTCCTGGTTCCACCAGCTTTACTGTTTCCTCGACTTTGGGAGTCAGTGATCCAGGTTCCACCCGCTTTACCAGTACCTTGACTTTGAGAGTCATTGTTCCAGCTTCCTCCAGCTTTGCTGGTTCCTTGACTTTGAGAGTCATTGTTCCAACTTCCTCCGGCTTTACTTGTTCCTTGACTTTGAGAGTCATTGTTCCAACTTCCTACGGCTTTGCTTGTTCCTTGACTTTGAGAGTCATTATTCCAACTTCCTCCAGCTTTGCTTGTTCCTTGACTTTGAGAGTCATTGTTCCAACTTCCTCCGGCTTTACTGGTTCCTTGACTTTGAGAATTGTAGTTCCATGTTCCTCCCGCTTTACTAGTTCCTTGACTTTCAGAGTCACAGTTCCAACTTCCTTCTGCTTTACTAGTTCCTTGACTTTCAGAGTCATTGTTCCAGGTTCCACCTGCTTTGCTAGTTCCTTGACTTTGAGAATCATTGTTGCAGGTTCCACCCGCTTTGCTAGTTGCTTGACTTTGAGAATCATTCCTTGAACTTAGGCCCGCCTTGCTTGTTCCTTGACTTTGACTCTGATGAGAACTCCTAACCGATTTTTTACCGCCCTCATTTGTGTTTTCTGCTTTTCTGTGGCTTCTACTCTCAGACCTATTATCATGAGAATTCTCAGTTTCATCCCTCCAACTTCCGTCGTGCTTACTTGTTCCTTTGCTTCCAGTAGGTTCAGGGCTAAGATCCTCAGTAATATCTGCTCTACCATCCTCTTCAACCTCTACTGTACTATCCATTAAACTATCACAACTATCCCTTCTCTTCGCTGGATCAGAAACATTACTCAACCAGGAGTTCACTCGGTGGAATTTAGAATCCGATAATAATTTAATGTTCGGAGACGGTAGATCGTCATCGGAGTTGATAACCGTCCTGTTCCCGTCCCGGTATTTGTTAAAGGAAAGATTTTTCTGTACAAGAGGTTGATCATCATCACTCTCCGAGTCACTGCCACCGATGATAACCCTCCCAACACCTCCACGGGTATAAGTGTTCTTTTTTATTGAAAATAATCTAGACGCCTTAACCGTACCTAAACAATAGAATGATTTAGTCATGTTATTTTTTATCCTAAGTGAAAATGGCATCTTTGCCTTTATACAAATTCCCATCTGTTTTTAAACGAATACATACTTGATTGTGGCGCTGAGGGAAATTTATTGGTTGGTGTTTTCTCTATACTCTGTGAAAGGTTGCCTGTGCTAAGGATTATACCCGGAGTATTCTTGTACCGAACCTCGGAGCAAGTAGTCTCACTTAGAACTAGTTCCAGGGACTCGGTCTCAGTATCTACTCTCTTGTCTTCACTCAACCTCAAAAAAAAAATGTTGAACAAAAATATTCTTTTCATAATCAAATTATTGTATTTGTTTAGTTTTAGTACATACCTGGTTTTTTCTTTCTCAGCATCTTGATGCAGGTTTCTAACAGATCTAAATAAACAATTTATTCGACTTCTTAATAATTGCAACTAATTTAATTCTTTAAAAATTTGCTATTCATCCAAGAGGTGTTTTTATGTTTAAAAGAGTCAATTTAAAAAACATGCAATTACCAAAATAAATTATTAGCCCATACTGATCATGAAAAAAATGCAAACGAATTTCTAGAAAAAATTGCGACAAAAACCAGTCAGCTACCCCCCCCCCCCCCCCCCCCCCCCTCCAAGGAAGGTTAAGGACGGATACCTGATAGTATCTGAGGACATCCAAGTATCTAGAACACCACCACGGTTCATTGGATCATCCTGTCCCTCCTCACAGGAGTAAAAGTTAGTTTCATCCTCCGTTATCAGATCATTCTCTTCATCCTCTGTTATCTCCTAAAGAGGCGGGTGACAAAAAAAGTAAGGGAAAACATACATAACAAAAGAATAGTTGGTGTTATTTCATTACCATGACTTGAAAAATACTACAAAAAATGCCATTGTGTAAAGTTGCCTTTCTGAGAATTTTAAATAATATGTTTAAATCTATGTTTCTGGAATTAAAATTTTCTGAAAGGTCCTTTTTAAAGGTTTGATGCAGATTTCTATCTGTAATAGTTCTTAGTTCGTAGTTATAAAGAAAAAACTTATTCTTCCGTTATTATATCTTGTGATAAGCTTGTAGAATGTAAAAAGTCGAGTAATACCTGGAGGGGAAGAGGTCTGGAAGCATCCTTGCCCTGGTCTCTCCCCTTCCTGGAGCTATGGATGCTAGTTCTCCTGATATAAGATTGATTGGTGAAGATTGAAACTCGTCTAGACACATCTTCATCTTCTTCATCAGAATCTAGTCCACAATAAACATAATCAGAGTTCAAAATTAATGAATAGCTATTCAAACTATCTACTTCATCAAATCCGCTTTCAGATTAGAATGAAATTGAAAAATACCTTTGCACTGTACTGATATATATTAATTTATTTTATTTTTCTCACCTAAAACCGTTAGATTTCCCGCCAAAATTGTTGAGTTTCTCCGCGAGTTTCGTCCGATTAAAGACTCGCAAGATTCTAAACATTAATAAAATATTATCATTCATTCAAAATAATAACAAAAGTAAAAATGTTTGTAAGGGGTTGTAGTAATAGTTGTACTGGGGAACCATCAGAATAAAACACTTCAGACAAACCAATTTTAACCTAGAAATACAAAGATATCGTCCACATTATTGACCAGATAATAGTGTAACTTATTATATCAGGAATATCCGGAAAGAGATCTGAAAGCCCCACCCCCAGTTTGGAGAACCCAGGTGGACGTCCCTTTAATCAATAAATTAATCAGAATTATTCAGTAAAATTACATTTCTTACTTTTTAAGGTAACATTTTCTTCCTCTGCTTCATCATCATCACTACTAGATATAAGGATGATTACATTGCTTCCGACTGGTCCTGATCTACTAGTAGCAGGAGCTAGAACCCGCTCCTGTCTATCAATACCAGGAGATTGAACACGGATAGGTTGGGACGGCTTCTTCTCAATCTCAGCTTTAGCTGGAGAGTTTCTCTAAAACATGGGGTTTAACGAAAAAGTAGACCTTCTTGACCGTAGCAAAGGTCAAATGATTATATCTATAATTGCGGTCAACCTTAAATCCTCAGAAACCAGACTTGAGTTCCCCTCAATTTAAGTTCCGATGAGTTCAAAAAGTTTTTTTTCTTACTATTGTTTGACGAAAATATATTAATATTTTTCTTAATCAATCAAAACAAATACATTCATTAAATTCAAGTGAATTCAAGTTATTAAAAAAAATTTAAGAAGAGATAATCTGCATAATCTAAATTGAACATGTTTATGGTTATCCATGTACAATTTGTTGAAGTAAAATGATCATTCAAACCTGTTGAGCTTTTAGTTTCTTATATGCCGAGGATAGTTTACTCGGAGTGTTTCTGTTCGACATATTTCACTAGGATTTCAATAATACATACTTGATCTGAAATCATTAAAATATTCATACATACGTCTTTATTCTGTACTATGTACAGACTCATATATCTGAGTATGAAAAATAGGACTAAATCTATAAGGAGGAAGTTGATTAGCATCTTGTTCCAGGAGGGTGTACAGATATTGCAGGGGGGGGGGGTCTAGAGAGCCCCAGCACTGAATAGTCCCTGGAATATCCGATCCAAAGAGACTGTAGCATGTCCGTTGTTTCTGTTAAACTTGTGCTCAACGAAATCTTTAATCTCGTCATACGCTGACATACTTCCTTGTGTAGCAGACAACTTATTCCTAAAATAAACCTACATTAAATCTTTGAGAATTTTTTTAAATAATCAAGTTTCTCTTTAAACTATCATTTCTCTCTTAAAACATCATTTCTCTCTTTAATCATCATTTTTCTCTTTAATCATCATTTTTCTCTTTAAATCCTCAATTTTCTCTTTAAACCGTCAAGTTTCTCTTTAAATCATCATTTTTCTCTTTAAACAATTAATTTTACTTTAAACCATTTAACAATTAATTTTCTCTGTAATCCATCAAATTTCTCTTTAAACCTTAAATTTTCTCTTTAAACCATCAATTTTCTCTTAAAGAACCATCAATCTTCCTTTTAAAACCATAAATTTTCCTTTAAACAATTAATTTTCTCTGTTGGCATGTTTACTATTTTATTCAACTTTTTTTTAGAATTTATCTATTTCAGTCAAAAAAACGAGGTTTTCTGCCAACATTTTTATCAGATTTAGGTTACGGATACCGTTGTGAATCGAAGAAAATTGCCATCTTTGCATGGATGGACACTTGAAATTACGTTTACAGTCCCTTTAAACCATCAAGTTTACCTATTACAGCGATGAAAACCCCAAAATAAAATATGATTTACCTGACGTATGTTAGTTCATCTTGATCAAGTTTACTCTGAGCTTTCCTAATATCAAATATATGAAGGATGAACTGAATCTGATTGTACAACTGGGTATCCGAGTACTCGCTGTACATAATCGCTTTCCTACACGTACTGCAGACCGGATACGCTCTCTGGAACTCCAAAGGGAGTAGACGAGTTCTCCCGGAGCAACCTGGATCCTCACAAACCAACCATCCTTGATAATACTTTTCTATACAACCTCTCATCATCCTAGAGACCTGGTTCATCACCCATCCAGATCTATTACCCTGAAACAATAATAATTCAAGTTTATTATTCGTATGTCTTATATGGTCAAAACCACAGAAATTTGTCTGTCCCCAATATGAAAAATGTCAATTGTTTTATTTTATTTTGATGGTTTGATTAAAAAATTTGTTTTTTAACCTGCAAGAGCATCTTTAGATTTTTTTTTCCATTATAACCATATAACAAATGATATCATTCATATTTCATTGGGAAAAATAGATTTCGATGGTTATGCCCTACAAAGTAATCTCTGTTTGTTCGTTTGATCATCGCTTTCGAACCCGTTGACCGATTTGCCTCCAATTAAGATTGGAAACTCGTTAGACCCACGGAAATGTTATTTGCTTGTTTTCAAAATCACAAATTAAGAGAGTAAACTCTTGTAAGGAAATTTTTCCAGGCTAAGTTGGGTTCCCAAGCTAGTTAATAAACAAACACGATCCCATCATTGTCTCCAAGTTAGTTGGAGACTTAAAAATTTATAATTGCTGAACCGAGTTATTGCTTTTTTAATTAAAAATACAAGCAAACAAGTCAATAATAATTTTTTTTAAATCTTTTAAAAATTAAATTAATTCTAGTCCTACCTCTAGTGGATATCCTCCGCATGGTTTAGCTCTGGGGCATGTGAGCAGTGCTGGAGAAAGATTCTTCCCAGATCCGACGAACGGAGAATCAAGTTTAATTTCCTCTCCACATAAGCAGGATAGGTTAAGAGGAGTACAGGAGAGGAATCTATCCTCTTCTCTTTCCTCCGGGTCCTCGTGGTTCTCTACAGGAGCTCGAGACTTATACTGTCCAGGATCCAGACCTAGAGAAACAAGCTTTTGATGTGTTATACAATTTTTATATTTCTTGAGCTAAGGTCGAACCGTCAACAATTTTTTTATTATCGATGAACTTAATAAATACAATTTCCACTTCTGAACGCAGGATCCTAATCACCAACTTTTGGCTTCCTTGATACTGATCCGGGTCCAAGTTAACCTAGTTGACCAAATTAACATACATATTTAAAGGACCTGTAGTGTCATTTTCGAGAAAATCTCAATTTTAAGAGAGGCAAGTCCGATGCACAATGGAAGGAATTATTCAAGATGAAAAACGACGAAATCTTTTAAATTATTAATCAAGTAAAGGTTTAAATGATAAACTTGTAAATTGGGCATGCCCATCTTTTTAAATGGATAGTCATTGGAAATTACAAAGACATTCGGATCCTCAATTTTTTCTCTCTTTACACAAGAAATTTCATTGGCATCCAGTATAAAATCAAGTTTTGGGTTGCAATTTAATCCAAATATAACAATGAATAAAAATATTTTTTTTACCTAAGCAGGAAGCAATTCTAGCACTATCCATTCCATCGATAGGATCACATAATCTAAAAATTAAGTTTAGCTATTTCTTGTTTGTTTAGTCAATACGCTAGATTTTAGCGCAATATATCTGTTTTTTTAGATTTTATCGCTATATATTTTTCCTAAGACTTTACGTTCAGATATTTGATAAGATATTACCGAAAAAACGTCTGTTTGTTTTATTGCAAGATACTTGTTTGTTAAGATTTTACGGCAAGATGTGTTAAATTTGTTTATATTTTACCGCACGATATTTGGTTATTTATATTTTACAACAAGATATTTGTTTGTGTATATTGAAGCACAAGATATTTGTTTTGTTTATATTTTATAGCAAAATATTAGTTTGTTAGATTTTACCGCAAGATATTTGTTTGTTTATATTTTACAGCAAGATATTTGTTTTGTTTATATTTTACCGCAAGATATTTGTTTATTTATATTTTACAACAACATATTTGTTTTGTTTATATTTTACCGCAAGATATTTGTTTTTTTTTTATATTTTACAACAAGATATTTGTTTGTTTATATTGAAGCACAAGATATTTGTTTTGTTTATATTTTATAGCAAAATATTAGTTTGTTAGATTTTACCGCAAGATATTTGTTTGTTTATATTTTACAGCAAGATATTTGTTTTTGTATATTTTACAACAAGATATTTGTTTATTTATATTCCAGCGCAAGATATTTGTTTTGTTTATATTTTACCGCAAGATATTTGTTTGTTTATATTTTACAGCAAGATATTTGTTTGTGTATATTTTACAACAAGATATTTGTTTATTTATATTCCAGCGCAAGATATTTGTTTTGTTTATATTTTACAACAAGATATTTGTTTGTTTATATTGAAGCACAAGATATTTGTTTTGTTTATATTTTACCGCAAAATATTAGTTTTTTAGATTTTACCGCAAGATATTTGTTTGTTTATATTTTACCTTGACACTACAGGATGTAGCTGTTGAGCTAGATAGCATTGAGTATCTATATATTTGTTAATATTCTACCTTGATACTACAGGATGTAGCTGCTGAGCTAGATAGTATTGAGTATCTATATATTTGTTAATATTCTACCTTGATACTACAGGATGTAGCTGCTGAGCTAAATAGTATTGAGTATCTATCTTCAATGTTGAGGATTCTTTAACCTCGTCAACATGATAAGCCCGCTGTGTAGCGGCCAACCCACTCCCGTCATCACAGATAACGTAGGTAACTGTATCTCCAGCCTTCAGCTTCTTACCACCAGCACTATTCAATCTCAAGGCTACCTGCAATTTGGAGAACATTGATCCGAAAGTCTACATCTTGAGGGACCCAGACCACAATGAACATACAGAGTTACCCGTAACTACCCGTAAAGGATGATATTTCAGAGACAACTGTACGGAATTTTTACGGTCTGTTTCCTGATATTCATGACTCCCTAGAACTATAGACTTCTTCTTTGTTATATCATTTTAACAGCCGTTTAAAGACGATATTCAAGGCAGGTGACCTAATTTTAACTTCTGATGGTCATATTTTAAAAGTTTCAACTGTCTTTACAGTCTTATCCTTTGTGTGTAGCCCTGTATACAACTGTATATAAGTTAAAGACCTGGCAGAGTTTATGGTTTTGTGAAAGGGGTTGGGGCACTTAAATAAAAAATTTTAATACGCGTATTACATTTTTAACATTTACAAAATATGATTTTGGGGAGGTACAAAAGATGTTATTAGTAAGATACAAGTTGAGGAATGCTAAATAGTTCATTTAACAATGAATATCTGGCGATACTAATGGACTAAATATTAATAATTAACTAGTTTCACCTGTACATGAGGCAGAGCTTTTTTATCCGGATAATCACTTGGATCCTTGGTTAACTGTTTAGTTATACCCAGAGTTTTCAGAGCTATCTTTCCGTCCAGCAGAGCAGTTTTCAAACCCTCAAGGTGCTCCTACAACACGGGATTTAAACATGCACTGTCGAACGTAGGCTTTATTATTTTTAGTCCAGGGTCGAGCTCCACTTTAGGATTTAATTTGATTAAATAGAAAATGACAGTGGTCGCCAAAGTTTGTTGAAAAAAAAATGTTAACCATAGGAAAAAAAAATTATAAGTAAAGTGAAGTACTTATTTAAATTAGTTATACTATACTTTTCTGTTTGAGTGGTGGGGGTTGGAGGGGGAGAAGTATTTTTTTTTTTTTTTTTAATTTTACCTGTATTTCCGAAAGCCTTGAATCTTCTGATTTATCCGTCATAATGATATCAATTATAGCTTTACCAGCGTCGGCTGCAAACTGACTCCAGTCACGCCGGACAATATCCAATCCTAAAAAATTGAGTTTTAAATTATCTTACTTTCCATAAAAACTATTTCCACTCGTTTTTTTTCTTTTCCTGGATCTTGAATTTAATCAAACATTAAATAATAACTGTAGGTGGTCAACAAATTAAGTTCATGTTTAAAAACTTTCAAAGTTTCCATTTTTCTTAACTTGAGTGTCAAACACAAAAACAGGAAAGGAAAGAAAATGTAATCAAAATGTTTGTTTACCTTTAAGTTCAGTTTTCTGAACGATGTTTCCATCTCTATCCTTCTCCAGGGTAACAGCAGCATACTTTTTCTTCTTCAATAGTAACATATACCTAGAGAAAATGGCGTTTAAATCAGAAACTTAAAATTATTTTATTTTTTATTGTTGACTCTTACTTGAATACCCCGTCAATGTCTAGCTCTAGAAGCTTGTAGAGCTTGTTGACCGTCTGTTTGATCTCCTTGCCGAGCCTGTACACCTCCTCAAAGTCCCTGGAGTTCGTGTTGACCATGACGGAGTCCGTGTCTCCGTACACCACGTCTAGGTTCATCTTCTGGATCATATCCCTGGTCTGGAGAAGGATCTCACGACCCTTGCTGGTCACAAGAGCAGCCAGGTGCTTAGCGTAGAACCTTCACATTCATCAGATTAATTATCAAACTTTTCAAGAAAAAAAAAATCATGAAAAAATGAAAGGGCTAATCCCCTCCCCCCTCTCCTTTTTGTATACACATTCTACATTTCTTTATAATCCGTTATTATACGTAAAATAAAAATCTATTTGGTGCACTTTGAAGATTTCAAGACAGTTCTTTAGATATCTTACAAAATGTATTTAACTAAAATTATTATAAGTTTTATTTCGTTTATGTTTCTTTAATTTTTCTATTATTAATTTAAACAATACAAGTCCCAACATTAATATCTCATAATGATATTCAGGTTTTCAAAATAACAAAATAAAAAATCTTAATCCTTGAATTTTTTAATAGGTTTAAAAGATGAAAGGTTTAGACGTACTATCATACCTCGAGAAACTGAACCCAAGACATCCATACATAGAGTTAGCTGTTAGTTTAAGAGCTAACTGTCTAATATTCAGTTGTTGTCTTTGCGCTTCTGTTAATTTATCCTTTTTTAACATATCCTTGACGTTTCGTCTGCTCTCGACTAGTTTCTTGATCTGGGTTGGAAGAACGCCAGGGGATACGGTGGGTTCAGGAAGGTTGGGTAAAACCATATCTCCATCTCCGCTCTTCACTGGAGTTCGATCGACAGTGGTGAAACAAATATTATACTCCTGTATGATGGAAGGATAGAGGGAGTTGAAATCAAGGAGCAGGATATACGTGTCATAGAAACCTTTCTTAGGATCTAGAACCAAACCTCCGGCATAGGACGCTTTCTTTCTCTTACTTGAACCCTGGGTTTCCTCTCCGTCTTCATCATGCTCAACCTTTCTCTTCCCGTAGTGTTTATCAGGGACAATATAGTCTAGAGATGTGAACGCATGGAGGAGAAGATATTCAATTCTTTCCGCTCTTCCTCCTCGCAGGGTTTTACTCATCACAGTTCCTACAATCTGAGATATCTGGAGAGCTAGAGGTAGAGCGTTCAGGTCGGAAACTATTCTCAGGGTTTGATCTGCATCACGCATACAGAGAACAATATTACCCTTGAGCTCCTCGGAACTGGAGTAGGACTTTCTTAATGATTCCGGAGTCAGGATCATTCTTTTATCCTCCTCCCCTTCCTGGAGACACTTCTCAACCAGAGCTCCAAGCTCGTAGCTCTTGCATCGGATCAATTCCTTGGCAGAGATCTTTAGATCACAAACCAACCTACCAACAGTTGCGTCTTTGCTGGCATGTTTCATTCCTGCATGGTTTGAGCGTCGTAATCTACCAAGACGAGACCAATGAGCGATCTTGTTTTGCATCATCCTATGGACCAGAACTTCAATATCGAAGTTGATAATGTCGTGGCCGATGATCACGTCCGGGTCGAGCTTTTGAATCTTGGTGAGGAAAAGGCTGAGCAGTTCTCTCTCAGAGTTGGCCTTCTCTATCTTAGTAATTCCGTTCTCAGTTTGGTTTGCTCCAACCCTTGACCAGTCATACGGCCAGGCCTCGTCCTGAGGTTTAGTGATTATACAGAAATGTTGGTTAAAGGGTTCACTAGGAGCCTTCTCTAGACTATAGCTTGTGTGCGCTAAACATCCAATCATTGAAATCTCGTTCTGATGAGTCTTCGCATTTATAACAGTGCCTAAATATTCATAATTTTATCGAATAAAAAAAACTTTTTTATGTATTTATACCGAAACAAAGGAATTGAGTCTCTGCCACAAACTAAAATATTGTAATCCATATAACTCTTTTAAACCCGATGGTGTAGAAATATGATATTTCAACCTTAGATTATCAAAAGAAAACATAGTTTTAATTTTTAAATATTAAAGATTTGCGACATTGGGTTGCAAAAATATAGGGATAAGAAAATCAGAGTTTATGGCAGACTCAATTTCTTTCTTAAAATTTCAAATTTTGAAAATCCTTTATTTCATACCAATTTTTAAACTCATTATGACCATGGGAGGCGTTTCATCTTGAGTGCTAGCCACAGTAACCATACTTGGGTCTGTGAGAACCGCTTCCAGTTTACACCATGAAGTAGGCGGGGAGTGTGGAACCGCCCCCTTGACATACAACCAGCCTGGTCCCTTCAACTTCTGCTCAAGAAGGAACATCTCTAGAGCAGTTTGTGGAGTTCCAAATATCCTGCTAAAAGTCTCCCCAGTAAGTTCTGCAGGTAGAGCAGGGTAGTCGGAGGAGTATAGAACCTCAAGATACTGGCCAACATTGGGAATATCAGAATGATCGAAGGCGTAGGATTTTTCGACAGGTCTACACTTATGCTCCATGATCTTATATCTCTTAGCAATCTTGGAATTAAACTCGTTGTATAAATCCATGGATGTGACTTCTTTCTCTCCAGGTAGGGGTTGACCGGTTTTAGCATCACAGAAGATTTCCCGTTTTGTCAAGTAGATTCTCCGGGGTATATTCTTTATAGTGAGACAACACGAGACAAAGGAGTTGGCGGACTCAATCCAAACCTTCCCAAACAACCAGACGACGCCGGGATGTTTCATGGCGTCCTCGTACGCGTCGTACCAGAACATCTTCAACACCTCTTCAGTTGTAGTTTCTCCGGTCTCAGGATTGGTTATCTCAACCTGGGAGAGGGGAAACTTGGAGAAGTCTACGTTAATTTCAGCCGAAGCTGTCTGTTGAACTAGACTGGATTTCCAGACAGAACCTGAACTGTTTAAAACAACTGGTTTCTGTTCAATAAATCCACGATTATCCATCTTTACCTCAACCTTCTCTTCAACCTCTTCTTGGCATGCAGCTGTGAACTCTGCGTCATCCTCCATATCATTGATCATCATTTCTTCCTCGAAATCGTCTTGACTCGGTTGATCGAACTCTTCTATCAGCTGGCTTGGTGTTTCGTGATCAACTGAACTTGAAGCAAGGACTTTCTTTAATCCAGTTCCTTTCTTGATAAATGGGTTCCTCTCAACCTCGGAAACCTGCGAAACCTTGCCATGTTTAGAACCGTGACCTCCAGGTTTCTTAAGAACCTGTTTCTTGGGTTTCAGTTTTTCTAAAATATCTCCCAGAAACTCGTCATCATCTAGTTTTACTTCCTCCTCTTTCTTTTTCTTGGTAGGCATGTTCAGGATCATATTCTTGATATTTCCTCCTTTCTTCTCCTCTTTCTTAACCTTCTCTTTCTCAGCCTTCTTCTTGGACTTGGAGCTAGTATAGATAGCATCCTCTTCATCATCGTCGAATATCTCCCGGCCGTCCTCTACATATCCACCATCATCGTCAATAATCCACTCACTGTCCCGCCTCTTCTGAACCTCCTCGGCGTATTCACTCTCGTCCACCATCTCGTAGACGTTCTGAACCTCCTCAACCTCATAATTCATCTTCTTACCCTTCTCCTTAGCTTCCTAAATACAAGACTTATTTGAAGAAAGAGTAATAATTAATTACATGTGAAGTAAAACAAAACCAAAAATAGGAGATATAAATTAAAACAATAATTAGGACAAAATAAAAATTTAGCCGGCACATCAATGCATTTTGGTGAAATTTGATTTAAACCACAAAATTTTATCTTTTAAGTTAGGTTATTTAAACTTTCAACGATCAATCACCTAGCCCCCTTCCCCTCCCACCACCATCAATATTGAGTAGTTTTTAAGTTCAAATTAGAGATACGTAATTTAGTTTAATTCTTTCACCAAAATCATCAAAAATCAGCTAAAATTATACCCCTTGTAAGGCCCTATAAGTTTAAAAAAATAAAATTATCTTGTTTTTAATAGTCTATAAGTTTATAAGTTATAACAAACCTTGAATTTCTTGAGAGCCTCGAAGCGCCCATACTTGTCAGATTTCTCTCTTCTTGATCTAGAGGCAGCTATGGTTGGATAACACGATGGAGAATCATTCCCGTCATCGTCGGACATTTTTATTGATTAACTGACGTAGTTTGAACGTCCTTGAAATTTCTGAAATCACCCTCATTAGTTTGAAACTCAAGAGCAGCCAGGGGCGTACACAGGGAGGAGTAGTTTTAATGCACAAGTAAATTTGCATAGGCTATATTCGATAAGTTACAAGAAAAGTAAATTTACGTTGTCACTTGAAAAGTGTCGAGCACAACATAACAATTGCCATTAACGCTATTTGACAAAGTATTGGTTAGTTCAATCCTAGTGTCTAAGAGGTTTCGATCATAAATGAAATTTCAGACAAAGTTGGAACGTGGCAGGAGTAGGAGAATTAGGGGCTCATGAAAAATAAATATTAGTTTTTATATCACTCAAACTAATTGATGCAGGCTGAAGCCTCTTAAGCACAAATGTTGACGTTGAATGTTGATCTTCGAATTTTGGCGGTAAGCGTAACAATCAGGAAAATGCAGAATGCCGCAAATATATTTACACATTTCAAATAAATAGTGCTTCGTTACCAGAACTATGTCGCATCAAGACTATTTTTTATGTTAATAATGTTTCATTTAAGAAATAAAGACCATATGACGATTATGACTGCAAATCATGAATAGTCTCATATTAGAGGAATTAAACACAACTCTTTTGTGCTTGTCTATGGTAGACTGTTAAGAAAAAAACTGTCTCATAAAAAATGAATTTTTCTAAATTGTATTTTTTCAGAAAAAAATGTACGTTAAAATTTTATGATATTTTGATTAAGGTACAAATTGCCAGATTTCAAGTTACTTTGAAATATACATGTCTGAAAATCCTTTCTGCTTAACCTAAAAAAAGTTCAAAGCAAACATTTAGAAAGCTCAATATTCAGCTGATGAACTTAAATCGGCCAATTTCGACAAATCATTTTGGAAAAAATACTGTAGTAAGGATAATCCTTAGTCCTGATGATGTAGCATAAAATTAAAAATTTATTTTTACGCGGCATTTGTTGACGCGCAGCCCACCAGTCCAAAACACTGCGGTCAGGCCAGTCAGGCAAATGCGTAATTTTTTGTGAATTGTTATAATTTTAGCGGTATTAATTATCGTTCAAATGTCTTAAAGGTTCGTTCCTAGAACTTTCAGTGTCAGATTAAAAGCTAGTTTTTATAAGTATTCCTTAAAAAAGGTGGGTCTGTCCTAGTATACGATTTTTGGAGATCTCATATACATCACATGGATATAATTGGTCATTTGCCTGTCCTAGCCGCAGCGCTCGGCTTAGAAATTGTCCAAACTAAAATAATAAAACTTCGATAATAATAATTTTGCTGAAAATTACAGTGATGATGTACAAAATTGATAGGAGGGGGGCGGGTGTGGTCCAAAAATTGCTCACTACGACAGACCCAGTTAATATTTATTAGTGCACATTTGGTTTGAGATGACCACTTATTTCATTCGATAATAAAGCTTATTTAAAATTATTTGAAAAATATTTTAGTTTTACAGTTTTTATATAATCTGAAGCCAGGACGTTTTTCTCTTTCTTCATCGATTCTTAAATGACTTTTCAAAGCTAATTTCTTGAAATAATTTTCAGACAAGTTTCGTTTACGACACAGTATTGAGAATGTAGCTTGTTGGTAGGGTAATGAAGAGTACTGGTGGGAAGGATATGAAAGAACAAGCTGGAGAGGATAAGAAGGTTCTCCTGGATCCAGTTCCAGTTCTAGATCTAGGAGATCTCAGCCAGGATGAAGGATACAAGGACGGAGTTAAGAAAACAAAGAGAGCTCGGGTGAAGGGGGAGGATGACGTGGCAGATGTAACTAAGCGGAGACGAACCTGGGAGCTTTGGTCAGTCGGAGATAAACATATTTTCTTCGAAGCTCTCAATGAGTTCGGAAAAGATTTTGATAAGATTCAAGCTCATTTTCAGAGCAAACTGAAGAATAAAAAGAATATACCTGCAGATTATATTAAGAATAAAAATCAAATCCGACATTTCTATTATAGGAGCTGGCACAAGATCTCGTCGTACATCAGCTTCGACGTAGATCTAAAGAAAAGTACAAAGGAATTGTTTGGATTGATCAACTATGGAGAACTATGGAAGAAAGTTGGCGGAACTATTGATGATAAATTAGGCGCCAAGCTTGAAGAATTGGTTCAAAAAGGGTTTGCAACTCTCAAGCACAAAGGAAAGACTTTTCGAGTGAAAACTCCTGTTTGTCGAGCTCTGAAAAGGATTCACAATAAAGGAGATATATCTGGTAAACAGAAAGGGACTAAGGTTCTCCCCTCCAGGGTTGCAATAGACCTGAAACCCAGGGAAACCAAGGACTGGTATAAGGTTCAGAAACTTGCTCAAAATCCACATATCAAGGTTTCACTCCTTCTCCAGAGAAAGGTTTCATCCCTGATCAACTGTCTGATGAAGAAATGGCGATCTCGAGATGAAAAACTCCTGGAATCTCTGCAAGGGGTCTCCAGTCCTGTTAAAAATATGACTGAATTAATATTGTTCCCAGTCAAGGATGTTAAGATGAAGATCCCTGTGATCACAGCAGCTCCGATCATCACCAGCTCTCAGATCAGTTTACAAAGCATGAAACCAAACAGTTTTAATTCAAATTTCAAACCTAAGATAAAATTGAAGTTTTCCGAGGAAGAAACCCTTGTGACGGAAACCAACGGAAACGGCGGGGAAGGAGGAAGCGAAGACGGTTTTACTCAAACTCAAGATTGTGATAGAATATTTAACCAGTCAGATAACGGATCTCAGGTATACATAACGTTTCAAATCCGATATTATGTTAGTTTTGATGATGGGGATTTAAAGGTCTAGTTAGAACAGGGGTGGGGCAGTGCACCCTGCTTTCTGGGCGGTCTGGGGGGCCCACAATGGGGTCTCTTGCAGATTCCAATTCCTTATGATTCCTTAAGTAGGCTATTCAAAAATTTTGTTAAACCATTTTTTAAGATGGGATGCCCTAGAAGTTTACTTTTACTACAATTTGAAAACTTATGACTAATGATGAATGTTTTTGCTTTGTTCAGGTTTTTTTCTGATTTTGTCTGATTCAAAAAGATGCATTATTAATTCAAAGCAACCTTGTTGAGAAAAAACTTTTAATTATGTTAGATTCCATAGATTTTAGTGAAGCTACAGGGTTACCAAGAAATGATAAGATTTTAATGAAGACCTATATCTTATAAAATTTAACGATCTAAATTCTGAATTAGTTTTTTGCCATAATTAAGTTTGATGGCCTACTGAAGGATTTGCAAAAGAAAAGAGTAAGTTTACAGCTGAAGGGAAGCTGGAATGTAAGATCAAAGATAAAATGATTTCCGTACAATCGTCTCAGAAATCCTTTTTGGGTAACGTTGTACCTAAAGGCCAAATAGGATGCCCATCATTATTTATATTTATGACGTTTGCACATTATGAAATTAGGGTTTTACATTTTCATGTGAAAGTTCGTTTTTAAAATATTTAAATTTTTAATAATTTTTTTTTAAGGGGGGCTTGATACCGTATTATGGAATCCACTTATTCAATAAGGACGTTTGATGAATTTTTTTAATAAATAATAAACTTTCTTCAGAAGTTTGTGATACAGGAAGAGACTGATGTTGCGGAGGATTTTTTATCCCACGACGATCTACTGGATTTGTGGGAAGCAGACGGCAGTAGATCTCCGGGTCCTAACCCAGATAAAGAGTCCGACGTGGAGATGGACAACGACAAGGATGAGGACAGAGACGAGGACAAGGAGTTGGAGGACGAGGATAAAGACGAACAGGACGAGGAGAAACACCAGACAGTGGATTCCAAAGATGACGAAACCAAAATTTTAAAAACAAACTTTTCCAACCTGAAATCCTTTGATCCTTCTCAAGGCTGGAGTTTAAACAATGTGGAAGACTTGACTGTCGGAGAACTATATTTGATGCTGGGGGACGAGGGAGGGAATACTTTTCAATTAGAATATCACTGGAGGGAGGTGAAGAATGAGTCCCTAGATCCTTGTATTAATCAAAATCTTGGAGCAGAGTGCCAGACCTTGTTGAGCAGGCTGATCAAGCTATCTAGCTCCCAACCAAATAAACCAGGACGGGGGAGACAAAACAGTTTATCATCAACAAGTCCAACTGTCAGAAATATCTTGTCTCCTGTGTCGTCTCCGATTACCTCCCGTCAGAGTCCTGGGACTAGGGTGCTCGGGGTGGGAAGGGGTGTGGCTAAACAGTTGCCGCTTATATCTGAGCTACCGGAGAAACCTGGTAGTCCTCTGGCAGTTCCTCTGGAACCGGAAATAGAGTTTAGGAAACCTTTGGCTCCGGCAGTAAAACCTCCCGCCCTATCCTCAACCTTTCAGAAACAAATTGGACAATATTTCCCCAAGTTTTCAAACCGTCGAGGTCGTCAGAATCGAAACCGTGCCAAAAACCAGCTCGTAGGTCGTCAAATCCTTCAACCCGTTCAACCCAAGCAGACACATCAGATAGTTCAGCACCTACTCCTTCCCCTCGCCACCAATACTCTACCTGGAAACATAAACCCATTCATTATAGAGTCTCCTCTCACCATTCTTCAGACAACTAACATGCCCTCCTCCACCCTCATTAGTGATCCTGTATCTCCTGTTCCTCCTTCCTCTCCTCCACAGATATGTATCCCGTCCCCTGCTCTTTCTCCAGCCCGGAGAACTCCGTCCCCAACCCCGTCCTTTTCCTCTCTCATGGACATATCTTTCCCGGAGTCTACTCCGGTTACTCCGTCCAAAGATCAGTTTATGTCTCTGATTGATGAAGGTTCCTTGTTGCATACTCCTCCCCGTCCTAGTACTCCGAACCCTAGCTCCCCCTCCAGGTGCCTCACGGACAGTGCCGACCTATCCCTCACCTCCTGGGCACTCAACTTCGAGTCTCCAGTTAAACTTAGTTCTGGACCTCCTAATTTACATAATGATGATTCTCAAGCATCCACAATATCTACCAATAGCGAGGTAAGTTCACGACCCCCCCCCCCTGCAGTTATTTGTTGACTTCATTATTTTTAGAAAACATTTTTATGATATTAGTTTACCTAGTTTGTTAATAAAAGTTGCACCATGTCTTTCACAAATTTCCTTAAATGCCCTTTTTTCATTATTTTATATATTTTATGTCTATTTTTCATTTTATCTGTTTCATTTTTTATCCTATTCATTGTTTATATTCTTTCTTTCTTGAAAAGAAGTTTTAAGCAAACATGAAGATTTTAAATTAATAAGTTATTTGTATTTTGATCCAGATTTTTACTTTTTAAAAATCTCTAAAATATACATTTTTTTGTCTGAAACTTATAAAAAACATTTAAAGTTCAGTCCCACACTTCTGTCAGTTCTTTCAAGGAGAGAAACTCAAGTATGTGACGCAACCTAGGACTTACGCCAGAATAGGCTTACTCTCACATTCTTAGATCCGTTGCTGATATCTTTCTTAAAATTTTTCTTTAAAGAAACATAAGAAGCAAATAAGAAGATTACCTTTAAATCTTTTTTTTTTTAAAGTTAATCCTAATTTTAAATTCCAGAACATTCCCTTTATTTTATATTTTAGGTTGACCGACAGCTGACAGCAATGATGAACGAGAATTCCCTGGACTTCACTTCGAAGTTTAGGCAGCTCGCTAAACACGTGACCAGCTTCGACTGTAACTAAATACTTAACCATCTTCGAAATTGATAACGTGACTACTGACCAGCTTTGGCTCCAACTATACATGTGACCAGCTTCAATTGCAACTAAACACGTGACCAGCTTCAGCTGAAACAAGTGATAAATTTCGACTTCAGCTAATTACGTGACCAGCTTCGATTGTAAATTAACACGTGACCACCTTCGCCTTCAACTGAACTAAAAATATGGACACAGTTAATACTTCTGGGGGTCTTAAATTATGGAAATCAAATGACGACATAAAATCGTTCTCTGACTTAAACTGTAAATTAAGAATAAGTAAGTTCACATTAAAAGAAAACAAGTTGTAAACAATTGCTTTTTTATCTTTAAAAACGACGCCAGTATTGGAAAATTAGACAATTTCATATTAAATAGTTTAAAACTGAAACAAATATTCTTCTTATTTTCATCAGTTTTAAAGGCCGGTACAACTCGTATAACAAAGGTATGTAAATTTTAAAGAAGGGCATGCCCGATACACTTAAACCTTTATCTGATCAATAATGTGGAAGTTATTTGTCGTTTTTTTAACATAAAATTGCTTAGTTTCATATGTTAAATAGCGAAAATCTGTCTAGTCACAATTAACAGTGAACCTAAAGTTGAAAATAATCGATTTTTAAAGTCAAAAACATGGATATCTCATTCATTCTTTATCATTTCTACAGCCCCTTTAAACGGTTGAAACTCGTTATTTGATTTCCGTGATTATCAAAACAACTTCCAGATAACTAATGAGAATACAAGTAAGGAGAGAGGTTTAGGGGGCGTTTAAATTTTACGGTAACGTTTTATAACAGCTCTAGCTCAGCCCCCCCCCCCCCATCCATCTGATCCAGAATACGGATCTTTGTTTTCGATTCTTGAATAGAACTTGTTCCTGAGATGTCCGAACACTTCACAATATAATGAAAACAAACCCTATCCCTCCCCTTAATTATATATCAATTTGCAGAAACTACATAACAAAACCTAAATCTTTGTTAGAAATTTAAACCAACCGTGGGATCAAATACTTGTTTTGTTAGCATAGTGCCTTTGACAAATTTTGCTTGTGTTCCTTTGCTGAAGTGTGTTAATCTCATTTTCATTATATTATGAACCCAGACTATAAAGTTTTTTCCAGTTAAAATAGATATGAGCTCATTCAATAAAAAAAAATTCAATTGGTTCGTATTAAACACAAATGTGCTTTTTGAACAATCCTTTTTTTCTTGGAGAATTTATAATCACCAACTTTTTTCTCAAAAATAAATGTAAAAGTTTCAGTGAAGAACTTGATTTTAATTTATTTTCAATCTCTTGAGGCACATTAATTTTATGCAGGCGCTTAGTGGAGGAGGGGGCCGGTACCCCTGTGTCCCCCTAGACATGCACCCCCTAGAGCCAGAGGCAGGCTCTAATTTATTCAACAGTAAACTTGCATATATATTCAGATTTTTTACTTTTCTTATCAATCGAAAATGTCACAATTTGTCCATTTTATGATTATTTCTCAAATTCTTTCTTGTACCTTAATCTTAAAACAATATTTTTTTTCGAGAGGTTTGATTTAAAATGATTGGTAATTATGGTCAGATGACTAATAGGCAGCCTTCAGGTAGATTAATATAGATTTTAAACTTTATTTTTTCTTAATACCGGTTTTTTAGGGGGGGTGCACATCAACCGTTAGGGGGGTGCACAAAAAAAATTCTGTGCGCAAAAAGTGCACCCACCCCCTAGGCTAAACCTCCACTACGCGCCTGAATTTGTATGCAATATTTTTTAGATTCTTCACCGTCAGTGTTTTAAAGTATTTCTGACAAAATAATATTTGCTAAACCTGAAAAATTTACCAGTATTTTGTTCCCTAGTAGTCCTTAAACCTTAGTCTTGAAAATAACATGATCCTAGAACGGAAAAACAAATAAATTATTTCACTCAATTGTTCTATTTTTATTTTCATACTATTGCTTGTATTGTGTTTTGTATGTAATCGATATTGTTTTCTACCAAATTTATTTGTCGAAAGTGTATATCTATATATAGAAAGTAGAAATCTGTGTTTGCATGTCAGATCATGGACCCCTTGACCGATTTGTTTCAAAAAGTTGATTGGGAACCTGTAGAATTTAAGAAATGATTTTGCTTAGCTTAGTTTTAGTGGGGTGGGTTTGGGAGTGCGTGACACCCGTTCTCGTTAGCTCACTGCTCACTGAAGTTAAGCATACTTGTATCCTGAGTGACTGGTGTTCACGGGTTCGATTCCCATACTCTTCACAAACCTGTGGTTTCAAAAACATCTGAATCCGGCATCTGGTTAAGCAGTTATGACAGCCAGCCAGATGTTGGAGGAAAGAGGGGCGTCTGTTAATGACACATTGAAAGGGTGCGTGCTTTCTACTCAACAAAAAAGAAGCTTTAAATGGACCCGTAAGTGAATGATGATGAAGATGGTAAAGGTGGTCAAGCAGGGAGAGTATGGTTGCCAGCTTAAGGTACCTGGAGATATCCAATCCAGACTTACAAATGATTGGGAGCAGTAATTGTGATGTTTTCTGTCTGTATTCCAGTATATCAGAAGAATTCCTGCACTCTATTATTCTCAGGCCTAAGAACCAGCTGGAATCTTGTCAACCCTCTTCTCAGTATGTATGAAGCGTGGATGGATGGCTGTACTGCCAGTGACAGATTACAACCCCTGGTAAATGAATATAACCCAAAACAACACCAAGCTTTCGCCATAGTAAAATTCCGAGATTTATTCGTAACAACCCGATCATGCCCTGGGGTAAAGTCTTTTTAAAAATTTGAGGTTAAAAATAGAGAAATTTTTGGCTACAGCCAAAGCTGGGTTTCCAAATTAGTAGAAGTAAAATTTGGGCTAAATGCATGACAAATAATAACACTCGAGAGGTTACGTTTCAGTTCGTATTTTCAAATAAAAAATATTTGAAAATTTAAAAAAAAAATAAACTTCCATACGATTTCAGATTTCTCATTACGGTTCTGACCAGACCCACGGTTAGGAATTCTGAGCATAGGCGTATACAGGAATTTTTACGGGAAGGGATTTCCTCTTTTCTTTTCCAGCACCCGTTGGGGCCCAAAACCCCTAGATTTCGCTGAACCCATAGCTTCCGCATCTTAGCTCTCGAACGCAAATATTCAGCTGTTTTTAACTAAAAGCTACCCAGAGATTATCATATTTGTTTAGTAAAAGAAAACAAGCTACAAGAACTTTTCAATGCCTGACTGAATCTCCTGAATCCGGGTCTTTTTTTACAGGGCAAATCCAGAATCCGCACCAGAATTAAAGTGTCCCTGATCACTGGATTTTAAGAGTAGGCAATATATATATTATATATAAAGTTAAGACTACGGACACACTGCAGAAAATGGACCATCAGGTTTTAAGTCAAAGCACCTCAACTTTTTCTTTAGATTATGTTTATATGCAGTCTACTGAGTTATATTCTTAATTTCCAAAAAATGCCACATACGGAATTTTGAGCAAATCAATTTTTAAGAAATTGTAGAATTTAAGTGCATTCACAGGTCTTAAATTAAACAAAAATTTCATTTCAAGACTTTATTCTGCTTCTTCTGGGTTTATTTACGATATTTTTTCAACAGTATATTTTAATATTTTTTTTAACAATCGTGAAACTTTTTGTAGCAAAAAATCAAATCCCTAAGTCAACTGCCTGACTGTCAAAATGCGGCCCGAAAAAGTTTTTTGGATGTAATTTTTACTGATTTTACTTCAAAAAGTCTTTTTAGGCAGTAATTGGGCAATTAACAGTTCACTTAAGGCTTTGATTTTTTTTTGCTAAAACATGTCTTATGACTGTTGAGAAAATTTCACAAAATTTGGGGACCCTGCCATCAACAGTTATAAAAATATCGCAAAAAAAACACAGAATAATCTTTGAACCTACAGTTATATGTATATAAAATTAGATTAATACTCGGAAGCCTGCATATTAATATATTTCCGAAACAAAAATTAGGTGTTCTGACTTGAATCCTGATGGTTCATTTTCAGTAATGTGCGGAACTATGTGTTTTTCAAAACCTCCTAAAAACATTTTCCTTAAAAACAACTGCATGATAAGAATAAAGCCTAACGAAGGCACTGTTATTTTCAAGGAAACAACAAAAGACAATTGATCATGCTAACAGAATTTCCATCCCGTACGTTTTATTAAATCAATAAAAACGAAATATATTCAAGCATAGTATATTTAATAATCGGTTCTTACATTTATTAAATACATTTCTCAACCCTCACTCCACCATCTTTTCTCATTAGTATCACGGAAAGTGTCCAAATTCCAAGTAACGTTGTTAGGATTGTTTGTTTAGGTTCTTTCCGTTGGTTTAACGGTGATTCCCCGTCTAATTTGTCCCCAGCCAATCAATCTCCAATGCTTGTCAATCCTGAAATAAATAAGTTTGACAAAATATTACTTATTTGCTCCTCCATGTCGTCTGTAAATTCTCTTAACAGATGTTCATATACATCTTAAAGGTACTGTCATCATAATTTCAAGAGATCCTCCATTGTAAAAAAAAGGAAGAGTGGCATGTCCGATTAACAACGGTACCCTTGAGAGCTTTATGTGATAAATAAAAGTATGAAGATAATTTCGTATTTGTAGCAGGAAAAGTGTTGCATTCTTATCATTCCTATATTGTTTTCACGTAGTAAAATAATGCGCACTTATCTAGAAACCACAATTTAAGATAATTAGGTTCATAATCGGAAAAACTATTCTGATTCGGACATGCCACTCTATGATTGAAAGGTCACTTGAAAGGACGTCTACACTCCTTTAAGAATTGACAAACGTAAAAACTAATTTATAATACAACTGTGAACATAAGTAATTTCTCAAATTAAAATGACTTTTTACTTATTTCCCGAGACCCCTCATTAACAGTTACAAACCCCATCAAATGAAATCCACTATACCGCCTTGTCAACTTTTATCTACTGCATAAATCAGCAAGTCACGTTATACACAGAAAAAAACGAGGATATCTCAACCAGTTTTGATCGGACACTGGTGGTGGGTAAAGTGTAAAGATTTGAAACCCTCTGGTCTTGTTGTAAATCGGCGGGTCATGACAGATAACGTCGACACTCCTTTATCAAATTTCATGCAACAGTTAAAGAGAAGCTCCAAACTTGAATACTGGGAGAAAAGATAATTTGAAAAATCCTGATTTGTACCTTCTAGAAAGTGCGATCTTCTCTCCTACTTCTGTGCATACTGGGGTGGTAAGCCCAATCTTTGCCAGATCAGCCTTGACGGCGATAACCCGGCCGCCGGTGGACAGGGAACCGATGTTGACCATGAGAACCTCGTTCTTGGTCAGCTTTGCCACCTTAGCTCCCTTCTTATCTCCTAAATGTTAAGGTTTGTTAGGACTTTCAATATTTATTTTATCGTTGTCTTTCATGTAAAAGAAAAGAAAAATTAACTTAAAATAAGTAAAGGTTCTTTGAACGTCCAATAAAACCATCCTTTTAATTTATAAAATAAACCCACTTCCATTAGTTCAAACATCTAGCTACTAAACAAATGTTTTTATATGTATTTTTTAAACGGGTTTATGAGGGAATAAGACTATTAATTTGAAAACATTTCTCACCTTCCGTTCTGACTCCGAGTAGTCTTCTGAGTAGGTAATAGGAAACCTCTAGCTCCGTGTATATACTGGGCAGGTGTTTAACAGCTCCTAGCACCTGACCTACCATCCTACAAAATTACAGATTTAGCCACGTGTGGTATTTGATAGATATGTATAAACGTGAGACAATATTTATAAACATGAGCCAATATTTATAAACGTGAGACAATATTTAAAACTGATAATGGAAAGATATCACCAGGAGGCGTGTCAGGATCTGGTTTTGTATTACGCTTATTTAACAGGAAGTAACCAGTATCAAAATGACTAAGTAAACGGATCTTATTCAACCAACCTATCAGCTCTGCAGAGGGTTGGATCAACCTTAGTTCCAACTCCGATAAGTCCTCCAGGAACAGCAAACATGAGATCGTTCTGCTCCGCGAACAATGAAACAATCCTTGAGAAGATTGGTTGGCAGGTCAGCTTACCCTCGCTATCCTTGCTCACCAAACCTAGTCATTGGTTAAGATAATAAGATAATAAAGTAAAGGGACAGTAAACTTAATTGCATGTGACCCTGTCATATGTCCCGATTTATGGCGGTACCCTGAGAGGCGCCTTTTCTGGAGAAGAGAGGGGAGTAATTTTTTAAACTAAGCAGCTTCTTCAACAAATTAAAAAAAATTTAGAAGAAAAAAATGTAGTTTTTTGAAAATGCGTTTCCAATTAGAAAAATTCCAAATTACCTGGTCTAATCTCTATCTCCTGTCCCACCTTGAGAACTCCCCGGAGAATAGAACCTCCGGCCACTCCTCCTCTCAGCTCCTCCACCTCACTACCAGGCTTGTTCACGTCGAAGCTCCTGATAATGATGAGCCTCGGCTCGCTGGTAAAATCTCTAATGGGTACAGGGATATTCTTGGTGATGTATTCACACACCACCTCGATGTTGTACTTGAGCTGGGCGGAGATGGGGATGATGGGTGCTCCCTCAGCTACAGTACCTTCGATAAACTTCAGGATTTGATCATGTTGCTCCAAAGCCTAAAATAATTTTCTTACATTATTACTATCATCTCTCTGAAGTAAATCTAATGTCTGATTTGAAAAACAAATTTAGTTGGTAGGCTTAAGAGATTATATTAATTGAATGATTAAAGAAATTAGTTTTCTATCTGGTAATCTGTGAAACCGAGAGATATATCAATGATATTATCCCGATTTTAAATATCAATATTATTCATTTGGAATGCCGCACAGATTGTGATAAGCAAAGCAAGACAATTTATGTAGGCAATAAACGTTTTTTAAGGTAAAAGCTGTTTGATCAAGGTATATATAGTTCGAATACTTTCAAACAAATAATTTTCATTTAAATGTGTTTACCTGAGCTTCTTTTATCAAATCTATTTTGTTCTGAAGAATGAGAATATGTTTTAGTTTCATAATTTCAATGGCCGCCAGATGCTCCGAAGTTTGTGGTTGGGGACAGCTTTCGTTCCCTGCAATCAGCAGCAGAGCAGCGTCCATGACAGCTGCTCCGTTCAACATGGTGGCCATGAGAATGTCGTGACCGGGACAATCGACGAAGCTGACGTGTCGGACAAGGCTGTATTTGTGTCCGTTCATCAGGAAGTTGTCCTCCTAGAATAAATAAGTATGTTAGATCCGGGAATGTAAAAAGAATACAAGATGAGATCTGCAACAAGGAGCCTAGCGCCCATAGTCGCCCCACCCAGAACCTAAGCCTAATATATTAATCTTCTATATATATATATATATATATATATATATATATATTCGTTTTCCTAAAAATTGGCAATTTGTCCATTTTCAATTATTTGTCATTTGTAATGAATTTAAAACCCTATTTTCTTCTAATACCAGTTTTGAGTGGGTAAACAACGACCGCTAGGGGGTGAACTAAAAAAAGTTCAAACCCTAGACTAAACCTCCAATACGCTCCGGTTCCAGACCTTGACAATAATGTTTGTTCATCTCTTTCTCAAAAGTCTTCATGTTTTCATGTCATGAGAGATAAATATTTTTTTATCGCCAGATTTTAAGGGAAAATGTGTTACAAAAGCGTGTTAGTCCAAAATTTCATTGTTTTAGTGTCGTACGTTGTTTTCAGAAATATTTAGGGCGTACCAGTGCTTAGGATCCATTTAATTTTGATGCGGATCCGGATCCGGATCCGGATCCGGATCCGGATCCAAAGAGCCAAAATAAAATAATGCGGATCCAGCGGATCCGGATCCGGATCCTAAGCACTGGGGCGTACTAAACAAATTAACCAACGACTCTTTTTTAATAGTTTGTCCCAGACTGATTTCAAAATTTTCAAGAGAAAATTTTTACATATAACCATAAGGAAACTTTATCATGATGTAAATAATGAATTATAATTGATTTTTGTCGCCGAACTAACTATGTTTGCAAAAGTAACACTAGGACCAGCGCGGCGTAGTACTGTCAAATGTGATAAAGAGTTGGACATTTAAAAATGCGGTTTGGACAAGTTTTATTGTACACTGTTTATAAGACGGTGTTACCTTTGTACTTGATGCTGAGGTGAAACATACAGGTCTCTGACACTTAGGGTCATCAGACTTGTAGATCTTAGCGTTAGCATATCCAAGCTTTATAGTAATATTACGCTCCAATTCATTCTTTAACTTAACATTTTAAAATTAAATTAAAGTCATATATTAAAATAAAGCCCAACATTAACAATTAGTGAAATAAGGCAAAATCTACCTGACTGTGTGAACTCCTGATAAAGCTTTAACGACCGTACTCTTCCCGTGAGCCACATGACCGATAGTTCCAATGTTTATGGTCGCCTGACGACTGATAACCTCAGGGGAGAGAGGGGTCAGCTTGCCAATATCTAATGTTGCCAAATCCTTAACATATATTCCAAGTCAATTCAACAAAATCTTTATCTATCATCATAGACATATAAATAAATATAAATATACGAGCATAAGAATAGGGTAAAGGGTTTGTTAACATTTTACTGTGACGAATTAGGACTGACCAGAAACGGGTTTTATTGACAACAAAATCTGTAAACACGGTATTCCTAAGCAGGACAGGAAAGGCAGGCCTGAAAGCTCAATTTTACTAAATCTCTTATTTAATAATCCACGTCTCTATATTTTGGTAAAAAACTGCCACAAGTAAAAAAAAAGGTTTTTTTTGTAGAACTGGTTCTAGAGCTGTTCTAATACGTCACAGTAGAATGTAAACTCTGTCCCCTCTCCATAGTTCTAAACATCCTTTCCTACGACATTAGGGAGGGGGGGAATATTTTTCAAGAGGGGGATATATTTTTTTTAAGGTAAAAATCTTAAACTTTATCCTCACCTGTTTAGCGAGATGAGGCTGTCCCACAGTGATACCATCAGATTTATCCTTCTCTACCGTCATCTTCTCTGTAATATATTCATTAATCATCCGACTCCGACATTTTTTCTATCTTTCATCTTTACACATTACAATCATACAATCTACATGATTAAGAATATACTGTTTACATAACATAATAGAATTGATTCCGTGCTATCAACAAGAAATGTGACTAAAATAACCAAAAGTAAAAAAAAAGTTTTGTAAGATTTGGTAAAAGTATTAAATGGCGATGAGTCCATTTGTTAAAGTAAGTTCAGTAGATCTCAAAGGAGTTCTCTTAGTTGATCTGAACTGATCAAGGTAGTTCCAAGGAGTGTAGGAGAGTTCCATGGAGTTCAGGAATCAAGGGAGTTCTATAGAATTTCATGGAGATCAAGGGGTTCATTGTAGCTCTAAAAAGTTCAAGGAATTCTAAATGAAGGATCACAGGATAAAATCAAAGGAGGGATTTTTGAAATTTCATTTGTGCCATGAAATTTAAAGTGTTCCCGGGATCTTTGTATGGTTCCTTAGATCGTTAAGTGATCCAGGAACGTCAGGATTACCGGGAACGTTAAGGGTTCCTGAGAACTATTCTGATTCTGGGGTTCCGCTCTTTGATTTTTCTTCAGCCTGCAACAGTAACAAAGTAAAAAAAAAATTAAATACCCAAATACGAAAAGAAAAGTTTGATAAATAAGTGCTCAAAACTTTAGAATTGGATACCCTTGATCCCGAATGCTTTTAATTTTCTTTTTAATTTGCTTTTTTCTATCTTTTTGGATATTCCTCTCAGATTCCGACAAATAAGTTTTCTCATTAAATGGCGCGGAAAATTACAAATTTCTCGCCTTCTGATTTGTTGTTCGGGATTCTGCAATCTGCATACACCACTAATGGTTAAATTTTAAACACTTTTAAGGATACAAACTAAAGCAAGCATTAATCTAAATATCCGCAATTCTGAAGTTTTCAGCTTTGTTTCATTTTTATCTTAAATTTTTTGTTCTTTTTTTGTATGAAGTTGTCTATGATACCCAACTGACCTGGTCTCCAGTAGGTCCCCAACCATGTTCCTCCGACTTAAGTATCCGCTGCTCCCGCAGAACGTTGAACTTGTCAACCACCTCCTGGATGGAGAACTCTCCGTGCTGCTTGTTGTCCCTGGTCCTCACGTTCACAGTGCTATTCGTCATCTCCTTCTCACCAACCACTGTAATAAGTACAGAGATGCTTCTTGACGCTTTTTACAATTCATTGATCAGTGTGTTGAGTGCTTTTGATTGTCTGTTTGTATCCATGAGATGACAGATTTTCCAACATTTTGGGAATCTACCAATTTAAACAGAAAATCTGCGAAATCAAATTTGTTTGTTACGTAAGAAGACTGGCTGCAAATGCAAAGAGATTTCATTTATAATCTATTGTTTTATTTATGCTTAAAGAAAATGGCGCCTGGTTTCCCAAAATAAAAGATCTTACCAAAGATGAAATTGAATTGAGCAATCTGTGCGTTTCTGACTTTTTTATTCATAGTGTTTCCATCGTCTGTATCTGCCTCTGCGCAAAACCCTAGAGCGCGCAGACGGTCAGCTACCTCACGCGCGTAGTTGTTAAAGGGGATTCCTACAGGTACAACCATGACCTAAAGTAAATACAAATTAAGGTTAAAATCCTTTTCATTAAAACAGTCAGTTCGTAAATGTGACAGTGATATTTGAAGGACCAATACACAGAAATGAATTGAATAATCCCTTAGGATTTGAAAGTAACAATGTTTCCAATTATTGTTAAGAGAAAAATGCATTAAGTTTCTCTTAACAGAAACCTTTTGTTCACAATTATTTCTGATTTCCTCCGATTCTGTGATCATTTAAAAGATATTAGTTAGGGGGAAACTAAATTAAGAATAGGGGAGAAAACGAATTTTTCAACAAAATATAAATCCCTGGTTAGAAGATTGAGAGGATTGAACAAATTCCATCTACATTTAACATTTAGCCGTTTTACTCTTATTTTACCTCTTATTTTACACCATTTAAGTCTTCAACCAGAGAATTAACGGTTGAGAGTCAAAGGCGTACACCGGGCTAGCCCCGTTCCCCCGGATCAGTCAAATCTATGGTCCCAACAAGTGTTGAGCCCCCTCCCCCCCCCCCCCCCCCCCCTCAGACAAATTCCCGTGTTCGCCGCCCCTGGAGATAGTAAGCTAAGTATCCCACCTGTCTAGGGGAAATCCAGAAAGGCCATTTCCCGCCATAGTTCTCAGTCAGCACTGCCACCATTCTCTCTACACTACCCAGAATAGCTCTGTGGATCATCACAGGATGCTGCTTCTCTCCCTTCTCATCGATAAAGCTCAAGTTGAACCTCTTCGGCAGCTGGAAGTCCAGCTGTATGGTCGCGCACTGATGCTGACGTTTGAGCGCGTCCTGCAGCGTAATATCAATCTTAGGACCGTAGAACGCACCATCTCCGGGGTTCTTTTTCCAGGGTAGGTTTATAGAATCCAGGGAGTCAGCTAGATCTTTCTCCGCTCCGTCCCAGATCTCAATATCACCCATAAACTTCTCCGGTCTGGTGGAGAGTCGTAGCTGGTAAGTGAACCCGAATATAGAATACACATGCTTCAAGAAGTCAAGACACCCCGCCATCTCCTCTTTTATCTGATCAGGCCGACAGAATATATGCGCGTCATCCTGCTGAAATCTGCGTACGCGCGTAAGACCTGTAAGCGCACCGGAAAGTTCATTTCTATGCAACACCCCGAAGTCTGCCATTCTGAGGGGTAACTCTTTATAAGGCCGAGGACGGTGATCAAATATCAAACAATGTCCGGGGCAGTTCATAGGCTTCAGACCAAATGCTTCCTTCTCTACGTCAAACCTGAACATATTCTCCGCATAGTGGTCCCAGTGCCCAGAGGTTTTCCACAGCTTTGAGTTGTACATGTTGGGGGAGATGACCTCCTGGAACCCTCGCTTCCAATACTCCTCCTTGATGAACTCCAGTAGCTTGTTGTAGATGTGAGCTCCCTTCGGCTGGAAGAAACATGAGCCGGGGGAGAGCTCGTGGAAGAAGAACAAATCTTGTTGAATTCCAAGCTTTCTGTGATCACGCTTCGCTGCTTCCTCCTGGTAACATTCAGATAATTAAAAAATTAATCATTAAAAATTGTATTTAAGTTAAAATGTAGATGGCATGAAGTCTATTTATAGATGAATGGAAAAAAATCCCGTCTTTACAAGTGTTTACGAGTCACGCAAAACAACTTTTGACACACATTTCCAACCCCCTTTTTTGAATTTACTAAAATGGCGGGATTTCAAATATCTCCAATGTCACTAGGGACCATTATAAACCCAGAGTGCGTACTGCGTAGTCGATAAATTGTAAAGTAAGAACCAGAAAATTCTGAAGTAGGAGGACGACTATTAAAATCAAGATATAACTTCAAAAATGAACATGATAATTCAGCAATTGTGTAGTGTAAACACACCCATTTCACTAAACTTGTCATTCAATAAGTGTCTAGTAAAACAATTTGCTTTTTAGCAATTCAAATTCACTTAAATACAAATAAAGCTAAAATGTCGTCCTACAATTCCGTTGCTTTCTAGTTATCAATGTAAGCTGCATTTAATTTATATTAAAATGAAGTACATTCTAGCAAGAACAATCCGACCAGGCGCTAAATCACAAAATTGAAATTTTAGGACAGAAATAAAAACCAAACCTGAAGAGTTTTCCACTCCTTGAGCTGTTTGTTTTCTGGGAAAGATATTCCGTAAATTCTTTGTAAACTCTCAGCTTCAGAGTTTCCCTCCCAGTATGTAGCAGAGTTCTAATAATTAGTTAATCAATCATCTTAAAGTCAATCTTTAGCAATCAATTGGTTAATAAAGATGATACAATACCATTAATTTCTGGATAATTAAGTTATTTAAATCAAATATTTCATCAACTTTGTTAATTTTTTATTTATTTCACTTTTTAAAAACAAACCTTGGGCATAGATCCTCAGGTCGTAATTTACAATCAATTTATTGATTATTTAATTGAGAAGTTTTTATATTTTTTATTTATGTGAACACACACCTTGGTGATTGCCATAGCCTTGATTTTCCCTGTGTTTCTAACATGAGGTCCTCGACACAAATCTATCAGAGGTCCACACCTACACAGAAGAGTAAACATGAGGTCGAATCAATTTCGCCAAATTAGAAATAAAATAATGGAACAGGGATGTATTTTTTAATTTAAAAAATGGGAAAACTTGCAAGTTGAAGTAATATTTTTTTCAGATTTTTCATATCTTAAAAAATCATTTCCCAGGTTAGACATTTGTTTTAAGTAGCCAGTAGAGAAAACCAGGATAAATTATATTTTATACAAAAAAAATAATCTTACTCGTCTATTAGGGAATTTTCAAGGGAACCAATGGTTTTGTAAGAGATAAGTAAAACAAGGGGGTCTAAATACTTGCAAGTTAGAGTCCAATTCCCCCCCCCCCCATTAAAAATGTGAACAGAAGCTAAACAATACCTGTAGACGGTGGTTGTATCAGTCTTAACTTTCTCGTTTAAAATTCGAACCTTAAAATTAAAAAATAAAGATTAAATAAAATCTTTGAGAAAATTGCGTACTACTGCTCACCTTAAACTCGTTGTATTTAAATCTAAAATTGCGTAATACTACTCACCTTAAACTCGTTGTATTTAAATCTAAAATTGCGTACTACTGCTCACCTTAAACTCGTTGTATTTAAATCTAAAATTGCGTACTACTGCTCACCTTAAACTCGTTGTATTTAAATCTAAAATTGCGTACTACTGCTCACCTTAAACTCGTTGTATTTAAATCTAAAATTGCGTACTACTGCTCACCTTAAACTCGTTGTATTTAAATCTAAAATTGCGTACTACTGCTCACCTTAAACTCGTTGTATTTAAATCTAAAATTGTGTACTACTACTCACCTTAAACTCGTTGTATTTAAATCTAAAATTGTGTACTACTGATCATCTTAAACTCGTTGTATTTAAATCTAAAATTGCGTACTGCTGCTCACCTTAAACTCGTTGTATTTAAACATCTCCAGAAGATCTGACTTCTTCATCTCCAACCTCTCAAAGGGTTGCTTCTCCTTCACGATTGTCTTCACCACGTCGTCCAGGACCTTGAAGTCGGTGTCGGATACTTTATGCTCCTCGCTCCACATGTCGTAGTAGAATCCTTGATCTATCGGAGGTCCGTAGCAGAGGTGTCCTCCGTAAACACGTTCCATTGCTTCTCCAAGGACATGAGCAGAACTGAAAATAGGTTTGATAAAAAATACATAAATATTTGCTCAGGTGGTTAAAAGGGGGAGGGTTCGATACAGGAAACAAAGAGTGATACATCCCCTTACCCCTGGAAAATTAGTGTATACGACTTAAAATAATAGAAGAACAATTTTGATTAAAATTTATATTAAGATTAAGATTACTTTTCCCACCAAAAGCCAATTAAATTCATGAAAAAATACCTGTGCCAGAAGACAGCTTGTCCCTCCTCATCGTCGAACTTGACCAACTCCAGCTTCACATCCTTCTCCAGGGGCCTGTCCAGGTCCCAGAGCTCTCCGTCAACCCTGGCCACCACGGTGTTGTCTGCTAAACCTTTACTGATACCAAGAGCTACGTCGTAGGGAGTTGTACGCCAGGATTCACCAGCAACTTGTTTACCATCAGGCAGGGTCACACTAATCATTTAGAAAATGAAAACAAATTATCAAAAAAAAAGGATTTTGCAACAAACTCACGACAATATAATTGATTTTAAGTATTTGGGAAAATAAAGTCTATGAAAATTATCCCATAGCATTTCCAAGTTCTTTATTCAACTGGACAGCACTGAATTTCCTCAAAATCCTCCCATTTATTAAAAAAAAAATAACACCGATCTAGCCTTGAAGATTTAGACAAAAGACTTATCACTCCACCTGATAGGAGCCGGAGTTTGCTCCGCCAGCCAAACCTCTCTCTCCGCCTTCAACCTGTCCCACATCTTCTCTCTCTCAGCGATAAAGTCTGGCGGAGGGTTGAGCAGAGAAACCTTACCAGGTCCGGCGGCGGCCGCCTTCTCCTTCTTGACCTTCTCCTTCTTCATCGCTTTAAGCTAAATAAAAAATATAATTATGAATGAAACTAGAAAATTATTTCGTCTCACTTGTCAAGTTGACGAGATGTAAAAAAACTAAGCGACTTTGTACAGAGTACATGCTAGTAGCAAAAAAATTAATGAAATCAAAATATTAATTTTCAAAAAGATATTTAAGAAATGTAACAAAACTCTACAAAACTAAACAAGCTAAGCACTTGAAAATACGAAAATAATCTTTAAAAACGTGTATTAAAATCACTAAATATTTTTGAATTGATGTTTTAATCTATCATGTGCAATTAAGCTACATTTTAACACAAGGCCAAGAATTTTAAGATTTTAAATTCAATCAAAATGATATATTTAAAAAAACAGAATAACAATAATTTAAAGACGTAAAAATAGAAAATTAGGGCTTTATACAATGTATAATCAATAATCATCAAGATTATAACTGAAGTGTTTAAAATCCTTGAGGATGTTATTCTTGAAGAAAAAAATACACCCCGACACCCCCTCTCGTCCTGACAGGGGTTGGAACTAACAGACTAAGCTACAACACACAGGGCATGCAACTAGCAAACCAAACTATGCAATACTTAAATAATTTAATATAAATTTCGTTTCTTTGCTTGATATTTAAACATTGCATTTCTGTATGCAGGTCTGGGTTGATCTCTACCTCTTTCTTTTCGCTTTGATCTTCAACCTCAACCTCAACTATTATATCACTCGCAGGGAAATGTTTCACCGCGTCCGAGAAACTTGAGATATTATTGAACCAACGAGATATATTTGAGTAAGGACGGATAAGTCCAGGTTTCAGACTAGAGAAAACTTTTAAATCCGCTTGGGTTGGTTCAACCCCGCATATAAAACTGTTTAACAATAAATAATTGTCTAGATTCTCCAGACCTTCAGGTTTACTTAGGTTAGAAAACTTCATTGCTTAACCTGCGCTTATTTATAATGAATTATGATAAATCTGAAATATATTATATGAAAAAAATGAATTCATTTACAAACAAAATTACAGCCAAGATAGCAAGAATATTAATTCTTTGAAAAGTTTAAAAGAAAAACATTTTTGAAATGCGTATAAAACATCTTACAAAAAATTGTCTGCGAAAGTCTTTATAAATTTAAATTTCGATTAATACATTTATTATTGTTATTGATGTGAGACAATAAAGCCAAAGGGCCTATGGATATGACAGTATTTCAGGTATTGCATCAGAATTTTAAAACATGTATAAAATGACAACACCGAGTGCCTTCCAGCCGTAAGTCATTTTTCTGGTCGCTCAACGGCTTTAAGGCACAGAATAATAGTAATTTAAGTATTGCATAGTAGCATGGGGGGATGGGGGGGGTGTCACTAACAGTACGCACCGACTTGAATCTCGCCAAGGATACATTCACTGAAGAGATGGTTTTTAACTTGTTCATTTCCCGAGAATAAACACAAATCCTGGCGCTCAACATCCTCAAACTTTGGGAAACTTCTTCGATTTTAAATGAATGACAGAAAGTGAAAGTTCCAAAATTTTATTTTATCCTTATGCCCAGAAAAAAAAAATTTTAAGTTCAGGCAAAAATTAATTTTTCCGTCTCGATTTTAAATTTTGCTAAGCAATAAAAATGTCAATTTCTCACATTATCATCTATTTTTAAGTTGTTTAGTTCGTCCGCCACGTTGCCTGCCATCCTGGTACACTGACTGTGCGGAGCTCTGCGCAAACCCCGCAACAAATTCTTAACCCTGGCTTTATCTTTATGAGGTCTAGGCTTGGTATGGGATAAATAGGATAATCAGAATTAGGAGCTGCGCGGCGGATTCATCTTATTCATCTGGATTCTGGAATACTGATGGAGAATGAGGTAGGAAGGACCGATATAGAATAATAAAGAAGGATTTCAGAAGGATTGCTCTAAAATAATAAAGAGAGAAAGTGCTAGAACCCATTTATCAAGTAAAACTAATTAGAATGAGCTGGCACGGAATCTAGAGAAAATTAAATTAAGAATAAGCTTGGACACGGATTGATCATATGATCTAATTAGATTGAGGATGAGCTGGGACGGATTGATCTATGATCAAATAATATTAAGAATGAGCTGGGACGGATTGATCTTTGATCTAATAAGATTTAGAATGAGCTGGTGCATATTGATCTATGATCTAATAAGATTTAGAATGAGCTGGGACGGATTGATCTGAAGGAAAATAGAATTGAGGATGAACTAGGGCGGATTGATTTATAAGATATTATAATTGCGGATGAGCTGGGATGGATTGATCTAGGATCTAATAAGATTTAGAATGAGCTGGGACGGATTGGTCTAGGATCTAATCTGAGAATGAAATAGGAAGGATTGGTCTGATCTAATAAGATTGAGAATGAGCTTGGACGGATCGGTCTAGGATCTAATGAAACTGAGAATGAAATGGGACGGATTGGTCTAGGATCTAATAAGATTGAGAATGAGCTTGGACGGATTGGTCTAGGATCTAATGAAATTAAGAATGAGCTGGGACGGATTGATCTAGGTTATAATAAGATTGAGAATGAGCTGGGACGGGTTGGTCTAGGATCTAATGAAACTGAGAATGAAATGGAACGGATTGGTCTGGATCTAATAAGATCGAGAATGAGCTTGGACGGATTGGTCTAGGATCTAATGAAATTAAGAATGAGCTGGGACGGATTGATAATAAGATTAAGAATGAGCTGGGACGGATTGATCTATGATCTAAAAGATTAAGAATGAGTTGGGACGGATTGATCTGTTGGATAATAGAATGAGGATGAACTGGGGCAGATTGATTTATAAGATAATAAAATTGAGGATGAGCTGGGACGGATTAGTCTAGGATCTAATAAAACTGAGAATGAAATGGGACGTATTGGTCTAGGATCTAATTAAATTGAGGATGAAATGGGAATGGATTGATCTAGGAACTAATGATTGAGAATGAACTTGGATGGATTGGTCTAGGATCTATAAATGAAACTTATAATGAAATGGAATGGATTGATCTAGGATCTAATAAGATTGAGAATTAACTTGGACGGATTGTTCTAAAATCTCATAAGGTTGAGAACAGAATGGGACGGATTGGTCTAGGATTTAATAGGATTGAGAATGACAGATTGGTGTAGAATCTAATAAAGTTAAGAATGAACTACGGCGGATTGGTCAATAGGATAAAAGAATTGAGAATGAGCTGGGATGGATTGGTCAATAGAATAAAAAAATTAAGAATGAACGCCGGGATAAATTTGTCAATAGGATGACTTAATTGAAAATGAGCTGAAACGGATTGGTCTAAGATTATAGAATTGAGAATAAGCTGGGACGGATTGGTTTAAGATTATAGAATTGAGAATAAGCTGGGACGGATTGGTTTAAGATTATAGAATTGAGAATAAGCTGGGACGGATTGGTTTAAGATAATAGAATTGAGAATAAGCTGTGAAGGATTGGTTTAAGATAATAGAATTGAGAATAAGCTGGGAAGGCATGGTTTAAGATAATAAAATTGAGAATGAGCTGGGATGGATTGGTATACAAGATAATAGAATTGAGAATGAACTGGGACGGATTGGTCTAGAATCTAATAAAATGAGCTGAAATGCATTGGTCCAGAATAATAAAATTGAAAATGAGCTGGGGCGCATTGTTCAAATAGGAAAACGCTTTGACAGCTTGGTATAAGATAGCAAAAGGAATTGAGTTTTTGCCACAAACTCAAATCTTCTGATCTCAATATCTTTGCAACCTGATGGTGCAAACCTTTGATATTTCAAACTTAGATTATTTTATCTTTAAGTATTTATAGTTTGAAATATCTATGGTCTACAACATTGGGTTACAAAGATATAGAGATTTGAAAATCAGAGTTTGTGGCAAAAACTCAACCCCTTTAGAATGAATTTGAACGGATTGATGATAATAGACCTTATAATGAACTGGGACGGATTGATGATAATAGACCTGATAATGAACTGGGACGGATTGATGATAATAGACCTGATAATGAACTGGGACGGATTGATGATAATAGACCTGATAATGAACTGGGACGGATTGGTGATAATAGACCTGATAATGAACTGGGACGGATTGGTGTCACAGTACTCCCTAATCATAACTTACATCATAGAAAGGAACAGGGGTAAAGCATAAACATTAAAAATCCTGCTTGCAAAACATTTGTAAAATATTGTGAAATTTTTTCGATTTGATGCCTTCTTTTTGTGATAAAATAGTTTAATACTCGAAATCATAATTCCGATTGATCTAACGTTTAAAGTCGATTTAAACATTAGTACATATGAGCAAATTTAAAACTTATAATTTTCTTATCTTCTATATACATATATACGTTGCTTGGGTGTTTGTTTGTCTGTTTATCCAATAAACGCCAAAACGGCTGAACCGAGCGGGCCCAAATGTTTAGGGGACCTCGCATGTCCCGGGAAGGTTTATGGATGATCAAAATTTTAAAAATTGAAAATAGAAAATTGAAATAGAAGTAATCCTAGTTAACTGAATAAAAAATTATGTTCTTTCTAAGATTCTCCTTCTAACTCATCCATGCTCAGTTTATCCTCTTCATCCATCGTTGCTCAGTTTTTTTTTCTCTCAATCTGTCCTTTATCCTTGCTTTGTTTCTCCTTTCAATCCATCCTTGTTTCGTTTCTTCTTTCAACCGTCGTTACTTAATTTCTCCTCTCATTCATTCTTGCTTACAGCTTAGTTTCTCCTCTCAATCCCTCTCGCGAGGTAATTTCTCCTCTCAATTCATCCTTGTTTCGCTTCTTCTTTCAACCGTCATTACTTAATTTCTCCTCTCATTCATTCTTGCTTACTACTTAGTTTTTCCTCTCAACCCCTCTCGCGAGCTAATTTCTCCTCTCAATTCATCCTTGTTCACAGCTTAGTGTCTCCTCTCAGTCCCTCCTTGCTCAGTTAATTCTCTCAATCGATCCTTGATCAGTTTCTCCTCTCAATGCATCCTTGTTCACAGCGTAGTTTCTTCTCTCTCAGTCCCTCCTTGGTACGAATACATAGTGCGATAAGAGATGCTAATGTGATAGAACAGATATGTAGGGATAAAAGATAAGAATGAGAATTAGATGGGACGAATATATAGTGGATAGAAAATAAGAATAAGATGGGACGGATATATAGTGGATAAAAAATGAGAATGAGATGGGACGGATACATAGTGGATAGAAAATAAGAATAAGATGGGACGGATATATAGTGGATAAAAAATGAGAATGAGATGGGACGGATATATAGTGGATAAAAGATAAGAATGAGATGGGACGGATACATAGAGGATAAGAGATGACAATGTGATGGGACAGATATATAGTGGATTAAAAAAAAAGAATGAGAAGGGACGTATACAAAGATGATAAGAGATAGAATGTGATAGGACGGATATGTAGGGGACAAAAGATAAGAATGAGATGGGACGGATATATAGCGGATAAAAGATAAGAATGAGATGGGACGGATATATAGTGGATAAAAAATAAGAATGAGATGGGACGGATACATCAAGGATAAAAGATATGAATGAGATGGGACGAACACATATAGAGAATAAAAGATAAGAATGAGATATAACGGATAGATAAAAAATGAGATGAGATGGGACGGATATATAGTGGACAAGAGATGAGAATGAGATGGGACGGATATATAGTGGATAAAAGATAAGAATGAGATGGGACGGATATATAGTGGATAAAAAATAAGAATGAGATGGGACGATATATAGTGGATTAAAAAAAAAGAATGAGAAGGGACGTATACAAAGATGATAAGAGATAGAATGTGATAGGACGGATATATAGTGGATAAAAGATAAGAATGAGATGGGACGGATATATAGTGGATAAAACATAAGATTGAGATGGGACGAATACATATAGAGTATAA